GCATTGATCCGACGTGGCATACTCCTAATGAGACGTCTAAGGTCATTTTGGTCCAGATTGTCCCATTCCTGTTGCAACGCAGCAGCAAGTTCTTGGACATTGGCAGGACGTTGTTGACGTTGACGTAACCTCTGTCCAAGCATGTCCCAGACATGCTCGATGGGGGAGAGGTCGGGACTCAGTGCTGGCCAAGGTAATGTGGTGATGTTCTGTTGTTGGAGGTAACCTGTAACGATCCTGGCCCTGTGACATCTTGCGTTGTCATCCTGGAAGATGAAACGGCGGCCATGACGTCGTGCGAACGGCACAACATGGACTGCCAAGATGTTGTCCCGGTAGTACTGGCCTGTAACACGCCCTGCAACAACATGTAAAGCCGTTCTTCCAGCAACAGTGATGCCTCCCCACACCATAACAGAACCACCCCCAAATCGATCATGTCTGATGACGTTAACGTCTTGGAAGCGCTCGTTTCGACGACGCCACACCCTCCTACGTCTGTCCAAAAAATCAACAGTGAACCTTGACTCATCTGAAAACATCACATTGCTCCAGCGTCGATTATCCCAGTGTTGACGATCCCTACACCAACGACGTCTTGCCTGAATGTGATGATCTCTCAAACAAGGGATCACGCGAGGACGTCGGGCACGAAGGTGACCCCTATGCAGTCGATTCCGAATCGTCTGGCCACTCACTCTCACACCAGTGTCTGTTTGAAGACGAGCGCTGATCTGATTTGCTGTGATGACACGATTTCTCAAGGCCAAGGTACGGATAAATCGATCCTGGGCTTGAGTTGTCGCCCTTGGTCGACCTGAGCGTGGTCTGTCCTGTACAGATTGTGTATCTGGACCATAGCCTGCTTATGACAGACTGAGAAACATTCATCGTCCGCGCCACAACCGCCTGTGTTGTGCCGATCTGTAGCATGCCAAGGGCACGTAACCTTTCATTTTGGGTAAGCCGACGCATATCAAAATTTGTTTTCCGGTCACTAAAACAATTAAACTGATGTTTCCACCCTGGAATTCAATGCCACAATGACTGTAACATTCAAAGTCAGAGTCGTGCAAATCTTGGGTTGGACCCCCATGATGATCCCAAGCATCACCTGCATTCCATGCGGTAGCTATCGGCGCGTTTGGGCGTCACATGTAACTGTTAGGTTCTATAGTGACTTTTTTCGTAGTCATTTGCATATTTTAGTATTATGCCCCCAAAATCAAATATCCCCTACTTTTTTTGGAATAGTATACATAATATACATGAATGTGGTTATATCATATCCATACCACACAGGCTTCTGGTGCCCATATGCGTAATACTTTCTGTGCAGATTGGTTCACAAAACTAAAAGTATGGATTCAGTAATGAACTTATACATAGACTAATAAGTAATCCCATATGGATACCATGTTGGCCCCAGATATACAAAAGTTATATGTAATCCCATACAGATACCATATTATCCCCTGATACACACACGGGTAATCCCACATGGACACCATATTGGCCCCATGTGTACAAAAACAGAGTTGTTAATGTGGGAAATCCCATATAGATCCCATATTGGTCCCAGATACACACACTATACGGTCATATAATCAATGTAAAAAAGAAGTAACCATTATATCATTTGGCTTGCCTCTGTGATATTAATATATATATGAAAATAAAGTGTATTTGCGTACATTTGTATGTGGTAAGATAATATGGCCCCTATATCGGGACCTTGTGGTATCAACTGGGTCCACGGGCCAGTTTTTCCCCATATGGTCCCCATGTTGTAATGTTTATGGGGTACAATGACATATATCTACATAGATTATCATGTCATTCGAGGTATTTTAATGTGTAATAGTTTTATATCCACCAATATCGGTAATTGTATCTGTATCGGCCGATATATTTCGCAGTCAATATCTGATATCGGTAAAACCGATAGGTGTCATATCGGACCATCACTAATATCAGTGTTACACCCGAATGACGATTGAGTTCGAATTTCGTGAAAATCAGATCGAAACAGCTAAACAAAATGGCCACTCTGTACGCAAATAGTGTAAAAGTAATGTGCCACTGTACATGTGCCGCACCTCGTATCATGCTGATTTCAGCGAGACCGTACAGTGACGACGTCTTTGACCTACAATCTGGAGTTTGTCCGGCGCTTATAGTTTCGAGTAGTTTGCGGTAATTTTTGCTGCAAAAATCGTATTTTCTACTACCTGTACTCTTTCGAAAGGTGGTTTCTTGCTCATATTTTCCATATGTTTGGGGTATGGGTACTAATTGTTGTGAATAATTTTAAGGTACCTATAGATGCTTATTTTCCATGTTCGTCCGTGGTCTAGACGGCCTTAATTTTATAATAGTTCCGGGGGGGGGGGGGGATGCTGCAACACAAAAACTAAAGTAAAAGATCAAAAGCCGCATAAGAATGCTTACAATAATACAACCTGCATTGGGATGTTTTATAACTACATGTAGTTCATACACTTCATAAAGGAAATGCCGTGCTGAATGGTGTAAATGGGAGAAATTGCCGACTGAAAAAAAAAACACCTAGAGTTCCCCGCAGTTTGCATAAGTGGTCTCTCCACATGCAGTGTCCCACTTATGCAGGGCCTGTTGTGATCCATGACCAAACTAGGGTGTCCAACTATATTTATGTGTGACCTAGCATGACCCATTACCCACCTAGATTTTCATGCGTGACCTAGCCAGAGTTCCAAATAATTTTTATGCCTGCATGACCCAACAACAACTTTTATGTGTTGCTTAGGTTTTTTTCGGTAATTGTCCCCGGATTAAAATGGGTTCGTCTGGTTATTCGATTTGGCAGATTTGCAGAACATATGAAAAAACAGGATATACTCATCATCTAACTTGCTCAAAACCAGCAGCTGCCAGGCAGGATACGCCCACATTTTCGAGAGATGGATAGAGAACAAGCTAAAAAGAAAGTGATTTTTCCTACAATCAAGGGCCATAATTCAGGAAATTACAATTCGATATGCGCAAATATTGATAGAAACCGAGATCTTTGGGTTATAAACTTACATTTCAAGTTTCAACAAAATCGGATAAAAATTGTGACCTCTATAGGGTCCACAACTTTGATATACCATATTTTTACGCTATTGGAGAACGAGGAGCTTCCATTTTGCCAGTCAGTTTTGGGCCGATTTTCACAAAATTCGAACTCCGCCGTCCTTAGGGTGTAACGGTGATACACTAAAACGTTTTTTTTTTAAATCGGATAAAAATTATGACCTCTATAGGGTCCACAATCTAAAAACGCAATTTTTCCTACATTCAAGGGCCATAATTCAGGAAATTACAATTCGATATGCGCAAATATCGAAAGAAAACGAGATCTTTGTGTCATAAACTTACATTTCAAGTTTCAACAAAATCGTATTAAAATTGTGACTAACCTTGATATACCATATTTTTACGCTATTTGAGATCGAAGGGCGGCCATTTTGTCTGTCAGTTTTGGACCGATTTCCACGAAATTCGAACTCGGCCATCCTTAGGATGTAACGGTGATATAGTAATACGTTTTTTTAAATCAGATAAAAATTATGACTTAGTATATGGTCCACGAGCTAAAAACGTGATTTTTCGTACAATTAGGGGCCATAATTCAGGAAGTTACGGTCCGATATGCGCGAATACCGAAAGTAATCGAGATCTTTTGGTTATAAACTTACATTTCAAGTTTCAACAAAATCGGATAAAAATTGTGACCTCTATAGGGTCAGTTTTGGGCCGATTTTCACGAAATTCGATCTCAGCCGTGCTTAGGATGTAACAGTGATATAATAATACGTTGTTTTTTTTTATCGGATAAAAATTATGACCTCTATATATATTGGGTCCACATGCTTAAAACGCTATTTTTCGTACAATCAGGGGCCATAATTCGGGAAGTTACGGTCCAATATGCGCGAATATCGAAAGAAACCGAGATCTTTGGGTTATAAACTTACATTTCAAGTTTCAACAAAATCAGATAAAAATTGTGACCTCTATAGGGTCCACAACCTTGATATACCATATTTTTACACCATTCGCGTACAAGCAGCGACCATTTTGTTCGTCAGTTTTGGTCCGATTTTCACGAAATTCGAACTCAACCTTTATTACGGTGCAACGGTGATATACTAAAACGTTTTTTTAAATTGAATAAAAATTGTGACCTCTGGAGGGACCACAAGCCAAAAACGCGATTTTTCGTACAATCAGGGGCCATAATTCAGGAAGTTACGATCCTATATGCGCGATTATCGAAAGGAACCGAGATCTTTGGGTTATAAACATGCATTTCAAGTTTCATCAAAATCGGATCAAAATTGTGACCTCTAGAGTGTCCACAAGCTAAAAACACAATTTTTCGTACAATCAGGGGCCATAATCCATTAAGTTATGGTGCCAATATCGAAAGGAACCAAGATCTTAGGGTGATAAAGCTATATTTCAAGTTTCGTTGAAATCGGATAAAAATTGTGACCTGTAGAGTGTCCACAAACAAATTGTGGACGGATGTCCGGACGGACAAACAGGGGGGACGACAATATACGTCCACATGAAAATGTGGGCGTATAAAAATCACCTAATGAACATCTACATCAAATTTGAACACTCTTCCTTACAAAGAAGCCAAGTTATTGTCTTGCAAAAGGTGTGATGATCAGGGAGACAAACAGGCAGCTGCTTAGCCTAATCAGAGACTGCTCATGTAACAGTCAAGACATTCATCTAAAAAACAACTACACCAATTAGGTGCAGAGTTATTGCATCCCAAAAGGTATCTTGAAAATTTAAAATTTTTGGTTTTATCTATTTGGGGCTCAAGACTACTTTGGAGATTAGAGATTGGGGGCTTGCTTTACAGATTTTTTTTTTTTTAGATATTTGAATTGAATATAATGTGACATGCGATAATATCACATTAATTTATTGCTAATAAAAAAAAAATCAACATAAAATTTTATGTAAATATTTTTACTCCATACTTATTTATAGTTAGTTAGATGACAAAATAAGAGGTGATCTTTATAACCTAATAAGATAATTTAAAAGACTGATTAGAGTAGCACTCACACAGCAAACATAAACTTTTTGTTTCAATTGATACACCAAGTACTAGATGTAAATATGTTCATATTCAAACAATAAGTTAGCACATTTTCATGTCAATGATTTGTAATTCTGTGTTATTGTACTATCTAATATTAGAATACAATAAAATTTGAGAAACATTAAGTTAAATTATTTTAACATTTCTAATATGCATGAAATATAGCCATGTAAAGCATGGAAATACACCTACACAGCAGCTATGTTTCTATAGCAGATTATCTGAAAGGATCCTTTATGCCGTCAGGATATCTGAACTCCTTATTATCCTTATTCTTATCGAATGCACCAAGTCCATCAAACCTTCACTTTTGGCTTTGACAATATTGTATAAATATATAACTTTTATAGTCAAAACATACAAAAGTAAGAGTTGTCTGTTGTCTTAACCAGTTTGATTCTGATCTTTCCATAAACACTATCATCCCTTGAAATATCTCTGGTATCACGTACAGATAGACACTATTAACAAAACATACAAAGCATCATTAAGATATTTAACAAATGAATAAATCCTATGATTATTTTCAGAATAATTAAATATTACAATTTCCTGATTATTAATAATATAATTCTGTACATGAAAAAAATGGGAGTGTTTTTTGTCACAGAGACATATTTTGTGAATGTTATTTTCCCTACATATCTTACAGATTAAATTAGCGAACATTTTTTATTGAAACCCAAACCTAGTTGAACATTCCTTCAATCATCAGTTTATATTTAGCATCATTGATTTTATACTGTTGGTACTTATTTGCATAAAAATCATAAACCAGAGTGTCCGCCCGATGATTTTTCAAAAACTCTTTATTCCCAAAAATCAAAAAATAATTTAATAAAATAATTAATCATGTGTGGCTGTGTTAGGTTAGTAAAGTGTCATCTATTTCATCTTGAGGAGGTGCCACAGCTGTGGCTTGTTTTTTCAGACTTTTAGTATAAACTTCGACTAATGATTCTTTCATACCAGAATCTAAAGCATCAACAGTTTCCTGAAAAAGAAATGCTCAAAATTACTAATTTAGCATCTTTATTTATAATTATGATAACTTGTATTCTATACTTTTAAATATCATGATAATGATAGAACTATTTTATGAAGTAAAATTAGATGCTTTACATTGACAGACGCAGTAGGATTATGTTATAAATACAAAGACTATAAAATATATATCTATAAAAGTATTCTTCAATGTTGATTAGCACTAATCAACTTAATAATTTTTTATTTTTATTTTGTATTATTTGTTTTAAAATTTCAGCAATCCTAACAAGAATAGCTGGACAAGCTCTATTCCTCGAATGGAGATGTGTCTCATCACAACAAGTGATGATCTAGTAGCACCTTCAGTGCAGATAAAAGATAAGTTGTTTGTGAAATGAATTACCAAATCTCAAGTTGGAAACAGCCCTAGTTGGGTTTTTTTTGTGGTTTATATGTATATACTGTCCAATCATTGGGCTTGTACAAGTTTTGGATTTAACAAGTTCTGGATGTCCATTAGCAAAATAAAGCTTCAAGTTGTTTTTTTCCAAAGTTACCAGGACTTATAGATAACAGTAATTATGATCTATGGCCTGCTCGTTATACCACTTGGCCACCCTCCATCCACATAATGTAAACATCATCAAATTACATACCTGATATATATCTTCATTTTCACGTAACTTGAGTAAAACAATTAAAGTTAATTCACTGTTAGCCTTAACTCCTGTATTCTTTTCTTTAGTACCATTAACTAGTGATGGTACAAATGATTTGCGAATGTATAATGGTAAGGTTGTATCCGTTGATAGGTAGGATATTAGACGGGTAACTGTTATTTTTATATCATTAGATTCATGCTTCATTCCCTGAAAATTTTAACAGTAATTTACATAAAATCATGTGTGGAAATTATGAATAAATGAAATGAAATGAGTTTTTTCATACTTTTGTGCCATATTAATTTGAAGAGGGTTGTAGTATGCCATATAGTGTGCTATGATGGATCTTTTGCCCGGACAGGGGCGCTACTTATTTTTGGTTCTGTTCAGTTTGGATGAACTTTATGAGTTGGATAAAAGCCAAGCATTTTTGTGGGTACATAATTCCCACATAGTCAGAGAGAGAGAAATGGGGTTTAATGTCCACTGGACACAAACTAGGTCATTTTGGGACTAACAATAATTCGTTTGCATGTAGTGGTCATTAGCAGTGGGAGAATACCAGAGGACCTGGAGAAAACCCACGAGGTACAACCGGGGAATCGAAACCACTCAATGACAGACCTTGTGATACAGCGCACATGTGGTGACCATTCGGCCATCCCCTCCCCCCACATAGTAAATGTAGCATCCAAAGATTTTGTTACATGTAAATTATTAAGATGATATTTACCTTTACTAATGTTGATAATATTTCTGGTGTAATATTTTGTGACTGTTTCATCTGGTAATTTATAAAATGTGATGATGCTTGTAGCCCTGCCTGCAGAATGGAAATCTGTCAAGGAAAAAAATATTAAATAAAAATACTATCCAATAATGTGGTTATATGATGAAAATAGCGCTCTGGACAATGTCGGAAAGGGAGAGAAAAAGAGTTAAACCTCAAGTGGATACCAACTAGGTCATTTTGAAACTAACACATGGTACAATTATTTTTCAAATTTCAATCATTGAATTGCATGTAGGAAACTTGAAAAACCCAGAGATTGGGAAAGCAGCCACACCACTTAACTCAATCACAGACCTTATGATCTACAGTGTATGAGTTTGGCCATTTGACAACACAAATATCAGTATTGTTCACAAACAGTATGTAAATTAATTTTTATTACCTTATCAGCTGACGTTAATTCTAATATTGTATCTTTTATTTTGGCTTCACTTGATGCTTCTATAATACGATTTGGTGATTCTTTCAGGCCAACAACTAATGCTAAACTTCTTCCATGACGTAATTTCCAATCTACACTTGTATCTGTATCTAAATGAACAAAATATATTTATTTAAAAACATATAAACTAATAAGAAAAAGATGTTTGAATTCTTTTCACCTTTAACAACTATAAGAATTTTTTTTCTTTATGATAGTGTTTTGAAATTGATATAAACAAATTGTGTTTTGAAATTCATATAAACATTCATATAAACAAATTATGTTTGAAATTCATATAATATAACAGATTGTTTTTATATGACAAATTGATATACAACAAATAAAGTTTAACTCCCTATTTAAGTTGTGTATATAATTAAGCTTACCTAAAAGTTGTGATTTAAGAAGATCTGAAAGGTCATCATTAGGTAAAGCTGTACACATAGCTCCAACACAACCTGCTACAGCTGATCTGGTACTATCTTCACTAGATGATAACATAGATAATAGAGTAGATTGTATCTGTTTACGTAATGCCTCAGATACTTTACCTCCTGCTCCAACTAAACAAAACCTTAACGCCTGTAACATAGTATCTCTGAAAAAAACAAATTAATGTGTAAATTTAACTATTTTCAATCGTCACAGACATAATTTACATAAGCCATATTTGAAATACCTCATATTCAGCACAGCTGCATTGGACAGTTTCTACATACATTAAAGGGCGAACAGACAAAACACTGAAACAAGTTTTGCTCAGTTTTCACAATATAGCTATATATGTTGTTTTTTTTTTGTTTTTTTCAAAAAATCAAAACACATCTACATGTAGCTATATATATAGTAGGCAGAAGTAAGACCAATCCATTGTCAACAATCATTGGCTTATCACAACTAGCTAACTATATTACGGTAAATATCTATTCATTATGTTGTTCGGGTATTCAGAAGGAGAAACGAGAGAAAACTCTAAGCTTATTCAGTTGATCTCACTCATTACCAAAATCATAATCTTTAGATTTTCTCCACTGTTTTATTGATCAATAAGAATTAATAGTCTTGTCTATTAGACCACTCGGACACACACCCAACTTAATTGTAAGATGAATTGTAAGTAAAATTTAACTTACTTAATACTAGTGTCATCAGCTGCTTTAAGACCTGTATGAAGTTCTGTAAATAGTGGATCAACTCTGGTATGTATAACTATTAAATTACCAAGTGCTGCTGCAGCTCGTAATCTAACAATACGATTGGGATCATTTAAAGCTTTCGCAAATGTTGTTTGTAATTGTGGTAAGAAAGGTTTTAACATCATTCCAACCTGAAAAATAATTGTTGTAAACAAACAAAAAATGAAATCATCTTTTAATTTCTAAACTTCCGGTTTTACAATATTTTATTTGTCAGTGGAACTATGCTGTTTTTTTTTTCAATTCATAGCACCGCCATTTTTTCGACCACACAGGGAATAAACAAAAATGTGACTTGATTAATCAGTCTGCTGAATTGTAAAATAGATCTAAAACAAAATATTTAGGTTATTTTATTACCCAATAGTTTTCTTAAAATTTATTTTTGTCTAAACCTTCATTGAAAATATTTTACAGTTAACAATTATATATATGCTTAAATTTTGACATGCATCTGATGCTTAATTCTCAATATAGTAGTATCAATCATCTACGGATTCTAAGAGCTATCTTCTCAAATGGATTTTCGTCAAAAGAGCTTAGATATAGTTCTTAGTAACAAAGACTAATAGGATTGGTTATCAAAAACAAGTTATACAGTCATTGAAGATTTAGAAATATTTACAAACCTTTTCTAGCAGTAGATTTAATGTCTCTAATAAAGCAACCTTGACATTGGCTGTAAATCTGTCACCAAGGATACGGATAAGAGGTCCAGTAATGTTAATAACTGAAGGTTTTAGAGCCTCTGCACTAGATAAACTTATAATTTCACCCAAACCAACAGCTGCTGCTTCCTTCATATCTGTTGAACCATTCAATATACCCTCTCTATATATAGGTAGAATTGGAGCAATTCCCTTTAATAAAAAATTTAACGTCTCGTCAAAAACTATACTTCGACCTGCTGAGACTAAAATATGGATGTTTCAACAGAAGTTATTCTAGTTTTGAATTCTAATCACAAGAAAGTGAAATAAAGTAGTTCAATCTATACATGGGTAAAGACATTCGTGGTCTAAGGGGAGACAACTCTTTTGTACCTAACAAGGAGGGTTTGGTTAGTAATACAATAGTAGTTTCTCTGATTAAGAGAAAATGTCTACCAACACTTGCCTGTTCTTGTTGCTAAGCAACTTACTTTTTAAACACATTCACATGGTACCTAAAAGCCAACTTTCCTACATAATGTTTTTCAAGTGATGATAAAATGTCTAAATTCTCCAACTTTAGGTAGTTCTTCACCAGTCCCTTTTTTGAATCAGTCTGAATAAGTACTAGTCAAGTAACATACCTATAGTAATCAAGTGAATTAGGAGAAAAAGCCCAAATAACTTTTTGGCTATTGGCCTGATGGGTTAAATAGGTATTTCAAGAAAAGGAGAAAAAGTCTCACATATGCAGGACTGGTTATTATATATAAGTATAGAACATATGAAAAATTTGATACCTTCTTTGGTAAACTGAAACCAGGGAGTTCTTTTCCTTTATAATCTGATGAAGCATAGCGTACAGCTTGTCGTAAATCTGGAATATGTCGTAACATTTCTGTAACATCTAATTTCTGCCAAAAAAAGGAGAATTTAAATGAACACCTAATCATTAACCACTGGAAATTAGGCAAATAATCACCATGTTAGATTTGTGAACTAACAAACAAAATAAATGAAAAGTGTTATAGGGTGTTCTAGAAAAAGTAGGAAAACTCTACAATGAAATTACATCACTTTTATTTCACATCACTGCTATATATATTGTCATCTGCATTAGCGAGGTAGCTTGTAGTCTGTGCCTAAGTTGTTTTTTTTATTTAAGACGTGAAATATGAAACCTACTTTTACAATTGATGCTAAACAATTCCAGCTGGCAATTAATATTTTTTCTTCAGTACGAACAAAAAGCATGATTAATCCCCTGAATAACTGAGGTATATAGTCTTTAAAATCAGCTTCTGTTTGACTACAGAATGAATGAAGAATAGTAACAGCTGCAGAACATGAATCAGCATCTTTATTATTTGTAGCACTCAATAATTCCTCCATGATGGTTCGTATTCCATGGTAATCTTTAACAGATAGGACCACTGTTTTACAATATTGTAATTCCTACAACAAAAATACATCATAAATAAACATTAAACAAGATTATACATGTTGTTACAATAAATGAGGTGCTTTTCATGAAAACTTTACTAAATATTCCATATTCTGATTCAATTTAATTATCTATTGGAGTGTGGTTATAGGCAATGAAATCCTGTCAAAACTTCCTCTCACTTAACCATGATCTACCACAACCATGTCATACTAGATAGTAGACTAGCATAGTTTCAAAGATATATAATCTTATAAAGATTTTTCGTATAAATCAATAACTTGATGAGTATGTATACAAAATATGCAGAATTGTCTCCCCTGAAAGCAAAATTTTCTGGGAGCCATAATTTGTAAAATATGAAGCAATATTTCCAGCACATTTACCAAATTATTGTTATCAATATGTGTAAAACACATTAATTTCTTTTGTCAAACAATTTTTGAACAGATTTTCTTATACCCTTACTTTATAAGGATATTTCTTCACTTAAATTCTTCTAAATAAATACCCATTAAAATTATTCTCACTAGCATTGGTCCCTTTATAAGGCTTGTCCCACCACTGATTTATCAGGGAGTGATAGTAATGCTCACAATAGGGGAAACACACAGGTACTTGTTACCTACTATAACCCTTGGGAAGGTCTGAGACAAAGGTTGAAAAATCCTCTAGCAGGGGACCCTGGAAATTAGGGGGTGGAGCAACAGAAATATGGCTAATTAGAATTTGATTCAGGCAAGTGAAACCGTTGGGTAGATGCTATAGGTTCTAACTAGTTGGAAATCTCCATGACCAGCAACATTGAGTTCAATTTGTGAGGTGATGTAAATTCATCATAACTCAATTCAGACTACTCTACTGTCACTCCCCTTTTCATATGAAAAAGGGGAGAGCTCCAATTGGCAGTGGAAATGAAATCAAATTTTGATGTAAATTTAGGGGTTCAAACTCATAGCTTGCTTAGATAACAGATCCTGTGATCTGCAGTACAATGTCTTGGACAATTTCAATGAATCGGTTGTAGAAAAATTATCAAAAAACAAACCTGGTCTTCATCTGGTGTACCAGCTTTCTCACTCAGTGATGTAAGTAATGCTGGCAATATTTTACTGAGATGTTTAGTCAAGGCGTCACCAGCTACAGATGTTAATAATGATAATGCTCTTGTATTAACTGGTGGTGTAATCAACTACAACAATAAAATATAATAGGTCAAATTTCTTGATGAACATTTATCCCAAATTAGTGTTTATAATCAGGTTTGTGAATTAATTTTAACATAGACATTAAACCTACAAACGGAGATCATACCATACAGTCTTTTTAAAGCTTGCCTTTCATATTCAAAACTGATACATATATACAGTAAAAAGACGCAGATTGTCATTTGCATGTTTCAGACAATAACTAATTTTTCATGGCTCCTTAATCCGTGACAAAATGTACGATACCCAAATTGATTATTTGGATTACAAATATGCCCATCAAATGTTTTTATCCAACACTTATAGATGGAGATGGTTTGTGCATATCATCTACAAAGATGTCCAATGTTGTGTAATTATTAATTCATCTCTTAGTAAATATTGGCTGGAATCGAACCATTTATTAACTGATTTTCTTTTAGAGATTGAACTTTCACAATACTGAAGCAGGTTACAGGGGATTCAAAATCCCTCAAATGACCATCAGCGACTTTATGTATGAACAGCAGATAACCCTAATAAAAATTCAATTATTCGGAATCATATACAATTTATTATAAAAATTCAAAAGATTTATTTGCCAAAAATTAAAAGCAGTTTAGTTTTGGCAGAAAAAAGGCTGATAAAGTCAGACTTACCTTAGGAACAAGATACGGTAAAACAACTTTACTTTTTACTGCCATTACTTGTTTTAATCCATCTAAAGCTTGCTCGGACAACTCAGGATTATTCTATAAAAGAAATCACAGAATTAAAAAGAATTTCACACAAGTAGGTCAAGTTACAACTATTCAAAGTAAAATTAATCAAACTTTCGCTAAAAATAAATTGATTTTACCAGTCTCTTGAGTAAGTTAGGCAAGATCTCGTCCAGTGCTCGTTGACCAATATTTTGTTGTAGATGATCGAAGGTAGTGGCAGCTGCTTCGCGAACAGACGGTAAAGGATCACACAAAGCTCTACGCACAGTGGGAATTAAATTATTAGCAAATACCACAACCTGTAATATAAATATCATTTGTCAACATGAATAAAGACTAATTTTCTTGACATTAGACTTTTACATTATGAATGAATTGGAATTAAACATTCTACCTTTCTATACCAACAGGGTTAATGAAGATGTGGATTTTTATATGAAAATTGACTTATTGGATGTTTATGAGGTCATTATTGAACAAGACCCTCAAATCAAAATTATTCTCATGCATCTATATCCCTTTACCATTTCATACAATATCTTTTCATTTTAAAATAGATACTGATCACAGTAACAGGTTACATTAATGGACTCACTGCTTTTAACTATTTACCTCTTTAGCACTTGGTAAATGTAAATATTGAATACCCTAGTTCCTTGAAGAAAAGTGATATATTAAAGGAGCTAAATCGCTAATATTTGGGACCTAGAAATTGACACAAATTGGTCGCAAGACATATAACAATGTAATGTGAATGTATATAAACTGATTTACATTCAACCGTTTCTGTTTTTACTGTAATTACTAATCAGTTATGTTCGGCGAAATACGCCAGAAGTCTCAATTGAGTGGCAATCTTTAGCATCTGGTTATTCCAGTCTACACTGATGATATTTATTGCGCATGCTCTCCAGATAAGAATATAGCGTCACCATTTGGCATGACTTGTGGAATATGTCTAGCCGCGTTCTTTGAGTCTCTTGTTCCAAATGGCGCTGAAATGCATTATGGTACACGATTCGTGTACCAATGGTAAAATGTTTATTTTGTCTTGAATATTGGATATCAGAAGCCCATCTTTTCCCTGTAAGATCACTAGATCAATGTTGATTTCAATTGACAAATAATTCGTGTTTTCAATGTCGAAGATTTTTGATGATATTGAGTTAGAGACTTAGCTACTTTAATAGCAGTATATCAATGAACAGAGTGAACCAGTTCTAAACTGCTGTTCCTTAGACCTGCTCAAACCACGCAAGATATGTGAATAGTTTTCTGCATTATACTACCGGTAGTTCAAATGGGCCACCACAGCTGTACACATGACTGGGAAGTTTTGAGCGGTCTAATAAGGAGCCCTATTTCTCAGGTGAAAAAACAGCATTAAATTTGAAAAATATTGACAGAAATATAATTGATACTTACATGTTCTCTGCTGGTAGAAGCCATGATTTCACTAAGCCCAATACAAACACCTTGTCTCTGATCACTTTGTTCAGAATCTAAACCTTGTTCTAATATAGGTATAATCTCTGGTAAAACTCTCTCACCTAATTTACGTACTAAATCGCCTAATGTTCTACCTGCAATCTATTAATACAAATAATTCATTTGTTACATGAGTTCTTAACAAATAAAATATCTTATACAAATAAATGTTCTTATTAAAGAAAATTAGAGGATTGGATTTAAACATTTCCTCAACACAATAGTGTGGTCACTTTAACCTAGGGTTAATTTTCTTTATTATGAAAATGTACAAAAGCTAGGGAAGAGAATTTTGCCTGGAGAGTGGCATTTGTGTCTACCTACTCTTTTTTGAATTCTACATTCTGTAACATTCTACTGACAAGAGAAAACATTCATCTTCAAGAGTGCAGGCACTACTTCTGACAAGTGGGAATTGGGATTTGAACCAAGGGCAATCTAGGCAAGAGTTCTTGTCTATGCAGATTTCTTATAATCCCTTGCTACAAGACTCTGTCAACACAACTCAGCTGAGAAGGAAAGACTTGTGGTAAAAGTTTCTAACATACCAACCCAAGCAACATATTAACTTTAAAAGATCAGATTTTGCACGCAATAAAAACTAGAAGCTAAAAGTAATCCTACCTGTCTTTTATCATGACTAGTAGAAGCCAGACAACCAAGTAATATAGTAAATAATGTTGGTAAAATTTCTCGTAATGTTTTAGGCGTATTGGTGACAACAATCTTCCATACATGTAGAGATGATTGTCGTACTAATAGAGCTGTATCTGATCTACCAATATATAGACCAGCCAATACACGATTTCTACGATCTTCTCCTAACGCACTGATGATAGCCTGAAATACATGAAAATATACTAAATATTCTGAATACCCCAAATGAGAAGTGGAATTAGGTGTTCAAGAATGCTTCATGCACAACATCCATCATTATGTAACCTCCTTAAGCAAATCTTAAGCAAAACATTGTTACAATGGTATTTAGTAATTTAACTGGAAATAGACTCCTTCTTTCCACAATTTGGCCACAGAAGTATTTTTGCGATATTGAAATGTACATAATTTAAAGTTTAAATAGTTTAAAATGTTCTTAATATACCTTGTAAGATGATTCTGTACCAAAATTATCATCATCACCTGTTGATCTAGTTGTCATTTTACCAGTCACACCTGTAATTTTATAATATCAATATATACTTACTTTCTTGGGAGCTCTAACAAAAGCAGTTTTTTCAACAAAAAAAAAATTCTTATTAGACTGAATGATAACTTTTAGTTGATAGTTGAAATGTATAATATGATAGATGATACTAAAAATATTCATGGGCCGAGGACAGATCTTTGTGGTACTCCCACAATTGTTGAAAAAAGGATTTCTTCTTTCCAACAATTAAGACATTATGATAGAACACTTTACCTGATATTTTAAAGAGCAGGTCTCCTAATAACTGAACGGAACTGTATCTAATTCTCCAGTTATCAGAGAATAATCCCTTCTCTAACTCTGGTAATAATACTTCTATAGCTGTATCTGCATATAAACTGATCAACCTTTGACCTGCACGAAGAGCTGTGTCCCTTACAAACTCTGTTTCATCTGCTAATGCCTAAAAAGTATGTTATATATGTTATTACTTCCATGTCCCCTACCGCCTTTATTAGACCAGTCGAAGCAGAACAGTAGGATGTTATGCCCCATTTCATTTCATTTCCGTGTCGACAATATCCCTTTTCATTTCATTTCCACAATATATCGTAACAGAAGAAAAAAGGTTGACATAACATCATTGAGTTTGCAATAACAAAACTACAATTTCTGTTTGTACAGTTGAAGAGTTGAAAGAGAATGTGCATATTACGCAAAAAGTTTCTTTTATGTATCTATTTAAAACCTCAGAGCAATCCGCAAAGTTTGTTACTTTGTGAATCTTTAAGTAAATAAAAAGCAAAATCTTCACACTGTATAATATCATTGGCATGTTGACAAGATTCTATGAAATCATCAAGGGTAATAATTAGTAATTATCAGAAATTTGTTGCAATAGATTTCTTTGGGTCACCAGTCTGAGCTATACATATAAATCTTAAGCAAATCAGATGATAACATTTGTTCTTAGAGCATTCACAAGGGAAATAAGTTAGAAGTAATTAACAAACAATGTGGAATTTTCAAAAGGTTTCTTCAGTTCGAAGGTTTAGACAGTTTATATAGATCAAATACTAATATATTACCTGTAAGATGGAGGGTATAATTGGTCCTACATAAATAGAGAAATCTGAACCAAATGTAGCTGGTAGATAGATAAACGTCATAATATATCCATCCCGTACATGTGGGGCTAAATCTTTCTGTTCAGCTGTTCGTATTATCTTTGGCATTAATTCATGTAATTTATCTAATCCCATTCCACCAATAACTTCACTTAACCCTGACAAAATACATCATAATATGTGTACACACATTAAAATATACAACTACTATGGGCATTTTTATACCTTCTGATATGCGACAACCATTATATTATATTCATTATATATCGACGTTAATACAACTGTATTACATCTCTTGTTAGTTACTGTCTTAAATTTGCAATATCTACATGTGGGAAGGTTGCTGTATTAAGCACTAGTTATGTTTTCTTGTTGAAATATCAGGAACCTTTTGCTATTAACATGTATTTAGTGCAGTAGTGAACATACTATTTCAAGAAATGTTAGTAAAAGTATAAATCCTACCTAAAGCAGCACCCGATCTATCAACAGAACTCTGTTCCGCTACTAGTTTATCCATTAACCATGGCATAATATCTTCAAATGAACTTTCACCCAAACCTTTAACCATGGCACCAAGTGCTTTAGCTGATACATTTCTGACTTCTGGCACTGGATCTAATAAACAGTTCTTTAAACCAGGAATAACATTGGGTAGATATGGAGTCAGATCCTGAATTAAATAGAATTAAACATTATTGTCAGTGCTATTTTCAAATGTTAAGATAATAGTGAATATCATTTCTACATATTCTATACATCTATGTGACATACCTGTAAATTAAAGATTATTTTTTCTTAGAGATATATTGTTTCGAAAATATTTATCGAGTGGTTATTTCCGATAAAAGTTTGGCAAATTTGGTATACACCCAATCCTACTAGAACAAGCCAACAGTGAGGCTGATGTCCCCCGCCGAAATTGCAAAATAAATAGATGACACATATTAATTAATCGCACATTTATTTTTTTCACTAAGTTTCATCACTCTCTATCAGATAGAATCAAGATTATCTTGTCCCAAACCATCGACAAATGAAATCGATTAGCTCTGCTTAGCTTCAGCTCGAAATGTTAATTATTGAACTCAGTCAAGACATTCACCTAATGAACATCTACATATACATCAAGTTTAAACATTCACCTAATAGACACCTATGCCAAGTTTGAACATTCTACCTCAATTAGAAGGAGAGTTATTGTGTTCCAAAGTTTCTACCAATCAAATTGCTTATCACTCTGCTTACCCTCAGCAAAAAATGTTCATTATCGAACTTAGTTAAGGTATTCATATAATAAATCTATACACCAAGTTTCATCAATCTCACTTAATTAGAACTAAAGTTATCGTGTCCCAAAGCATCAACCAATCAAATTGCTTATCTCTGCTTACCCTAAGCGGAAAATGCTCATCTTCGAACTCCATCAAGGCATTGACCTAATCAACACATACACCAAGTTTGAACATTCTAGCTCAATTAGGAAGAGAGTTATCGTGCCCCAAAGTATCAACCAATCAAATTGCTTATCTCTGCTTACCCTAAGCGGAAAATGCTCATCTTCGAACTCCATCAAGGCATTGACCTAATAAACACATACACCAAGTTTGAACATTCTAGCTCAATTAAAAGTTATCGTGTCCCAAAGCATCAACCAATCAAATTGCTTATCTCTGCTTACCCTAAGCGGAAAATGCTCATCTTCGAACTCCATCAAGGCATTGACCTAATCAACACATACACCAAGTTTGAACATTCTAGCCCAATTAGGAAGAGAGTTATCGTGTCCCAAAGCATCAACCAATCAAATTGCTTATCTCTGCTTACCCTAAGCGGAAAATGCTCATCTTCGAACTCCATCAAGGCATTGACCTAATAAACACATACACCAAGTTTGAACATTCTAGCTCAATTAGGAAGAGAGTTATTGTGTCCCAAAAAGTGTGACGGACAGACAGACGGACAGACAGACGGACAGACAGACAGACAGACGGACGAACCCATTTTAATAGTCCCCTGCTTTCTTCGAAAGGCGGGGGACAAAAATATTGGATGACCCGAAAAACACCCATGGGGCAAGCACTGGGCAAACATGTCAGGGTATGACTAACTGGCAACCTGACTGTTGTCTGCCAGCTTATTGTGTGCTAGGAGGGAACGGTTGTTATTTCTTGATCAAATGGTTAGGAGGTTTTGGGAACAAAAGACTCTGCAATTAAATGACAGAAACAATTTGACAGAAAATAATTAAGAATTTACTTAGGCCTCAATATGTATGGTAAATGGACAGTAAGTAATGAAAAATACATTCTGAAAAATGGACACTCCCTCAATGAAGTCAGGCGACAGACATGGCTTCTAACAACATTTAATTTATAGCTTGAGGTATCTCTGCTTAAAAAACAAAGTTTTGAGAGGGATTTGAAGTAAATTTTTCAAAGATTAATTAGTTTTAATATGTTTTTAGTCCAAATATATCATCAAATAACACAGTTTGTATGCGGGAAAGTATCTTTAATACAAAAATACAACATAAAATTGCTGGCCCTGTGAAATCCTCAAGCTCAAATAAAACATTATTTTTCAAACCACTGACAAATTATTATTTTAAAACTGCTATAACTAAATGTCTGTTTTTCGTCCAAATTTGACTAATGCTTAATGCATTTTGGAAAAGAGTCCTTTATATGATGTCTTAAGACATGGCAGATTAACTTTCTAATTTCCATCAATTTTTTAAATTTATGGGGAGAGCAGTTGCGGACAGCCCGGTTTTATAAACAATTTCTAATTTCTGACCGCTTATAAACCCAGACAGAATTTAGCAACCCATCAAACTTTATATGAAGTCAACTATTACCTTCTGATCAGTTAGAGAATACATATTGCCCATAATCTGTGCTGCCATTTTTCTTGTATCTGTTGAACGATCTTGGAAAGCTCTCTGTATGACTGGCATGATCAAGGCTAATGACGGGGCATCAACAAAATGAACGAACTTGGTTGCTAGTAGTTTCTGTAAACATTCTGTTGTTTTATGAGTTGGATTCTGAAGAGCTTTGATTAATGTTGGTACAATAACTAAAATAACAAATTTGAAAGAATATATCTCGATTTATTTTTTAAAGGACAATATTCGTGTCAGTCATTATCACATATGTGAAAGAACTGGTTAAACACGTTCCAAATATAATTTTAACACAGAGATCATTGCTACGATAGATGAGTAATACAGGTGTCATGAATCGGAAGTGACGAACGCCAAAGGAAAACATGAGTTATCCCTCTATATAACTGACTGAAGTGACGAGTGATAACAGTTAACCAAATTTCTGCTCACTAATAATTCCTTCGAAGACCAAAAGTTGTTGTGTGAGACTGCGAGAGGATATCTGACAATTCATAAAAAGAATTGACTGCCACATTTCAATGGGGGCGTATAAAAAGGGAAAGAAAAGTAGACAATTGTTTGTTGATTGTCATTATTCTATTCAATTACATATACAATATTAATTTAATACCATTGGATTGCACATCTTGTAATAACTTGTATTTTACCTTGAATTTCAGGATTTTTAATGACGGAACCAATCTGTTTGAGAGCATGATAACCAGCATCTTGTACTTTAGGATGGGAATCTAGTAATATCTCCATTAATTTAGGTACAATACTAGGTAGACATGCTGATAATTGTTTAGGTGCACAGAATGACATAGATCCTAATAACTCCACAGATCCTATAATAAACAACATTTAAATTAAGTAATTTAAATACAATTTCATTTCAATCATGATCCTTTTCCACATTCAAAATCACTAGTCACTGGAATCAATAACTGGTTGAAATTAACCATGTGGTGTTGGGAAAAGGCCACCATTTATATAATCTGTCACTGAATAACATCACTATTTTCTTAATCTGTCATGAGATAACATCACTATTAAAAATAATCTGTCACTGGATAACATCACTTTTTTCTTAATCTGTCATGAGATAACATCACTATTTATATAACCTGTCTCGGGAAAACATCAATATTTTCTTATTTGTCATGGGAAAACATCACTACCTATTTATATAATTAGTCATGGGATAACATCACTAATTTCCTAAAATCAATATTTATTTAGTATTTACTTAATCTGTTATATGGGATAACATCTCTACTTATTTGATCTGTTATGGAACAACATCACTACCTATTTTCTTTTATAATATCTGTTAGGTAGTTTAAATACCAATTTACTTGTCTTCAAGACATATTTTCTACTTACCTATTTTCGTTCTCCATGAGTTTTCTTCTAATCCTTTTAACAAAGATGGTAGAATGAGTTTAACACCATGACCACTTAAATTCCTCATTACAGCTTTACTACAATCTATAGCTGCCTATAAAACAATACAACATTATCCAAAAACAAATGGTGTATTCCTGCGAAGGCGCAGTTACAGAGCGTGACCAAAATTAATCCTTCCCACGAAGGCGCAGATATCGACTTGTCGGCTTTCGTTTGAAGAGAGGCATGTTGCTATTAGGACCCAATTAACGGTGTTAAAGATTTTATGAATTTATGTTCACTCTGAATTTTATTCACCAATTGGCAACTAATGTTTAAAATCATCAAATTATCCAAGTATTCAATATGAATCTTAATTTGGAGACGAATACAGAATGTAGGTCTACACTCTACAAGTGCAATATAGAGAAGATGAAGAAATACAGAAGGTGCAGCTCTACCGTTGGTACCAGTAGAAAGGGTAGGTGTATTATATTATGTCTTGCTGTATTGGCCTTTGACTTCTCGAGGGTTAATTTGCAACTCATCAGTGGGACTACTACAACACAGAGGAGCACAGAACCAAGAAGACTCTGGAAGGATGGCATGCAAGAATCAAGAAGATACTTGGAAAAGCCCATCCGAATGTTTTTGAAATGATCACATTTTTACAACAAGAACAAAATATTAATGAGATTAGAATCGTTCAGTATGCTGGGGCAGGAACCACCAAGGAAGAGATATAAATATGCTCAAATCCAAAGCCAACTCCAGGAATTAAATGGAAGACACGAGGAAGAGGAATTGACTTTAGTTGATTATTTAGACAGGGTGTCTTATTTGGCGAAATTAAATTAATTTTTGTTATAGTGTAGTTATGTTTTTATTTCTAATGCCAAAAATGATGCTAAAATGTTGGTTAATTAGTTACATTGGGGATTATCACAGTGTGCATTCTTATCATAACAATCTATAACACCATTGTTACATTTTTAATCCATTTTAATCCCTAGGAGCTGGATTCCCACGAAGTCGTCGAAAACGACCTTGTTTAATCTGTTACGGTCAATAACTGCGCCTTCGTGGGAATAAATCAAACAGATATTGAAATAATTTATTTCTTTGTCTGGGCATTTCTATGGAGGTACAGAGTAGTTAGCTAATTAACGTGTAATTAGAAAACTCCCCTTGATCTGACTCGGCATATTTGATCCAAAAAATGAAAGCAATACAATTAATATTCTACTGTTGTAGAGAAATAATCTCTTAAGACAGGTAAGAACATTTTTGTATCATCTGTTATTTATGATAATTCAAATATTTCATATTAGTTTCTCAGAATTTATCACAATCGAAATTTAAAACCCAAACGATTTTGATCTTGGGAAGAAAGATAAATTTACCTTTCTAACAAAGCCTTTACCATCACCAAAACATAGGAGAAGATGTTGAATAATGTTAACAATGTATGGTTCAAAGAATTTACCCAGCATATTACACAACATTTCAAAGGCAAACAACGCTCCTGAAATATTAAATATATTTGAGATAAAACATACGTTCATGGTAAAAGGTTATCTTGTTAAAGTTGCCGACCATCATTTGCATTTTTTCGACCATGTAAACTTTACTTACATTAATCAAGAAAACAAGATGAAAATAGATAATCTCCCAGCTTGGACTCATCTGATAAAAAGAGTTTCATCAAAAGATTTCAGTGAAAATTTTGGTGACTGGCTGGTTTGAAAAATATCCTATATCACATTGATTAGCAGTGAATATTCACTAGACCGCTACAATCACTGATAAGGATGACATCGATGCGACTTAATGAGCCACAAATATTAACATTTTTCCTCCGACAAATTAAATCCTAAAACATTTTTTTTTAATGTATTAGAAAAATAAATCAAGACGTCTGAAGTATTTATAGGTAAAAATTATTTCCTATTTAGTGTAAATGGGTATTAAAATGAGTAAAAAGCAACATTCTGCTCGAACCAGTAATGTCTTAAGTACACAATGCACGCGCCATTGAGCCAATGATTGACGCCGCGAGATGTGACGTCCAGTGTTGAAAGCAGTCATCTTTTACAGAGATATTAGAAATGTTACCTTCTCTTTTAACAGGATCTTTTTTATCTTGTATAGCTTCTGTCAAGGTTGTCATCACATTTTGTTGTTTAAGTGACATAATACCTAAACCTTTAACAAAACCTGCCAAACCATATGCAGCACCTCGTCTTTCAGCATATTTTTCTGATTCTAAAAGTGTTTTCAATAATCTCTCTACTAAAGCTGGTGCTTCGGTTTTAATACCTGCTACTAGAGGTGGTAAACAGTTAGCTACAGCTTCTTGTACCTATCATACAAAAATCAAATAAAATTATACAATATTTTATTAATGTCTTGGTCACATTTAATGTCACTTGCAGCAAAAGAGCAGATTTGAAAGTTATTGATAGAACAGTATTTAAGGAAATAGTACACATGTAGTAATTAAAATTTCATTATTTTCTGTTAAAGCGATAATTTCATATTTTCTAAGAAAGCCAAAACATAATTATTTCTATGTCTTTTGCTCAATAGGTTGTCAACTCACTATTATACGATTATAGGTATTATTCTGCCTCTTAAAAATACTTTGACCCCAGAAATAATAACCCAATTACCTCCCTTGTTTTTCTATTCCATCCATGGAATAGCTATCTTCAAACATTTGAATTCAAAGTTGAAAATGATATTTTTGCCAATTTCTCAACTGACAATAGTGAATTATAGGATTAATAGGATTATTATTTAACAAGGTAGGACTGTTTATAGATACCATCTATTTTAAGGCTTTATTTTAATAAATTTTAAAAATATAACTTAAAAATATGAAATTGCAGGTTTAAAATTATCTCATGTGAGTGCTTCATAATAATGCTTTTATTCAGAAGGAAAATCTGTACTGAGATCACAGACAAGTTTAACCTATCCTCTCCTCATATATCGAAGATTCTGTTTGTATTAATACCTTTGATACAATCAGATTAAATTACACATCTAAATTTTGTTTCTTTTTTTTTTCTAAATATTTTGGGTGGTTAACACATCAAATAGATTGGACCGTTTTGCTTAATGAGCCATGTCTGGGGTCATGTAGGTGAATGTGTTTTGTTCACTACTTCCAAAATTCCAGGCAGACCTCGCAGAAATCTCGACTAGACAGATAATATCATAGGCTAATCTCCTACATTAAACGCTTTCCTGGGTTCTACTGTCAAAGGGACAGACAAAAACAAGAATTAGAAAAATAAAATAATGAAACGAGAAATGATCTGTGGTTGAATATGATTTTCATGTATTTAAACAGATATTGGTATCTGTTCTGTTTAAGCTATACAAGTCACTTACTCCTTGAGATGGTGTGGACAATGCTGCTATTAATTGTGCTACTACAGGTTTGACTTTTGGATTATTATCCAGATTAAGATGTTTTGTCAATGTTCCCATTAGAATGATTACACTTTGACGAATGGCATCATATTCCTGGGTTTCTGGAGCTGTTGTCAGGAAATTTTCAAATACTGGCAGAAGTGTGTCAACCTTGGTCTACAAAGTAAAAATCAATTTAACATTTTCTTAAAAATCTAATATTTTCATAAGGCAGAATTACCTTTTGTTGAACATATTGCATAATAAAAAATGTGGTACTACCGATTCTAACGCTTAATCAAGATACAAAATTCCAATTCTTGAATGGAAACAATAGCATCAAAATATCTTATAGTTCTTTCAGAGGGAATTAGTGTATTCTTTAATGTGTACAATAATGTTCCAAAAAGTTAATTTTAACAGCACTTAAAAGTCGATAACGTAAAAATAAATATACCAACCATTCCATGTTTTTCAACACAGGCCAAAGCTGCGTCTCTCATCAAAGCTCGAACCTCAGCATTCCGATCACCCAAACCACCCGGAACATAAAACTCAAACAATGGTGCCACCTCAGATTCAGGTAGCACATAGGCGATTTTACACAAAGTTAAAGCAATACCTGACCGTGCTGGCCACATGTCGGGTGGTTGTTCATCAGCTAGACGACCAAATTCATCAGTTATTGGTGGAGGCATCTACAAATTTATGAACAAAAATATTAAATATAGATTTCCATTAAAGAAACTTTCTAAAATGTCTACTGACCTCACTTTCATGTTTTCAAGAAGAATTTTAAAAATTTAGCAGTTCTACAAATCAAGCTTTACTTCGTCTTTCTGATTATCTGACTTACGGTTTAGGAACACCCTTTTCTATATGTGTCAGTTCATAAATGTTGATACATGTACCTCATTATAAACATCTATATTAATATATACTATATTATTATATGCAAAGAGTAGTTCTGGTTAAAGATCATGTACAGCTGGGGAATTAGTACTACTTAGTCTGGAGAGTTTGTTTAAATTGTATTTTGGTTCTTTCATCTGTTCAGATTTTTGTCGGTTACTTATATGAGAAATCAACAATATAAAAAATATATTCTTTTTAGCAGAGTAAAATTTAACCTATGAATAAAAGCAGGTCCATTCTCAAAGTGACATTTCTGTATCATAAGCAACAAAAAGGGTTAAACATAGAAATGGTCTATCAATATTCCTACTTACATATAATTTCTGTTCATAGAGATCAAGTAATTGATAGAGAATAGATGACACATGTGATGGATGACATTCTAGAACCTGTGCCATAGTATTAGCCGCAGCTATTCTAATCACCTCCTCTGTGTGTATAATATCTTCTACCAAAGAACTGCAGATCTCCTCTGCTGGTTCATTTAGCTTTAAAGTTGTTTTTAATCTTTTAAAAAAAAATAATTTAAAATAGTGTGTCCCGGTGATAATAGAACTGTAATGGTCATATTAATCATAAATAAAGATGCATTATGTCAGAGCTAAATCTGGCTATTGCCGTTTTTTTTCTTGATTCAAGTGTTATATAAATAATTACTGAGACATCTATTCACATGACAAGGGCTCCCATTTTAAGTAGATTAAAGCACTGCAACCATATAATAGTTTATTTACCGTTGCTACCATAATAAAAGATCTACACTCCATTTTGTCAAAACTTCTTACATAATGCATCTTGAAGAAAATGATCCAGTAAAAACGTCTTAATTTTTAAGAAGTGGAATGCCATATTGAAAGTGCAAAAAGGTTCCTAATGAATTCTTTAATTAACGGTAGCACTAGAATGGCAACACCTATAATAATTTAGTGAAATTCATACACATCTTTTTGGTTTTATTTTACTGGATAAGTCAGAATTCACTGAACATCAAGTCAGAGAGTTCTCTATTTTCAAACACATATTTTACAAGATCTTCAAAATAGTCTTACTTTACAGCTAAATCTTTGATATATTCTTCTACATCATTAGATGCTATCCATACACGTTTAGAGATATTTAATCCCAGTTCATAATCATCATCAATAGTTGGTAGTATAGAACTTAATACCATTAAACACTGAAATAATATAGAAGATAATTATCATGGTAGTATGGAACTTAATACCATTAAACACTGAAATAATATAGAAGATAATTATCATCAATAGATGGTAGTATAGAACTGAAACATACATTATGCAAGAGCTAAATCAGTCTATTGCAGGTCTTTCTTTAGGCCTGAATGTTATCTAAATTTAAACTCTCGATGTCAACACTAGCCTGTGATGTTTACTGGATTAGGTTACCATTTGCTGCTCCACTTTCATTCTTGATTTAATCATGAAATGGATAATCGAGACTATGTTTTTTTATCGTACCGACTTTAGTAATGATGATCGAGGCTAGGCCCAAAATTCAGTCGCTAAAATCTTGGTTCAGAGTAAATCAATTTGACTGAAATTTTCAGCAAATTCCATTTACATTATCTAGTTTTTAGAGAGAGAAAGAGAGAGAGAGATGTGGTTTAACATCCACTCAACACAAACTAGTTCATTTCGGGACAAACATATGGTTCAATTTCATTTCAATAATTCGCTAGTGTGTAGGGATCTTTAACAGTGGGAGGAAACATGAGAAAATGAAAATTCAATCCAGTATGAGAACATTGTGTAAATATAATCCAGTATAAGAACATGTAAATTTAATACAGAACAAGAATTAGAAAATTTAATACAGAACAAGAATATGAAAATTTAATACAGACCAAGAAAATGAAAATTTAATTCAGAACAAGAATATGAAAATTTAATTCAGTCTGAGAACATGAATATTCAATCCAGAATGAAAAACTGAAAATCTTAGATGACTCGGAAGTGATGATTACTGTATAAATTTACCTGTAAGGCTACATCACGGACAGTCATACAAGGTGACTGAAGAGCAGTAAGTATCTCATTTATCTCCGCTGGTGTTACACGTGTTGCTCCTTGGTCACCATTACCACACCTTGCAACCTCTAAAATGGCATCCACTGCATCTTGTTGTAGTTTATCATCCATAGTTCCAATGAGTTGAAACAGTAGCTGATATAATTGCTCTCTCGGTAGAAGTTCTGGGTCATACTAAAAATTTTAAATCATTTTTATTATCATACTCAATGAAAGAATAAGTTTTCTTCGATAAAAAAAAAAAAAAAATCAATTTCCTACAGGAGAGTAGTTGCTGAATATATAGCATATGGATCTATTTTATTTTATATGGGTAGACAAGAAGAACACTATGAATTAGGATTCTTCTGACATCAATCTGTAAGAATCCTATTAATCTAATGTTTATTTTAAAGAGGATTGACCTAAAAGACTTGTCTTTTTTTAAAAATTACAATAATTGACAGGATTAATTTAATGAATCTAATCTCAATTATGGCATATTTTACAAATATTTTGCCCAAATTTTCTAAAATTCAATGAATCAGATTTTAAGTTTCCAAATAATTTCTATGTTTATTCGATATTATACAGTTAATATGACAATATTTTACTAAAAACTTATGATAAAACCAATTATTTTTAAAAACAAATTTGAGATTGATATCTATAGAAATTGCCAAAAAATATTGTTAACCTCATCTTCATCAGTTGTTCTCATCTGAGCATGCTCCGAAATAAGTTGAATGGCAAGACTCTTGACGTCATCATTTTTAGAAACAACGGCACCACCATTTTTCAATACAGCAAATAGTAAATAATATATGTATGCAAAAGTTGAGGCTGGGAAAAGTTTTGGGTCATCATTGTCTCCTTCTTCTACTTCCTCCTCTACATCATCATTGTCATTCGATATTGATTTCTCTACTAGCGCCATCACTGCTCTTATAGCTTGCAATGGGATTGGTTCTTTAGTCCAGTGAGGATTGATGGGACATTTTGGATCTAGAAGTCGTAGTGTAACATTACCAACCAATTCAGCTGTTTATAATATAAAATAATAATAACAATAAGAAAAAATTAACATCAGATGGAGTATAGTTGAGATAAAGGATTAAGAAAAATCAGTCTTACCACATTTTGAGATTAACAAGCTAGCATTATTTTAAAAGATCAGGAAAAAAAATAAAACGACATTCCTTCTTTCGTCTTGGTTACATATAAAACTGTCATTTTTTACTTGATTTTATGTGTTGATTTTACGTCCATACAGAAAACCAATGTTAAATATTACCTAATCCGAAAATGCTTCTTATCAAAGGTATCCATGTAATTAAACAATACACCAAATTTCGTGGCTCCCAGTTAATTTGAATCAAAATTATAGTGTTCGAAAGCATTGACAATTATTAATATCTTGTCAAGGCATTCATCTACTCATGAGCATCAACTTTAAAAAGTTTGAACATTCTACCTACAATTAATGTGTCCCTAAAATCGTGACAGGTGAAAATAACACATCAGATTAACCCAATTCAACACATTATTTTGAAATTATATAAAAGTAGAAGAGGTTTATCCACTTCAAAGATCATGGTTATAAAACTGACCTAAGTTAACATCTTCAAAGACATGCTTTGCTAACTTCAGGAAGAATTCACTTGCAATAGGAGCGGATAGTGGTGACTGTAATAGCGGTGTTACCAAGGACAATATTTCCTTCATCTGTGAAGAGCAGGAATAATTATTTCCCTCAATAGCTGCTGCTAATGATGTACAAGCACAACATACTTCATCATGTAACTGAAATGATTATATACAAATGTAGAATCATTTAATTAGACAAACACACAGGATGACATATTCAAATAAAACAGAGGTTTAACTCAGAGAAGAAATGTTTGAAATTCTGAAATTCCAAACCTGATATATATGTTATCAGTCATAGACTTTCATGTCATGAGTCCAAGTGATTTCTTACCGAACCCATCCTGCTATAAACGTACTATAAACCAGCGGCTGCCTGGCAGGATACGCCCACATTTTCGAGAGATGGATAGAAAACAAGCTAAAACGAAAGTGATTTTTCCTACAATCAAGGGCCATAATTCAGGAAATTACAATTCGATATGCGCAAATATCGAAAGGAACCAAGATCTTTGAGTTATAAACTTACATTTCAAGTTTCAACAAAATTGGATAAAAATTGTGACCTCTATACGGTCCACGACCTTGATATACCATATTTTTACGCAATTTGAGAACGAGGGGCGGCCATTTTGTCTGTCAGTTTTGGGCCATAATTCAGGAAGTTACGGTCCAATATGCGCGAATATCGAAAGGAACCGAGATCTTTGGGTTATAAACTTACATTTCAAGTTTCAACAAAATCGGATAAAAATTGTGACCTCTATAGGGTCCACAACCTTGATATACCATATTTTTACGCTATTTGAGAACGAACGGCAGCCATTTTGTCTGTCAGTTTTGGGCCAATTTTCACGAAATTCGAACTCATCAGTCCTTAGGGTCTAACGGTGATATAATAAAACGTTTTTTTAAATCGGATAAAAATTATGATCTCTATAGGGTCCACAAGCTAAGAACGTGATTTGTCATACAATAAGGGGCCATAATTCATGAAGTTACGTCCGATATGCGCGAATATCGAAAGGAACCGAGATCTTTGGGTTATAAACTTACATTTCAAGTTTCAACAAAATCGGATTAAAATTGTGACCTCTCTAGGGTCCACAACCTTGATATACCATATTTTTACGCTATTTGAGAACGAAGGGCGGCCATTTTGTCTGTCAGTTTTAGGCCGATTTTCACGAAATTCGAACTCAGCCGTCCTTAGGGTGTAACAGTGATATTTTATAACAGTTTTTTAAATCGGATAAAAATTATGACCTCTATAGGGTCCACAAGCCAAAAAACACGTTTTTGCGTACAATCAGGGGCCATAATTCATGAAGTTACAGTCCGATATGCGCGAATATCGAAAGGAACCAAGATCTTTGTGTTATAATTTTTCACGAAATTCGAACTCAACCGTCCTTAGGGTTTAACGGTGATATAATAATACAGTTTTTTAAATCGGATAAAAATTATGACCTCTATAGGGTCAACAAGCCAAAAAACGCATTTTTACGTACAATCAGGGGCCATAATTCAGGAAGTTACGGTCCGATATGTGCGAATATCGAAAGGAACTGAGATCTTTGGGTTATTAACTTACATTTCAAGTTTCAACAAAATCGGATAAAAATTGTGACCTCTACAGTGTTCACAAGCCAAAAACATGATTTTTCGTACAATCAGGGGCCATAATCCATGAAGTTACGGTCCAATAGATGCCAATATCGAAAGGAACCCGAGATTTTAGGGTGATAAACCTATATTTCAAGTTTCATTGAAATCGGATAAAAATTGTGACCTGTAGACTGTTCACAAACAATTGTGGACGGACGGATGGACGGACGGACAGGGGCGACGACATGTATAAATGACAAGTGATTTTTACGATCCTCAAACTTTTGGGGTATAGGTTCAAAGCGGTGAGAGTATTCATTTACTTTGTTTCACTCAGTCTGTTTATTTGACACCTAACTCTCTAGTTGGATAAGTTAGTGATTAGGGAGCAGGTGGAATGTGGTGACAAGCGTCTCCGCAACTTGGCTGTAATAAGTTTCCACAGGGAGCGGCCAATGAAGTTGGACCTGGACAATGTGGTTGCTCGCTTTGCTAAAATATACCCAAATTCAAAAATGGTCCTAGTTTGAATTCGGGAATGATTTAGCAATAAGTTTGCATCAAAATCGTTATTCTTGGTTGTTCTGATAGCAGCCTGCAGTGGTTTATAATTTTCAGTGTTTCTGAGTAAAACCAGCTTTATCTCGAGGACCAGTGTCTGAAATACTGCTAGACTGCATTTCTGGCAGTCTATTTTTCAAAAATTTTTGGGCAAAAGCCCCTCAAAACCCCCAGCTTTGCCCCTCCATCCACCAGCGGCTGGCACCACCTCTGATGATTTGATGTCCTACTTTTCTGCACTATCCAGGCTAATGAAGACAGGCTTGTCAATAAGGCTATTTAACTAGACAAAACTTTATAGTATACAATAGTAATACCATATGCTAAAAGATGAAAGATCCACAAATGCAAAGGTGCCTGAACGCTACAGGATAAAACTGAAGATAGAAGGTACAATCCTTTTTGGAGGGTAGGCGTTAATTTATTATAAATTTATAATCTAATTATAGTTTTTTAATATCTTGTATCCATTGATTTACATTTCATTTACCTAAATTTATATCTCAGATATCAAAAATATAAAATCTTACTTTTGTCAACTCAGCTCTAGTAGCAGATTCTTCCTTTAATTGCATTTGTAACATTTCTTCTTGCTTTTTAGAAAGTTTTGGTTCATCTGCTTTTTTACCTTTTATCTTTTCCATTTCCTGCATAAAAAACACAACAGATATAGAAGGCAGATATTTGTGATGAATGATCAGAACAACCTAAATAATAAACTATAGAGTGTTCTGATGTGTCCGTCCTGACAAGCTTTATTTCATTTTGACTATTCAATACTTTTTTCTCCGATATCAAATATATCTTTAAAGTACATGTAAATCAACTCCCAGCTTATCTTAAAAGATCAACATATTTAAGTTTGCTTAAAGCAAAGCTTAAAACCTGTGTGGGATGAAAGATGTTTGTCTGGAAAAGTCCAAATTTACAGAATTGGAATTGAATGACAATGAATTCAGTTTTGTCACTATACTGTCAATCCCTATAACTGAGGTAGTGTGAGTAGAATCGTGACGTAATCAAACTTGTTTTAGTTGTTGTGGTTGGTTGAGATAATTTCTTATTTATTAGTCACCACATGTGTTGTAATCTGAAATCCACCTTTTCCACTGGAATGTAACTATTTGTTTGAGTATTCAATTGAGTATCCCCAGTTTTATAGTGTATAAACTTGATATTGTAATACCTTGATGACAGGCAGGCACATACATATATTACGTATAAAAAGTGTCTACCTTTCTCAGTTCTATTTCAGCCATTTGTTCTTCATAGGAATACAGTTTATTCTGACGCTTTATATTCTTAGTACTTTCTTCCTTCTGCATGGCACTATTAGAGGAGAAAAACATACCTAAATACATATAATTACAGTACATCACAAACAAACCTGAGCCTACACTACTGATTTATAATACAATGATTTTAGTTCTTTTAATATCTAGAATCATTTTGTGAGATCAGTAAAATAATATAAATAGCTTATTCTTATGCATTACTTTACTCAAATTCTGCTGAACAAATCTTGTTGAAACAAACACAGCAATTCTTTATTTGAAATGAAGGCAATAAAAACAATATTAAAATAGTCTTTATGAATAAAGAGATTTGTTATAAATATCAAATAACTTTTTAAAAACGTATCACAAAACTTTACTATTGTATAAAATGCAAAATGCTACTGCAGCCAACATCAGTCATATATTTGGGTCAGTCACTACTTAAACATACATTATGCAAGAGCTAAATCTGATTATTGCAAGTCTTTATTTAGGCTTCAGATGTCATATAAATCAGATCTTTATTTACACAACAAGCACAAAATCAACTCTGTAGACCCACGGATGGCTTGGATTCAGCTTGGATTTAAACAGGATTTCGTTGACTGATTTAATTTTTAAATGGCGTCGGAAGCGGAGATTTACCGTTACGTTGACGTCATACTCCCGGAAATAATTTTAGATTGAGGCTAAATGATAGGTTGTACGAAGCGAGGCCGCTGTTGAGCGAGGCCGCATGTCAGTCAATTTGATTGAAAGTTCGATATACATCTATACGGCCTTGATATTATGTTTAGTTGTGGTTAAAATGAGAGTTTTGATGTCGGTATTATAGGCTTCGCTCTTTTGTCGCTTGCGTTTACAGAAAAATTATAGAAATTGATAAAAAGCGCAGCTAACATCACCCCAGTTGAATTGCAGCTCCAGTTACAGCACAAGAGTACGTGCAGGCTAACAAGAAGTCGGCTATAATTATGCCTCATTGATTTGGTCCATTCCTTTCAAACTTTCGCTTCTTATCTATATATTAAAAGTCTTATTTTTAATTTGTAGTAAAAATAAATGTGATACAAATTGAATTGGAACCCCGTCTCAAACCACAGCCATTGAAAACGTTACTTGATAATCGAGATTATGTAGGTGGAGTTAACGCCTGTCAATCAAACGATTGTCTTTTCTTGGAGACGGTGAAGAGAGAGTTGACTCCCATTTCCAGTCAAAAATTACAATAGTGATAACTTTGTTCAGAATAAAGTAATTTGACTGAAATTTTTAATATATTCTTCTTTCATCATCTATTTTTGAACTATTATAGCAAGAATGGCCAACTCTCTATTAAAATCTCCCATAATGTATCTTTAAGGCTTATGCCCAAAGGATGACATCTGTCTGAATGAAATTCCATTCCTTTCTGACATTATTACTTATCTTAAAGAACATGTTTTATCTATTCCACTAATTAAATTACCTATCTATTAAAGTTGTATCATAAGGTGTTCCTTCAGGTGTTAAAAATATACCATAACCATCTTTTGTTACATCATAGATAGTTGAGTTAGTAAGAAGACCACGAACATATTTCATTAATGATGGTAGATAAACATCAGGTGAACATAAGATTAATGTCTTGACAATATTCTCTTCAGTCTAATGAATAAAATATAATAATATATTAACATCTGCTTTAATAATAGAGAAATACATTTTCTCATTTGGAAAAACTATAACATTAGTTGTGACATAAATGAACATGTTAAAACCTGAGGAATCAAACAAGTGATTAGTGTTAATTATCATATTCTGTATACTCATTGGCTTAAAAACCCAACTATTTTTCGCAAAAGACAAATACAACTGTCAATCTCAACAAATACAAATCATATTTTATCTCAATATTTTGTCACTAATAAACATTTTGGTATAATATCCTCTATGGGTTTGGGTTTTTTTTACCTAAAACTCAATAAAACACTCCCATTTCAAAAGCCTGATGTGTAAATACATCATTTCAATGGTATTTTGTAATTGTTTCCATAGAATTGTGTTTTGTGCAGATCTGTAAATAACCAGTCGAAATGGTAACAAACAGCGCCTTAGAAACTATACATTAGTATCAAAGCATATTAAAAATAATAATATTATTAGAAATATTAGTTGATACTTACTGGAGTCAATTTACAGCCAGTTTCTGTTAACTTTAGACAAGCTTCTAGGTTTGTCTTTATAAAATTTGCTGGATCAATCTTCAGTTTCAGTAGAATTGATATCCAGACACCTTTATTATGATAAACTATAAAAAGATATGATAGTTCCATTTGTCAATAATTGAAAAAAAAAGAAGGTTAAACAGATGTTACTCACATAACATAAGTGCATCACCATGAAGAAAACAATACCATAAATCTTGGTTTCTTAAGAACCTACTATGTGTGTTGCCAATGATCGAAACCAGCTAATAATAATTACAATCACAAACTTTTGAGAAATAGACAAGAGTCGATTTTTTAAATTCACTTCAACATTATGTATTTCTCAACTTAACAACTATTGTCAAGCTTTATACAAATTTATCATTCTTACCAATATATGGATTATGGGCGAGAGGAAGTGTTGATAAGGCGATAGCTTTAGCTTCTTTACCAGATGCCTTAGTTACAGAACCAACAATCATCAGTGCCTCAGTCAGTATTTTAGGGGAGATCACTCTGCTAGATTCCTGGTTGGACTCTTTCCACTCTTCATCTTGTTTCATATACTGCTGGTAATCTGATACCTGATAGAAAGACTTTTATTAGTAATAGAATAAACTAAAAGATTGTATGTTACTTGTGACATTGAAAATAAAATAAAGGAATTGCCGTCCTTCAAGATTTTATACAAAAATAAAGTAATGCTGGATTGAAAATAGGTAAATTTTTTTCAGTTGTAATTAAATCCTAAGATGGCATTATCAGAAAGCAGCAAACATTTTGTATCAGTCAATTTTACATTAGGTTTTGCTCAATAGATTATGATTTGTAAAGTGATGCTTTGCTGTATGGATACTGATTTGTAATAATTTTTATAATGAGGTTTTGCTCCATGTCTAATTTGCTCCATGTCAAATAATTTTTATAATGAGGTTTTGCTCTATGTCTAATAATCTTTATAATGAGGTTTAGTTCCATGTCTATAATAATATTTATAATAAGATTTAGCTTCATGTCTAATAATTTTTAAAATGAGGTTTTGTTCCATGTGTAATTATTATTATATTGAAGTTTTGCTTTAATGCCATAATTCTGATGTTTAGTTCCACAGCAAATTTTTGTATAAACATGTAGTGCTTTGGTTCCATGGCTGATGACTGACATATTGTAGGTGAATATGAGGAAAGAAGTAACTGACCTTTTGGGTTTCTATGAGTTCACCAAGTTCAGCTATAAGATCTAATGGTATATTCGTACCACTTAATAAAGATAGAATTCGTTTGATACTAGCCATGGCTGTCTTTCTAACACACCATGAATTACGTGTTAAACAGTAGATCAATGCTTTATGATAGGGCCTGAAAGAAAACATAAATCCATAATTCATAGTTTACGTTGATACTTTAAAACATAATTACTCATTGAAAGACAAATCCCTTATAATTTTCAGTTCACAAAAGGGGTCCTCGATTGTCAGTCTGGAATGTTCCAATTGAGAGAATTGCAATCAAGTTACACAGAATTAAGTCTAGTTAGAGTTTGGCCAATACTAAAAACTGATGTGGTTTGAGCATAATTGTGACAGAATCAAATATTTCAGCTTTGATGATTCGTAGAGATAGTATTATATTCAGTAGCTGCATGCCTTCGTCATCTGGAATTATCATGTTAACTCAACTGACACCTTTCGAGGGATTGAGAGAATTCAATTCCAGACGGTTCCTGTGAATAGTGGCCTACCCCCAAAGAATCATATTTTATAATTTTAACAAATAATAATAATAACTTATTTCTTACTTGCAAACAGAATCTTTCATCTTTTGTGGGAAATCTAGAATCAACCTCTCAGACAATGTCACTATGCTTTGTAAGGCTGTAAATAATCAAGGATGGAACTAAATTTATTAAAAGGAAATGCAACATAATGGACTATTATACATTTAAAGAGGTGTGATCTGTTTAATAAATAAATGTCATTAGATAGAAGGGAAGAAAAGGGGTTTAAGTTCCAATCAACATAAACAACTTTATTTCAGGGCTAACATAGTACATCTTTATTAAATAATGTATTTGAAAATGAAATGAAATGGGGTTTAGCGTCCTAATTGGCCTCTCACCACACCATAATTCCCATAATCTCTTCGGAAAACCTATGGATTAACCTTAAAATATTTATTTCTTCCTTACACTTAAACTGAAGTATATTTCTTATGATATACCTACTTTCATCTGTAGCAGCCGATAAAAACTTCTCATTAACCAATAGTTGTTTATTTGTATTAGTGACAATACTCCAAAACTGAGCTAATTTACTTTCTGTTTTAAATATATAACATAATACATTTAATAAATAATATCTTCACCATTTATATATTGTCATTAAATGATAACTTAAACATTTTCTAGCTATTTAATATAGTCAATAATCTTAAACAAATATAACAGGTCCTGTATACTGTAAATTAATGTAAATAAAAAATGAATGGCTTAAATTCTGCTCCGAACTGGTCTAATGAAGACGGGCATACACCATACAGTGTGCTATGATGAAAATTTTGCCTGGACAGCGGCACTACGGCCTACTTCTATATCGAATTCCAACTGTCAAAGGATCTTTTACGTGCACGCCAATGCGTACACAGGACCTCGGTTTTTCGTCCCATCCGAACAACTAGACAGCTGTCCTTGACAAGCCTCCGTCCTGCATCACCAACAAGGGCGAACCATACTTGAAAATCTGGATCAACTTTCTCGGCCAATGGGATTAAATGCAACTTATTTCAGGAAAAATAAAACATAACAGACTAGCTACCGCGTAAATCTGCTATTTCCTAACCATGACATCTTTCAAAACATTAAAATAATTAATGCTGTTTATTTGGAGAGATATTAATATCATTAAAAGAAATAAAACTTGTTGATTTAAATTAAAGAGAGAGAGAGAGAGAGAGAGAAATGGGGTTTAACGTCCACTCGACACAAACTAGGTCATTTCGGGACTAACATATGGTTTAAATTTATTTCAATAATTCGCTTGCGCGTAGGGGTCTTTAGCAGTGGGAGGAAACCGGAGAAAACCCACGAGGTTGGACAGGCGACCCTACTCCTTGTCGCGTACAACCGGGGATTCGAAACCACGCCAGTCGACTCAATGACAGACTTTATGATACAGCGCGCGCACGCTAACCATTCAGCCATCCAACCCCCCCCCGACTTAAATTAAAAACAATTGTACAATTCAGATATGTTAATTCAATCAATGACATGGCAAGCTCCATTTCATTAATTTTTCATTTTATTATCTTAGTTTTAGTGGTCTGTTCACCACAAAATCAGTTATTTATCAAAATTGGATCAATCCGATATATGCAGACAATGTTCTATCATGAACAAAGATTATGTTCAATATTATTTTATTCAGGTCTGACTAATTGACAACATATTCATTTCTGTGTGGTTTAATTGTCGAGAACGAGACATTAAGTAATTTATTGACACTACACGAGGGCATTGGTTCAAGTGTTGTTTCAATATATCACACTATTAAACAACTTAAAATAAAGACACTATCCTGCATATGCAATTCAATGAAGTCGTCCTATATTTCATCTAGTATCAATAATGTACGATTGGCACGTTGCCCATACCATCAGTTGAAATAACATCAACACCAACATCAAAGGATTACATCACATCTGACTTTAACTTGTTTTATAATATATCAAAAGAGAGATCAAACAGATCCGTTTCGAAAGAATTCAGCAATTCTAATAATTCTTGGATGATGGTTATAACTTATTACACAGAACTACATGGTAACATGGCTATAAAACTTACCAACATCAATATCTATCAATGATAATCGTAATAATAACAAGGAAGCTGAAACTGCCTCTGTTACCAGTTGTGATTGACTAGACTGTTTATTAGCTTTTTCAAATGTTTGTAATAATATTGGTAAAACATCATTAGCCTGTTGAAGGATATCTCCATGATAGGCTGAATTCATACATAGTATATAGGCATTACGCACTGAAGCTGTGGCTGTTTTCAAAGTTATTCCTTTCTGTAACACAAAACATATCAACATTTAGAAATCATAAATCCTGGTTTCAATCCACATAAGGAAATATAAGAAATTAATATTAAATCTATGAAATTTCTAATTAGCATCAGGCTCATATAATATGATAGGTTGATATGTGTATTTTGAACGATTTATGATACAAGAACTGATGAAGCTCATTCCACTATCCCTCCCAATTGTACACCAAATGAAACTTTCAAGACATAACTTGGATCTATGACATGTTCTTGAAATTCAATAAATTAAGAACTGTAATAAATAATCGACAACCCCTACCAAAAACAAAGTAAAGATTTGACCACATACCTTAAACCACTGTGTTAGTTTTTCAGGAACTTCTGTATAGAACTTAGAACACCATAATGACAACATGGATAAACAATGTACCAATGTACCTTCATGTACTGAAAAATAAATTAGTTGAATAGAAGCAGAGTTATTTTGTTCCAAAGCACTGATCAATCAAACTGCTTATCTCACTTGCTTATCAGAACATGCTCATAATAAAACTTAGTCAAGACACTGCTGTAATGAAACAATATATTAAAGATATATTATATAACATTAGATAAAGAGCTGGTAATTAGCACTATAATATTTCAAACTAGATAATCTATAGGGGATAAGCCGAACATTTCAGTCAAATTGCTTTACTCTAAGCCACGAAAACCTATTTTAAATCACTGTAGCCTCGATTGTCATTGTTACCGCTGTCACGATAATTAACAAAGTCTCAATTATCCATTTTTGTGTTTAATCATCAAGGAGTGTTGAAAAGTAGATTGAATTCAAATCCAATGAAAATCGTACATATAAGAAGGCATCAAGAGTTGATTATGGTCTTTTCATGTTAATAAATATCTAATTAATAGTTTATATAACATTTCAGGCCTAAAGAAAGACCTGCTATAGGCAGATTTAGATCTTACATAATGCATGTTTAAGTCTCATCACGCTTATATCAATTAGAATCAAAGTTATCCTGTTCCAAAGCATCAACAAATCAAATAATCATCATCAGACTCTGTCAAGACATCCTCCTAATAAAGCAGAGTTATTATGTCTCAAAAAGTGCACAGCCCATTTTAATAGTCCCTTGCTTTTTTAGAAAGTCGGACCACAACAATTAATTAATATCTTCTGATTTGAGCCAGAATCTCAATGCTAGATAGCCAACATATCAGACTTCTAATAATAAATGATTTACAACTTACTTTCAGTTTGCAATGTAGGAAGAAATAGTTCGGATACTGTAACACTGAGATTATGTACAGATGTTGTACCACTTACAGTATTATAGAATATATTCCCAATAGCTGTCAATACACTCAATTTCTGTTCTAGCACTGTTAATTTACCTTCCGATCCTACAAACATCACATCATTAGATTGAATGAAACACTTCTAAATGATATCATATATACAACAGAAAATAATGTTTCATTGGATGACAATAGGTATTGGTGACAATCAATATCACTATTAATGTATTATAGAATAAAACTATCGAAATCCTTTTATATTTTGAGAGATTAGGTTCAAGTTCCCTCCAACAGATTAGTTTCAGTGAAGTATATCAAGATTTGAAAATCTGTTCCAGTAAAAATGTAAAGTTTACCTCCAAGTACAGCAAATGTCTTAGTAACTAATTTCTCTATGGCACCAGCATCACTACAATGTTCAGCTAAATACTTCATTCCTTCTTCAGCAAATTTCCTTGAATTAGAATCCTTACTGATCAACTGGGCTACAAAAAGGAAAAATACATAATTAGGTAAAATAGTGATGAAGATTAGTGGAGCTTGATTTTAAATCATTTTTTAATCAAATCATAACAATATAAACAGTAGCAAACTCGAAATCGGTAGGGTGCAATGTTGGGATTTCACCCGTATATTCTGGAAGCTATTTTTCAAATGTCCGACCAGGAATATGCTCAATCAGACATCAAGATATGGTAAATAATATTCAAAATTCCCAAATTATACTATTCAAAAAAAGTAGGGGATATTTGATTTTGGGGGCATAATACTAAAATATGCAAATGACTACGAAAAAAGTCACTATAGAACCTAACAGAAGAAACATTTCCAGTTACATGTGACGCCCAAACGCACCAATAGCTACCGCATGGAATGCAGGTGATGCTTGGGATCATCATGGGGGTCAAACCCAAGATTTGCACGACTCTGACTTTGAATGTTACAGTCATTGTGGCATTGAATTCCAGGGTGGAAACATCAGTTTAATTGTTTTAGTGACCAGAAAACAAATTTTGATATGCGTCGGCTTACCCAAAATGAAAGGTTACGTGCCCTTGGCATGCTACAGATCGGCACAACACAGGCGGTTGTGGCGCGGACGATGAATGTTTCTCAGTCTGTCATAAGCAGGCTATGGTCCAGATACCGTGATACACAATCTGTACAGGACAGACCACGCTCAGGTCGACCAAGGGCGACAACTCAAGCCCAGGATCGATTTATCCGTACCTTGGCCTTGAGAAATCGTGTCATCACAGCAAATCAGATCAGCGCTCGTCTTCAAACACTGGTGTGAGAGTGAGTGGCCAGACGATTCGGAATCGACTGCATAGGGGTCACCTACGCGCCCGACGTCCTCGCGTGATCCCTTGTTTAAGAGATCATCACATTCAGGCAAGACGTCGTTGGTGTAGGGATCGTCAACACTGGGATAATCGACGCTGGAGCAATGTGATGTTTTCAGATGAGTCAAGGTTTGGACAGACGTAGGAGGGTGTGGCGTCGTCGAAACGAGCGCTTCCAAGACGTTAACGTCATCAGACATGATCGATTTGGGGGTGGTTCTGTTATGGTGTGGGGAGGCATCACTGTTGCTGGAAGAACGGCTTTACATGTTGTTGCAGGGCGTGTTACAGGCCAGTACTACCGGGACAACATCTTGGCAGTCCATGTTGTGCCGTTCGCACGACGTCATGGCCGCCGTTTCATCTTCCAGGATGACAACGCAAGATGTCACAGGGCCAGGATCGTTACAGGTTACCTCCAACAACAGAACATCACCACATTACCTTGGCCAGCACTGAGTCCCGACCTCTCCTCCATCGAGCATGTCTGGGACATGCTTGGACAGAGGTTACGTCAACGTCAACAACGTCCTACCAATGTCCAAGAACTTGCTGCTGCGTTGCAACAGGAATGGGACAATCTGGACCAAAATGACCTTAGACGTCTCATTAGGAGTATGCCACGTCGGATCAATGCTTGTTTGGCAAACAGAGGAGGATTTACCCGTTACTGACTTGGTTGTGATGCTGTGGTAACTTTGCTGTTTGACCCCGGGTATCATTTTACCCTTATAATGGTCAGTCTGTGCCTTACTTAGTCTAACGATCATTTGGAATAAATCGATGAATGTGAACTTCATTTCATTTTGTCATTTGTTTCTTCGTCAGTTTCATTAGGTGACTTTAATAACACTTAAAAATCAAATATCCCCTACTTTTTTTGAATAGTATAATATAGTGTACTGTGTCAGGCCATGAAATTACATGCGAACATAACCAATCGGTTACGTGTGGTCGCGCCAGCTCAAAAACATATGACCGATTTCCTGGTTACGCAAATTGAAATATCAGTTAAGTTAACAAATTTAGTCACATTTGATAAATTTTTATACAGGATGACTTTGTGACACAGGTCTAAATTACTAGTATTATAGCTTTTAAATTAACAGTCAGCACAAACTCCATTCATTCATGGCATTTCATCTCTCCATCTTACCGGTACTTTGACAGATCACATAATTTGACATCAGGTATTGACCAGTTGCAAGCAGGTTGATTTAAAAATGCCCTTCATCCCTAATTCTTTAAATGAATAGTTATGCCATAAATATTTGAAAATGACTATTTAACATGTCAGCTATATTTTCAAAGAATTTCACTATAGCCATGCTGTACAGAGGTACCAATGACCCATCTGTATGTCGTCCACTTTGACCCCCATCATCACATGGCATCGCTCCAGCAATAATGTAAACGATTTTACTGTCCTGTGTATTTTAATATTATTTCATCACATCAGATCATTCTGTTTCCTTCTGAGACTTTGTTTATAGAGTGTCGAGGTTAACAAATATTATTTGTCAATCAGTCTGTACCTATGAGTGAGGCTGTATCTACTTTCTGATCAATTAAAACAGGTTAATTATTACTTTTTGATAAAGAAGTCAATCAGCTAGCTTACTAAGTTACTTAAAATAATTTTTCTAATGTTTAAATGGGGACACCGTGGGATTAAATTCATAAACACTTAACCTCAAAATATAACATTAAATATAAAAGAATATAAATTAGTCAAGTCATTTCTTTAAAAAATACATTCATTGCAAGTGGAAATGAATAATAGCACTATATAAATCTGAATAAAACATGAAAATAGTGCCACCATTTTATGTAACCAATTGGTTACGCAATGGTCATCTGGCGTAACCAAAGAAAAATGATTACACAGAGCATATACCTGCCACCATTTTTCAGCTTATCCCTCCTTCGCATAAGCAGAAAATGCTCATCTTAAAACTTCATCAAGGCATCGACCTAATAAACACCTACATCTACAGACAGACAGACGACCCATTTTAATAGTCACATGCTTTCTTCGGTTGGCGGAGGACAAAAAAAACCTTTTTGATCCCAATTGAGATCCACATTAAATATGTGTGTATATAGATTCAAATCTATATCGAATTATAACCAATAAATTTCTTTAATACTGAAAAAGGTGCTTACTGTGAAGAAGTTTACCAATATCTGCAGCATACTGACTTAAATCTAACTGAGTTCCATTTAACATTTCTGTTACAGCTGTAAAAATGAACATCAATATATTGTGAATAAACTGAATTCATAGTTAAGTGCTAAATACATTTAATACTGTTAATAAAATAAAAAAAGCTACTTTCATTTTATTTTATTTAGGAAAGGACAGTATCACAAGTTAAAGCACACATTCTTACATATTTTTATGATTTTTCAGTAAGTATCACAAATATGAGATTTTTTTCTCAATAATCCTAATCTCAAATATCAATCAACATTGCTCGCAAACCAAACAGATAACTTACATTCCATAATGGTCTCTGGGTTACGTAACATAGCTTTCTGTGTTGTTGGTAGAATCTGTGATTTGAAGTCATCATGAGAACAATGACGTAAAATCTCAATACTCCAACTCTGAATAAAATATACATTTATGTATCATTTTCACACATTAAATTTTATGGCAACAGTGAAAATATGAATTCCACCATTTTTCAATTCATTGTAAGCAAAACACACGAAAATCTTCTCAATATCAGAACTATGAGATAATCACAATAATCACATACTATAATAATAAACCTGTTAAGATCTGCATGAATTTCAGGAATATTCATACATGATAAAATGTTTTCAGGACACTTACTAGAACATGTCTTTGGTTGTTGGTTCTTGATGCCAGAACCTGCTTAACATAGATTTCTATAAATGGAACCTGGAAAAAAAATTTAAAAAAAATAAACAAAAATAATACTATGTATGTTTTCCAGTCTTAGGCACAATTTATCACAAGCAATTAAGCAAGCACAAAAATATACAAGCACAATTTTTCATAATTAGTAATGTATCATGTGAAATAAAGGATTTGGGTGGCTGAGTAACCTAATGCATGTATTTTAGATCATGACGTCTGTCATAGAGTCAAGCCACATGGTTTCAATCTCTAGCTTGAACCGTGTAGGTTTTCTTAGATTTCCCACCAATGCTAAGGATCCCTGCATGCAGACGAGTTGTTGAAATAAAGATATCCATCATGTTAGTACAAAGTGATCTAATTTTTGTTGAGTAGATACTAAACCCTATTTCTCAATTCAACACTTGTGTAAATCAATATCCTATAATAAGAATGAAAACCTGTTCTGTTACTTATTGTCTGTAGAAGCCCAATGAATGAACGATGCTATTTATAACCATATCTTACTTTATATTTTTTAACGGCTTCCTGATTTTTAATCGAGTAGAAATATTTGAGTAGAAGAGAACAGCAACATATTGTGATGATAGCTGGTTCTTTCTCCTGTACAATCATAGCATATTTCTCTGTAAAACTTGCATCCTGAAAGAATATGAGTATGGCTTTAATACTAGAAGGTTTGTGTTGAAGAAATAGTCTCACTTTGTTTTCATTTATATAAGTGGAAAAAAGTATGCAAATCCATTGCCAAATGTAAATAAAAAGAGTTTTTATCTAGTTCAGATTTAAGCAATTCAAGATATAGTATTTTGGCATACATTTTATATAAAATGAGTAACTAGGTAAATATGATAACGACATATAGGTATATTTAGGGGGTATCATCAAGTAGCTCATCAGTAGTACACATTATTTAAAATCCCTAGCATGTCCATCTAAATATTATTGACCACACAAATATATATGTGGTCAACATGTGGAAAATATATTAATAAATAAATACATTTAGAACCATACCTGTGACCAGAGTGTTTGTAGTTTCCTGTAGGTTGATTTATTTATGCTCTTGTTATTAGCTGATAGTGCATTATAAATTAACGTAATCTGAAGACCAACCTACAATATACAAACACATAGTTTACTATTTCTTGATACATACTTACATGTGATACAAGACTAAAATAAACCGAAGCGCACAAAATTAAATAACAAAATATAAATAAGTAAATTATAGAGTACTTATGCGATTATTAACGTACTACATAAAAGATGTCCACTTGAAAACTGAGTTGAAGAGAAATTGTTGTATACTGTGATCAGTTAAATTTATTAACTCATATTAACCACATAAAAGAGAGAGAGAGAGAGAGAGAGAGAGAGAGAGAGAAATGGGGTTTAACGGCCACTCGTCATTTCGTGACTAACATATGGTTTAATTTTATTTCAATAATTCGCTTGTGCGTAGGGATCTTTAGCAGTGGGAGGAAACTGGAGGACCCGGAGAAAACCCACGAGGTTGGACAGGTGACCCTATTCCTTGTCACGTACAACCGGGGATTCGAAACCACGCCACCAGTTGACTCAATGACAGGCTTTATGATACAGCGCACACGTGCTAACCATTCGGCCATCCAACCCCTCAACCACAGATAAACATGTAATTGGAGTGATATTAAAACCTGGCATTAAAAAATGAAGTACAATTTGAAATTTTTACCATTTGTTGTAATATTAAATCATCTACTCCTTTAGGTGATGCCAGTAATGTAGACAAAATACAGCAGGTCCATGATAATGCCACTACGCTTTCTCCTGATGCACTTCGACTGAAATTTCAGAAATAGGTTTACACTATAGATGAAGGCGATTTCATATTTTTTTGTTTCTGTTTTTATCAGAATGTGGTGATTTAAGATGTTTATGACTTAGTTTACATGTACAGGAAAGGTTCAAGTTAAAGTGATTTCGATTTGATACTTTTCATTTTCTAAACACAATGTTGTGATTTAAGGAAAGGGTTTTAGGGTAAGTACACCGATAGAATTGATTGGTATTGGGTATCAGGCTAGACACTGACGACATATTCATATTTTAGTTGATATCTATTCACAAGAAGTACGGTAGACGGATGATAGAACATATTCAAGTGACTGTGATAATGAAGTATATTCCAAGTTGTTGTAAAATACTAGTGTGAGTCATGATCGGCTATGTGCTACATGAAATATAAATGTAGGCACATTGAAAGAAAATTCTTTACAAGTAACCATTTATGTAGTAAAAAGTCAAGTAAACACTAAATGACATATGTAGTAGTCAAAAAAAAGGGATCAAAACGTTATAAAAGTGTGCAAGAAGAATTTAAGTCTATTAATTACACTTGGGGCATAAGTCCTTATTTCTATAAAACAGAGAAAGACAAAACTGAATACATAGAAGCAATCTCAAAATATGCGACTACTAATTAGATATCAGTAGAATAATTCAGTATGCATGGATGGCATAAGAAATTCATACTTAAGATGAGTGACTGTTGATAAAAGTATATTCAAAGTTTTATCAAAATTCATTCATTCTCTAGAAAAAATAAAATTATTGTGTTGCAGTAGAGCAATTAAATACACAAGGCATGGATGAAATTTATGTTTGAACTTGATGAGTGTCTGTAATGGTGGAGGCATAATCCAAGTTTCATCAAAATCCATTCATTAGAAACAAGCCAACAGTGAGGCTGATGTCCCCCGCCGAAATCCCACAATAAATAGAAGACACATAATAATTAGTCGCACATTTATTGTTTTCAAAAGTATCAAACTGGTTATCAACTATACACTAAGTTTCATCACTCTCTATCAGATAGAATCAAAGTTATTTTGTCCCAAAGCATCGACCAATGAAATTTGTTAGCTCTGCTTAGCTTTAGCTCGAAATGTTAATCCTTGAACATCTACTTCGAGTTTAAACATTCTACCTTAATTAAAAGCAGAGTTGTTATATTCCACAGTCTTGACTAATCAAATTGCTTATCGCTCCTTAGCCTGAGCAGAAAATTCTCATCATCGAACTTAGTCAAGGTAATGATATAATGAATCTATACTCTCACTTAATTAAAACCAAAGTTATCATGCCCCAAAGCATCAACCAATCAGATTGCTTATCTCTGGTTACTGTAAGCAGACAATGTTTATCTTCTCAATTAGAAGGAGAGTTATTGTGTTCCAAAGTCTCGGCCAATCAAATTGCTTATCGCTCTGTTTACCCTGAGCAGAAAATGCTCATTATCGAACTTAGTCAAGGTATTGATGTAATGAAACTACACCAAGTTTCATCACTCTCACTTAATTAGAACCAAAGCATCAACCAATCAAATTGCTTATCTCTGCTTACCCTAAGCAGAAAATGCTAATCTCCGAACTCCATCGAGGCATTGACCTAATAAACACCCACTCCAAGTTTGAACATTCTAGCTTAATTAGAAGGAGAGTTATTGTGTCCCAAAAAGTGTGACTGACAGACAGACGGACAAATCCATTTTAATAGTCCCCTGCTTTCTTCGAAAGGCGGGGGACAATAAAGTTATTGTGAAACCATATATACATACTGTAAGTTTTTCATTTGTTTGGTTTTTTTTAGAAAGGAAAACTTACATATCACTTTTTATTAATCAAGGAAGACAATTGATTTGTTGTCTTAAATAGGTATTTGCATTGTCTAATGAATTTGAATGATACAGATTATGAAGAAATATTTACCACAGTGGACTATTTCTAACCCGTCCTTCAGCAAATGGTGTTAAACTTGATACAATTTGTTTAACAGTAGCATCTGGGTATACTTTGGTAAGACATTGTATAACCTGTAATACTGCCTTAACTGATCTTCTATCTCTATAATATCCTAGAGTTGTGACAAGAAATTTGACAATACCCTTCACAGCAACTTCAGGGATTTCTACAATAAAAAACATTCAGAGAATTAAAAAATTCATAATTTCCAAAGACTAAAACTTATACATTAAAAACTGATTTGTACAGCTGCTGGTAATAATTATTGGTATGACAATCTTAAGCAATGTTTGTCTGGGAAAGTGGAAAACCATAGAATATTAAAAAAATTACATGGTGCAGACTTTTCTTAACAAACCTAATAAATATTAAAAGTCATAATTTATGCTATGTAGTAATTCATCACAGTCTTTAATACTACAATATTAACATATCGGGCCGGTTAAGTGTCAAAAGGGTGTATCTAAGAATTTCTAAAGATTAAGAAATAGAACACTTTGCATTTCAAAATTTCCACAAACCAAGATACAACATTTGGACACATAATACCCAGAACAGTTCTAATTGGCGTAGAGATACACAGCTTAGACAGAAATGTGCATATTAATTGGGAGATTTTAAAAATGCAAAAAAGTGTATTTGACGAATTTCCCGAGATATACCCTTTTGACAGTTCACCAACGAATTAATTGTTAAAAAAAAAGAATAGCATTAAATTCACCATTTTTTTCAATTGCATCATTTAACTCGTTCAAAACTTCAATTCTTTCTCTTGTACTCGAGACACCAACTTTCTGTGCAAATTTCTTCAATACTTCAGCACCAGTATTCTTATAAATTATTTTCAAAAAAAGCATGTACAATTGTTAATATGGTGACATAAAATGATAAAATTGCAACCCTAATAGTAGTTTACTTTATTTAATCTGTTATCATTGGAAGGTTTTTATCTTTTATTTTTAGATTAAGCCGTTATAAGGAGAAGGAGGAAATATTGGGTTTAGAATGCAGTAGTACGTATAAAATCCATGTTGACATATATTGTCAGTTTGTAGTGTGCTTGCTTATAAACTGCTTATATGTTTACTGTTCAATATTATACTTTAAAATTAACATTTTTCATGGATTATTGCATGTTTGTGTTGGCTAACGATTGTCATGAAAATTAAATAAGAAAACTAATAATGCAAATTATAACTTATTTTCAATGAATTCAATTGTAAAAATATGAATTTCAAAGTTTTTTTTTATTTCCTAGGAAGGTGCCTTGGTGAAAAAAATGTGAACATCATGTGTGGTTTAATGGTCGAGAGCGAGAAATTAAGCAATATATTGAAACAACACAAGGGACGTTAGAGAGATATGAGTTTAATGTCCACTCGACACAGACTTGGTCATTTCAGGACTGGCATATGGTTCAGTTTTATTTCAATAATTTGCTTGTGTGTAGGGACCTTTAGTAGTGGGAGGAAACCAGAGGGCCCAGAGAAAACCCACAACGTTGGACAGGCGACCCTACTCCTTGTCAAGTACAACCGGGAAAATGAAACCACAACAGTTAACTCAATGACAGACCTTATGATACAACGCGCCTGCTCTAACCATTCGGCCATCCAATCCCTCGAATAAGTAAAAAGCCATTGAACTGGTACGATTGTATACAAGAACGACAATATAATTTACACTGCCCTACATGAGCTATGAAAAGAAGATTTATTTTTTTATAAATTATTGGTGTTTTTTGCATGTAAAATGATCTGATCATAATTCTCTTGGCACTATTTACATTTACTAGGCTGTAGAGTCTGTCCAGCCCTCAGATTAGCTGTGCAATATGAACATGAGACATCTGGGTTACTTCAATTCAGGCGCAGTGTAAAATGCACCAATTCTGTAATACGACAACAGTTCCAATAGCCTAAGGCCTAAGTAAATTTTAGCTAAAATGAATGTGATGGTTAACAAATTACACATGGTAAGTTTTAGAAATCAAGTTTTTTCAAATATTATAATGGATAAAATACTGCAACAATTTAAATGAAATTTTCAAACATAGAGGGAGACTATACGACGAGATTTATTAATTATGGTTATTTACAAGTTCACTTACAGTAGAGTCAGCCATTTTGGTTGTGCAATCGCCGGTTTCGTCGTCTGCCTGACAGATTTCTAAAATATTAATGCATTAGATATCTAACACGGTTGATTCATTTTAAGTGCAGCAATTTTTTTTGAAAATATGTTATTGAATGTGTGTGACTTAAGTCATAAAGTGAAATATCTCTAATAAATAAAGGTATTGCTCAACGATTTGCAAAACTCTGTAAATCAGAAACGTGTTTTAAATGTTGCTCTCTAGAAACGGAAACCACGTTTGTTGTTGACACACATTGCGGGAAGCTATGAACTGGCAGTAAACATTCAATTACGGCTGATTTTGGTCCTGCACAATAGATCTACTATCTTTTATAAATTGTTATATCAGATCATCTAATAAAATATTCGTTTTAATTTATAACTGAGATAGGAGATAAATAAATGAAGTTAAAATATATAATCAAAAACATAAGTTCTTTGTTGAAAAAAGATAAAAACAGTCCACAAAAGACCACACGGTGCTTGTCGCGATGCCAGTTTATTCTCGTTTCTTGTGAAATGTTTCATTCAGCAATATGATTGAAATCTCAAGAATATTTTTCTATCACGTTTCATTATACATGTATCTATAACAATTAATCCGTTCGGAAATTATTTACGACATTTCATTTTCACTGAACCGGAGTTTCGTTTTAAACCAATCAGAATCTTGTAATTGATTTAGTCCAGCCAACATCAACATGGAAACATGACGCTTCTTTGATTTTGTAAACATGGTTTTATTTTTAATTTTATTTAGATCACAAAAAAACTCACTTTCACACTCCCCATTTTGTAGGTCAAAACACAAGTAAATCATAAAAGAAATTGTCATTTTGTGAATTAAGCTTTTGATAAAACAAATATCTTGGAGTTGGTTTGTTTTTAGTTAACAAAAATTCGGAATGCAATGGCCCATGGGTTTATTAACGTCCTACAGTTTTGCTCCTAAACTGGGCTAATGGAAGACGGGCATACGCCATACAGTGTGCTATGAGGGAAATTTTGTCCTGGCAGCAGCGCTACGGCCTACTCTTATATCGAATTCCAACTGCCAAGGGATCTTTTATGTGGACTCCAATTTGTACGCGGACCTCGGTTTTCCGTCCCATCCGAACGACTAGACAGCTGTCCTCCGGCCCTCCGTCCTGCATCACTGACAAGGGGAAACCACGTCGGAAAATCGGGATGAACTTTCTCGGCCAATGCATCGACTTGACGAACGAGGCTAGACATATTCCACAATTCATGTCAAACATTGACGTCATATTCTTATCAGGAGAGCATGCACAATAAATAATATCTAATCGAAGTTAAACACAAACATATCTGAATTTTTAGCAAGTCTTTTTAACTGCTTATTAATATGAATTGGATTCGATCAGCCGCTCTCGGATTCCATACATCTTTGACTTTATTCATGCCAAAATAGTATGATGAAGTAAATGCCGACTGATTTTTTTTTGTATAGGCCTTAGTGTATTAGAATGCAGCACGTTGATACTAAATTCCATTCATTCTGTTTCATGTTGAAGTTGAAATACAAAAGTTTGTGCAGATAATAAGATGATTACGTAGTAATCAATGTCCTTAAAAATACAACATATGCGACTCATGGAAAGAAGCCAGTTTAGGTTATTTTTAATGGAGAAGTCCAAGATTTCATAGAGTATTGGTTAATAAAAGTGTGTTTTTGTCTACAAATAAAACTCTAAAAAGGTGAAGAAGTTTCAGCCCAAAATATTGAGTCTTTTGGAAGTATGTGCCAGGTTTGCTTAAAATCTGGTTATATAAGGAATTCTTCTAACATACATATGAGATGTAATCCTTTGATCTTTGCGTACCATTATTTCAAGTGGTACGGACAATGTGCCAATCATACATTATTTTACACTAGATAAAATATTAGACTTGCAAGACCTTTTTTCACTGAAATGCCTGTGCACTGTATTTTAAATTTTTAACAGTCTCTAGCAAGACATTAAAACAACACTCAGACTAATGTCCTCATACCTGCGCTAGAAAATACAACTATACGAACTGGATTTAGACTATTTATTTTCCACTAGTTATATATTTACATTATTTTTTGTTTCAGAAAACTTGAAGAAATTATTACAGTCATAGATGTAGGCTAGATGATGTGATTCCAGAAGCATAACCCTCAATATATTTGTTTATTTGAAGATGCTTATCAAGAATAATGTTTGATTGAAGTATTAATTATTATACATAAACAAAACAATACATGTATACCTAACAAAGCTAGTGATATTATTGTTTGCGAAGAAGACATTTTTTTTTTGTTTGAGTGATTTAAGTTTATTGAAATTATGCAATCTAACAGGAATAAACCTCGTCCATTAGGGATAATGAGACAAAGTTTAACCGGACTTGATAAAACACCACATTTACCTCGTCTTTCAACTGATACACTGTTTCATGATTCTAAATTGGACAGAAATTATCGTGGAATACAGGGAAATGCAATGTCAGTGCCACCAACTTATATTAAAGACATTTCTCAAACACCAAACAGAGATTACTCTGACGAAAGACGGAAAAGTTCATCAAAATCAACGCAATCAGAATTGAGCAAGTCACCTGACCCTTTAACAAAAAGAGAGTTACGAGATGCATTAGTAAGTTACAAAATAAAGAATAAAAACTTTAACCCTACTTAAATATTGTCTGCGAGAATAGGTATTCTTTTCCATTCATGGTACATTTGTGGTATGTACTCTAGATTTGAAATATTGTTTGTATGTATTGATTTGTTTTCTAATATTCTGGTATGAAGTAGAATAATCCACAATATTACGGTACTAGAATATCACAAGAATACAGAAAAGCCAGCAGTTTCAGTCTGTGATAGTTGCCTCATGTATCAAGATTACTTATATTGTGGAATTTGGGCGGGGAGTCAAATGGTTGTATCCAAGTTTTACCAAATTGTTCCGATATAAAAGTCTGAGTAGTATTGAGTGGTCAAATTCATTATCTTCAATTTTGTGTTACTGGTATCTGAAATTATTTTTTAGAATCGTGAAAAAGACTTAAAACAACAAGTGACTGATTTATTAAAAATTATTGAAGAACTTCGAGCTGAAATAGCAACTAAAGATACAACAATATCAGAGTTACAAGACACTCTTCAAAAACAGGTACCAGTAGTTTTTTTAGCCCATTGGCCCAGCAGTGTTGTTACTTCTGTCAGTCCAGTACAAACAATTTACATTTTCAACTTCTTCTTTAGAACCCATGATATGATTTCTACCAAATTTAATCAGTAGGTATAGAATGAAATAATTTTATAACATTCCTTTTTCCAGAAGTCAGCTATCTATATAATTTACTTATTTTAGGGTTTCCTTAACCCATTGGCCAAAGCAAGGATACTTATGAGGCCATTTGTGTGATTCTTGAATCAATGAACAACATAATTATGTGTACTAGTATAATTAATGTAAAGTATGATAATACAGCTTGTGGTGGAGCTATAGTTTCATTTCGAGGATATTAGGATCATGACGGAGGGGACAGGTGGGTGAGACAAGGATGGATGGAAAGGCTAAGTTATTATCTATTCTTAAATGCTGGGGCCTGGCTAAAATCTGTCGTAGGTGGCAGGGGAAAAGGAGGTTTTGAATAAGGGAAGTGTTGATCGAATGGAAAACTAAGATTTAATTGTGTACTCTTAACCCTAAAATGGTATATGTCACCATAATAACAATCTGATTGAAATACAAATCTATCCACTACATTAAAATCTGACCGTACCTTTTAGCCCTATTAGTAAGTGCAGGGGGACTGCACCACACAAAATTTACACAAAAACAAATACGCGGACAGGACATCATACTCAGGAAAACACAAACATACAGACAATTCAAAAAAAGTGAATGAATCTGATGTCAGTTATTCGATTGGAAATACAACTGTCGCTCAGTTTTGTTTTCTGTCATGGGCACCACACGACAAGAACACAACCCAACAGATAATTTGATCTCGCATTATTAACAACACTCTCAGATCCTGGTGTAGTGAAAACAAGTAAAACAAAATGATAAAAAAAACGGAACGAAATAAGATCTGTGTTTTGATCAGTTTGCTGTGATAAATAAAAAAGAATATCCGTATATTAGTCTAAAAATGACTTAAGTATTAAATTACGCTGTTTTCCTCTCCAGGTTGAATGGGCAATATGCCAGAATAAATGTCTATGATTGTACTGTGACTAAATTCAATTCAGTTTTATAACACAGACTACTCAGTCTGGTTAGTGTGGCATATAAGTATAAAAAAATTATAAGTATTTGGAATGATGTTTGTGGGTATTGAAAATTTGAATACTTTATTGTAATTTGTTATATTTACAGGAGAGCCAGTTTAAAAGTAATTTAGCTCAAGAAGTTGAAAGACATCAAGAAACTAAATCCAAACTAGAAACTGCAAACCAAAATAATAAAGAACTTCATTTAGAAATAGAAAAATTAAAATCAGAAAATGAATACCTTCTAGAAAAAATAAAGAAAGAGGTAAATTCAATATGTTACTTTTGTTTATAAAAATCAGGATGTAAATGATTCAATCCACCGAAAATGCAAAATATATTATAACACATTGTTTCTCGACTGAATTCTTTCATGGGTAGTAGTGCTTTTTAAAGCACCAAAGACCAATCATAGGTTTTTGTGAAGTCTTCAATCTTCCATATCATCAATAAATATCTTGATTGTTCAAAGTAGTTACTATTTTATTATTAAGATTAATGGCTTTAATGATCAGGAGGAAGTAATATAAACTTCAAACGGCAGGATATATCCTTTGATTGACCATGTTTTTGTTTATTAATAGTATGAAAAAAACCTGACATCAGTAATAGAAGAAAAAGAGAAAGAAATAAAGATAAGAGATGATAAACTAGTTAAATTAAAACAACACATGGCCGATGCCCTGAAAGGAAACTCATGGTAAATAGACTATTCGGTTTGGGTGGTTATTGAAAATTGAAAATAATCACTGAATTAAAGCTTCTTACAATAAAAAATCTACGTCTTTTTGACCCCCGTTTTTACAAAGCATTCTCGATCTTAAGTTAAGAATTTACACAACTTTCAACCACTGTTTATGAGAAATATCTTTGATCCGGAAACACAAAAATTTGCACCTAGATTCTTATTGATGTATTTGATACATTATAACTACAAATGTTTTATAAAGAGCTTTTTGGTTAAAATAAGGCAAACAATTTTGAGTAAATTCTTAACTTAAAGCATACAACATACATTCCTAACTTAATCATACATTATGCAAAAGATAAATCTGCCTAATGCAGGTGTTTCTTTACGCCTGAAATGTTATCTAAATTATTAATTAGACATAATTAACTTATCCAGACCATAATCAACTCTCGATGCCATCACTAGCCTACAATATTTAGCGGACTGGAATACACATATTATGAAGGCTGATTGAGCGTTAAAATGGATAATCAAGACTTTGTTTTTTATCGTATCGACATTAGTAATGATGATCGAGGCTAGCGTACAATTCAAAAGCTAATATCCTGGTTCAAAGTGTATCAATTTCACTGAAATTTTCAGTATATTCTATTTACATTATCTATTTTTTAACTATTATGGTGAGAACTGTCAACTCTTTTTCTAATCTCCCATAATCTGAGAATGTTTTGTGGAACCGGGGTCTGGTTCACTATTTATCTTTCATAATCGATTTAAGTTAAAAAAACAATATATCATTTTCATTTTTTAACAAATATTTTTACAGGGAGAGACAACAGCAATTAGAAGAATTAACTAAAGAATTGGCTAAAATACAAGATGAAGCAGATATGTTGAGAATGAAGATCAAATCTGTCACTAAAACTAAACAGGTATCTTTCAAGATAAAATTATATCCACTTGCTTTTAAAACTGCTTATTTTTAATTAGTTTTTATTTCTAAACATTAATGTGATAGAGAAGGCACTTTAATCCAAGTAAGGATGATATACAGTGCTGGTTCGCTAACCAGGTGTTCTTGGATTCACTCCCGATGCTGGCAGAGAAAGTTCCTCTGGATTTTCCGACGGGATTGGCCCTTGTGAGTAGTGCCGGACGGAGGGCCTGGCAAGGACAGTGTCTAGTCGTTCAGTATGAAAAACTGAGGTCTTGTGTACACATTGTCGTGCATGTAAAAGAATACTTGGAAGTTGGAATTTGAAACAAGAGTTGACCCTAGCGCTGCTGTCCAGGCAAAATTTCCCTCGTAGCACACGGTATGATATATGCCCATCTTCATACGACCAGTGCTGGGATTTTCTTACATTTAGAACACTACTGTTTGCTTTGTCTTTAATTTAGTTACCATATTACCATCAACAGTTTGCTTTTCACACTAATAATACTTTTCCTCCCCGTTTATCTGTAGGGTCCATGCCACATATGTGTAGAGAGTGCAAATAAATTACAGAGGGCATTACAAGCGATAAAAGAAAGAGACCAAACGATCAAAGAACTAAAAGGTTTAGCAATAAAATTTGAGACTCAGCTTTCACAGCAAGATCAACTTCTCAAAATGTGGGCTGATGAAAAAGGGCATAAGGTCAAGTTGCCTAAATGAAACATAAAGCATTTAGACAATTTTGGTCAAATACATGACAGCATTATCCTCATATGACCCAGGTTTTCTATTAACAAAATTTGGACAGTTAATTGTAGGTGATTATTTCAATAAAATAGCAATTAAATAATAGCCTGAAAATAGCGCTTCCTAAAATATTATGGGTTTCTAATTCTACAGGGTAATATTTGTATCTATTTGGTTCCAAAAATTATTTATCTTTATACTGATTTTGCTACATGTTTACCAGATTGGTCACATTATATATCTTGTTAATGATATGTGTGTTCTACTTTAAATTCCATTTGAGCATATTTAAGTTGGGAATTTTTCTTTTAGCCTTGATTATATAGATGTATATAATTTAAAGATTAATGAATTAAAAAAAAAAAAAAGATTGTCATTTATCTGATTACTTAATTATTGTTATTTTTGTATGAAAAATGGTTTGAAAAAGACTTAACATTAAATATAACTAGGGCTGTGCCGATATACCAATATGTATAGATACGTTTGATCAATATTTATATCAATATGAGAATTGCAAGATTACCTATCTTATCACTGTATCATTGAAGCATGTATTTTTTACAGAAAGACAATGAAACCACATTCAGTTTTGATAAGAGGGATGTAATAGGGCTATTGTCTTGGTGCCATAACAGACATTTTTAGCTATAGTAGACAATAAAAAATAGGCTTAAAAACAAGGTATGATTGAAAATTCAAGAAAGCTTGTAAATAATTTGGACAGTATCGGCACAGCCCTAATAATAACTTCAGACCATAATTCAATATCAATATTTTGATTTAGCAATTTTTATTTCCTTGCAGGGGCGAATGTCCCTTTCTAGAGACTAAATTATCTCCCTTTTATAAAGATATCAATACTTTCAATTAAATTCTTGTCTTGTATGTTCATGTACTTCACTCAATATATACTGGTACTAAAGAGAATAAAGTTACCAGTGATGTTTGTTTTAGGGCCCCTTTCTGAAAACTAAATTATCTCCCTCTAAGGAGAACTATGCCCATGACAAATATTTAATGACATACCTTGAATATTTTCTTGAATGAAATTGATTATGTAAATCAGGGTACATTTTGTTAATGTTTGTTATATTATTTTTAAATGAAACGTTTTTTAAAATATTGTTAATGAGGTATTATTCTAGAAACAGTATTATAGTTATTTTTTTTAATTCATATTCATTCTTCATTTTCCTTTGTGATCAACAGAATAAAAAAAATAATTTCAATTGTTTTTTTCCTTTATAAGAATGACATGAAAACATTTACTGGTAAATATCAATTAAACTAGAGCAAATAGGGCTCAATATCCAAATCCCAAACTGATCAGCAGTAAATATTTCCTTGGTCCACTAATATCACTGATAAGAAAAGAAATAAAGGTGTTTGAAGTTTATCTGGATACAAAAATATTTCCTATTTAGTGTTAAGGTGCCAATTCTGCCCGAACTATACTGGGTGTAACATTATAGTGTTAAAAGAAGGCTTTCGCGAGAGAGGGATAGAGAAATGGAGTTTAAGGTCCACTCGACACAAACTAAGTCATTTCGGGTCTAACATATGGTTTATTTCAATAATTCGCTTGCGCGTAGGGGTCTTTAGCAGTAGGAGGAAACCGGAGGACCATTTGACCATCCAATCCCCCGAAGGCTTTCGCATTACCGCTGTGGATAGGTTTGTAAAAATCCTTTGTGTCATCCTTAAAAATGAAAGTTCACATCAGGTAAGATGGATGGCGACTGCTGATTTTTAATATTGCTGAGGATATAGCAACATTCAACCTGTTCCGTCCCATAAACAGATACATTTACTCATCTCACGGGTGTAACCAACAAAACTTGAAAACCTATCTCGAAAATCAAGACAGTTCTCCTTGACCCCTGCCAGAATTCAAAACTTGAATATTCTCTTCATAAACCAGTTTTCGTGAATTATCCACTTCATCATAATCCCTGTATTTATAATAAATACTTATTTATTGTACCCCAATTTCACCATAAATTGATAGGTTAAATAGAATTTATTTTATTTACATCAAGTACACATATATACAACATAAAGATATGTATACTGGTAATTAGGCCATACAAAAAAAAATACTCTGGTTCTCAGACAATCCTTTCCAGAAATCTGATGCGGGAGGGAGGTTTTTATTTTTTCAAAGGATGACTACTACGCTAAACATCACATTTCCAGGCACTACATTTATCTCATTGTGTTGCATATAGGAATGTATGATTACCCAGTAATATTGATGAGGGTTGTGTACTTGAAAAATAGGCCTATGCCACATTTCTGGATTCATTCAAATTATTTTATCAAGTTATTTCCTGTAACCTGACGAGAACAGGTCTGCAGCCCTTTATAAGTGATGCAGCATTATCTGAGAACCGGAATATTTTTTTTTACGTGGCCTCATGTTCATATTGTTGAATCTTTACTCAATTTTGTCCATCCACAGCACAGTTAAATTACAGATAGTAATGGTGATAAACAGGCTTTCACAATCTTTCATTGAAACTGATCAATACAACACAATAATCTTGTTATCTTCGAAATTCTAGTTCATGGCCCATCAAAACCACTGTCTATATTTGTTTCATCATCTATTTCTTCTGGTTCCTATAGAAAAAAATATATACATTAAATGTAAGGAATCAGAAATTAAATAACCCCATCCCATTCCAAAATGAAATTTTTTTTATTAAAGAGTTGATATCAAAAGGTCTCCCTATACAATTTTTAATAACATTTATGCCTGTCCCATGAAAAAGCTTTGGGAAACAAAATCAGCCATTAAATATCAAAGTTTAAATTAAAAATACAAAATAAACTGTCCCTTAAAATTCATCTATGGACCAGGTACCGAGCATGGAATTGTGACGTTTTATCAAAAATCAAAGTCTGTCAATTGATGTGCAATTGGACACAGGACACCATCAATTTCTACGCTGGTTGCCCACGAATATAGTGCAAGAATTATTAGTAGTCCTTCTCTCTTTTCCCCCTTTTGCATGGCGATCTTTGTTGACTTTTTGGGGTAGAATTGAAGAAAAGGGTTTGAATATATACATTTTCTGCCAGGTTTTGGTGAATATTCATGATTTTGAGGCGGAAGGATAAGAGTTAAGAGACAGGTTACGTTGAAATGTAGGGGTGACAGTTGGGGAAATAAATGATTTAATGTGGCCAATTGTCCAAGTAGCAAGCATGCCAGGTTACAAGTCGATAGTACTGAGACTGTTTTCAAAGAGCTTCATCCCCAAGATGAACAAAACTGTACCCTTATTTCTCTATGTTCCAAATCATCGCCATACTGGATAGCCAAGTCTATTTGGATTAACAAGTCATTAAAATTTTCTTCATCGCTTATATCCAATGGAATAAATTTGACTAAACTATAATCATCAATCTGAAAATAAATCAAAGACAACCATTATGTATGTATATAACACATTTTTTTATTCACAAAAGAGACCTGTGAATCAAGACAAGAAAAGTATAAGGTAAATATAGTCTAAATATAGTGTTGAGTGCTGTTACAAACTTTTTATTTTTTGATAATTTGATTATTAACATAATATGATTTAGTTGATTTTAAGTTTATAGGTGACGCCTATAAGAGAATTTAACCCTTGATTAAAAAGGGCTTTAGGTCTATCACACGGGTTATGAATCCGCTATCATCAAATCTTAAACTTCATTTAAAATTTCAATAATATACAGACTTTGGGGGGGGGGGGGGATATCCTTTAACCTGTCTGCATTTAAACTTGAATAATGCTCACCATAGTTGCTATAGAGTCATTTAATTTACGGAATCTGTGGTTAAATTTTGTTTCTTCAAATTCTTCATGCAGCAATGAATGTAAATCTGGTTCTAAATACCTGAAAAAACACATCAAAATTAACTAGGAGCATTATAAATAGATTAAATTATTTTGTTCCCTTAAGAAAGAAAGATTGCCAGGCAATTAAACAATCAGCAATATTCATGAACATTTACTATAAATTTAACGTGATCAAGGGCTATAACTCTAGAAAGTAATCATCGGAAATCATTGTTCATAAACATGGATAATAACTTTAGCCTTTAGAGCGTTTAGAGGTTTAAATATGAAAATGTGTTCAGAAATATTACTCTTCAAAACACAGCTCGAAATCGAAAAACCTTAAAGTACAAAATGCTTCTTTCTTATTCTCTAATGAATAATCCCTCCAGGGGTGACAAAAATATACAACAATATTTCAATGGGGTTATAAAAATATATACCTATCAAGTTTTTTCTTTGCTTTATTACTTAACAAATCAACTTTTGTCATCACATTTACATGAGGGATCTCTAAATTAACCATGGCGGATAACGCAGACATCACACCTGATACAAATTTAGACGGTTCAACCATAAATTGAGAGTCCACAATAAAAACACCACAAATACGGAAATCCCAATTTTGTAAAGTGTCCACAAGCTGTCTCATAACTGGTATGTGTGTATATAGTTCAATCTGTCCTGGGCAATCAAATAAAATGTAGTCATCTTCAATCTCATCTAGTTGTTCATGTAACCAGTCAAAATTCTGAGCCAAATACCTAAAATAAGCAGAAAAAATTTGTGGTATAGGAGGGTACAACAAAATTTTGTTAGCTATGGAAACTCCTCCAATGAGAACTAGTATCATTTCTTCTAGAAATGATAAGCATAATCTGTCCCATGCACAACACCCAACCACCTGCACCTATAGTTAAATGGAGCAGAATTTTGATTGTGCATTTCAGAAGCTGGAGCTGCTGGGCTCAACTCATGAATTATAACCATATAACCACTTGGTGTTTGGTTAATAAATCAACATTAATTACCCTACAAATGGTATTAATTATGTATTGATTAAATCGTCATATCTTGTTGGCTGGGGAGTGTCCATATTTACAACAAAATGACAATTAAGTGTACCAGTAATAATACCTGGGCTTCACGGAGGCAACATGCCAAAGTAACTGGCTTTCCCACAGCAAAGTCACATATATTGTTTAGAAAAGACAAAGAAAACATGGTCTCACAAAATGTCAATACTATAACAACAAGTAATAACACATAAGGTAAATAATTTCATTTTAAATGCTAGAGTTTCCTAAGTTTTTCCATTTTAAATACTTACTCCATACAGAATACCAGACCACCATTAGGACCAAATCTTAAAGTATCATCTTCCATAGCATCATCTACATTGATTAGTTCTCTTATATCTGAAACATTGAAAAAAAATATAATATGAGCAAGACAACCTGTTTTCAGGCTACCTGTACATGGATGGTACAAGTAGACAAGAACACAGTAAAGTAAACCGTTTGTTCTAGACAGTTATATATACAATGTACTAATCTCTCACATTTCATACACTTTCAGAATTTCAAATTTTCTAAGAAAGTCAAAACATAATTATTTCTATGTCTTTTGCTCTATTGGTTATCAAATCACTATTAAACGATCATGGGCATTATTTCCCACCCTTAAAAATCTATGACACAGGAAATAACAACACAATTACCTCCCCTGTTTTGCTATTGACAACATGGGGCAGCCATTTTCCAACGTTGGAATTTGAAGTTAAAAATGACATTTTTGCCAATTTCTCAACTGGCAATAGCGAATTATAGGATTAATAGGATTATTCTTTAACAAGGTGGGATTGTTTATGGATACCATCTATTTTAAGGCTTTATTTTAATACATTTTAAAAATATAACTTGAAAATTTGCAATTGCAACTTTAAGCATCCTTGACTACACTGGGGGCTGATTAACTATATGTAAAGATTAAATATCCTATCCCCATTAACTTACCAGCTAAGACAGGGTAATCAAAATGTTCTGCTGCTGGATCAAGATTAACAACATGTACTGTTCTTCTTAGCACCTCACAATGTTTGACTATATTACTGCAATATGTTGACTGAAGAAAATATAAAAAAATATATCGTGCAATTTGTGACATACAGTATTTATTTCTGTTGGGATTTTTAATATTATTGTGCTCCTCCTCAGTCCTAACATCAAAATTTTTAATTAATAAATCTAGTGACAGTGGAATTTACAATTCTACATTCGCCCATCATTCAATCTGATTAAAACACAGATCCTTTTTTCGTTTTACTTGTCTTTACTACACTAGGATCTGGAAGAGAGGTTATATAACCAGCGTTCTGGTTGATGTGAGGGATTAGCCAAATAAAGAAAAATAAGACAGGAAGTAAGGCATACTATCAGAACACACACTCATCTATTCCACACTTGATCAAAATGGTTAAATAATATTGTGCCATACTCTGGGAGCGTGCTGATATTTGCAAGCACGACCTCGGATATAAATAGGGGCAATATAAATATTTTCAACGGAGAATTTGATAGAACCATGAACAAAATATCCATGACAAAATAAAAGATGTCGACCTGTCCATTTATCTATCGCCGACGGACCGGCGTAAATTTTAATCACTGCTAGGGCTAGGCTAGTTCCTTTAGGAACTATCTCTGATCAGACGATGTCTGATGACAGTTCCTATCCCTTCCTATATACATGTAGCTGCAATTTGAAAATACGGTAAAATACCATGCATCCCCGCCTCTGTTCTCAGGCTATTTTGGAACCCTTACCTTCTATTTTTCACTGTGATTCTTTGTTTTTCGTAAAAGGATTTATTCCTCACCATATCTGACACATATTTTTAATAATTCAACACTATTTTCAAGTACAATTTAGCGATTAAATAAACATGGGGTCTGCACATATTCAAGTCTCGTAATGGCTAATCAGTTCAAACATATTTTGAGTAAGCTTATGTTTTTAATCGCAAAATTCTACTTTATAATAGTGTTGAATTATTATAAGGAATTGAATTGTCAGTAAGGAGAATCACGGTGAAAAATAGTCGGTAAGGATTCCAAAACAGCCTTAGGCCAGAGGTGGGGTCAGTATTTTCATATTGCAGCTATAATACAGAGGTAGTTACTTTAGTAACGTATATTGTATTGGCTCTAACGTTACTAAAAGTAACAATAAAACACGGAGCGATAGGAACTGTCTGGGCGACCTTCGGTTGCACGGATTTTCGTACTATAGTCGAACCATCTGCATGCGAATGACATTTAGCCCAACCAGTGGTCGTGACCAGCCGTACCATGCAATAAAGCACGGTCGGGATAGTTCAAAGATGGCTGACAAAACTGACACTTGAGAAGATTTTCTGAAAAATATTATAAAATTGACGATTGCCGCTGCGTTATTTACACCTTGATCGGTATTATAGGGCCAATGTTAACACCTGAAAGTTAGTGAATGGGCACTGTAGTATAGATGTTAAATTTGATTTTTTTTCCTTCTTTTTTTGTTGAATTTGACAGATTAGGATCTTCTTATTCACACGACACACGACAAAAAAACTGTACGTGTGAAATGATCATGGTTGGGTGACATAAATCCAATGAAAAATATTCTGATATTGACTAATCCTATTTGTAACCCATTTTAAGCTTGCTTTCACATCGCAGTATGGAAAATTAACCAGTTTTTAAAAATACATGAGTAAATAGGAGAAAATATAGCAGACGGAACAACTGACATGGTCGCCACCATATTGAATAGTCAATGGCTAGGGCCATTTGCGTTTGGGTGCTGGTTCAGACTGTAGTCGCGACCATAGTCTACATCCAAAGGTCGCCCAGGAAAGAAATGAAATGAAATGTGGTTTAACGTCCTACTGTTCGGCTCCTAAACTGGGCTAATGAAGACGGGCATACGCCATACAGTGTGCTATGCGGGAAATTTTGCCCAAGCAGCGGCACTACGGCCTACTCGAATTCCAACTGCCAAGGGATCTTTTACGTGCAGGCCAATGTGTACACAACACGGGACCTCAGTTTTCGTCCCATCCGAACGACTAGACAGCTGTCCTTGTCAGGCCCTCCGCCCTGCATCACAGACGAGGGGAAACCACGCTGGAAAATCTGGATGAACTTTCTCGGCCAATGCAGGGATCGAACACCCGACATCCAGACTAGCGAGCCAGCACCCACTTCTTAGCCACGTGATCCCCCCGCCCAGAAAAGGAACTAGGGCTAGGCTACCTTTCCACTTCCAGCTGGACCAATAACCAACTGTCCATAACGAGGCATGTTTCGATCTGTCTATATTCCATAAACATAAACTGCTATGTATAAATAAATATATGATTTCAGTAGGCTAATTTATCTTTTAACTTCTCCCTTCACGTGTTTGTTGTTTTCAAACACTTTAAGATTTGTGTTTCATTCATTGAAGAGTTCCTCTGTCAGTCTGTGCCGCTTAGATCTCTACCACGGTTCCCCGGAAAATAAATTAAAGATCAAACATTCAAAATATCCATTAACAATTTTAATCATTGTGTAAAGATAGCAGGTATTCTAAAAAAACAACATCAAAATTGTTTTTACTGTGAAATAATATAATCATATACGTCAAATTATTTTTCGATGTCATAAGAGAGCAATCTGTCACGTGACAGAATAAAAAGGAGGAAGTCAAAGTAGGCGGAAGTTGAATGTTGAATCAGAAGGGTGGAACGAAAAAAAAAGAACAAATTGTCAAAAATACAATTTAAACATGCCGGTTTGTAAATTTTATGACGTAGCTATTTTCTATGATTATGTCTCAAACCTGTCATTGTTAGAAATTTCTGGTTCCATACAACTTACAGCCGCACAATAATACTCACAGATTGTCATTTCTGTGGCAGTAGCCCGAAATTAGCAATTGACGATTGAGTGCACCCTAGGCTACACCCAGGAATCTTTTAGACTTTGCAAGAAAGTAAACATACCTTCCTGACAATTTATTTGTTCCAAATATATCTAAAACAAAAGTATTGAAGCCAATAAGTTGAATAAGCACCCTTTCTTTCACTTCAATTTGCCTTTTTGAAGTTTTTGTTGACGAGGTGCAGAGGCGAAGTCAACTCTAGTCGAGTGGCAAGAAGGAGTGAGAATGTACTTTTTGGCTTCAAAACCTTTTAAGATTTATTTTGAACAAATACATTGGCAGGAGTGTAAGAGTTAACATCGCGAAGGCAAGAGCAGAAGAAATGAACATGGCAAGGTTGTTTTGAAGCCACTCCTGTTAATCCCAAATGCTGAATTAAGGCCAAACAGAATTCTGACTTTATAGTGAGAAATATCGTAGAAAATCATGTAACAAACAATTCTAAATGTTTTAAAACAGTGGTATGTAATACTGAACTTTATAGACACTCGGGGGATCACAGTGGCTAAGTAGGTAAGACGCTGGCTCGCTAGCCTGGAGGTCGGGTGTTCGATCCCTGCATTGGCCGAGAAAGGTCATCCAGATTTTCCGGCATGGTTGCCCCTTGTCAGTGATGCAGGACGTAGGGCCTGACAAGGACAGTTGTCTAGTCGTTCAGATGGAACAAAGAACCGAGGGCCCGTGTACACATTGGCGTGCACGTAAAAGATCCCTTGACAGTTGGAATTCGATATAACAGTAGGCTGTAGTGAAAAGGGAAGCCACAATGGAGCGAGACTAGAACCATATCATATTAACACAAAGGAATGAGAGAGTACTTGTCAGATTTCTTAAAAAAACACTTTTCTTGATAGAATAGTGTACAGATCTTGATATGTACCGGTATGCACTAGCCGATGATGTACATGTAGAAAGGTAGGAGTATCTCCTGAATTGTAATTATTTCTTGATGAAGACCGATAGGTGTTTGATTAAACCTTTGAACATTCATCTCTTCTAAATACAGACACACCAGTCCGACACCAGTGCGGTGGTCCTTGTTAAATTTCAGAATTGGTCTGAAGCACATCTTTCTCATCATTATATGTGCATCAGTGATCAAATTGTTAATAAAATTCTTCAGTGATTCAATTATCTTTTAAAAGCAAAATTAGAAGTGTTATTATTCTATGTATGTTACAATATTAAAGGGGTATTATGGGAGATTAGATATAGAGCTGGTAGTTCTCATTATAATAGTTAAAAACTAGATAATGTAAAGGGAATTTCCTGAAAATTTCAGTCAAATTGATCCACTCTGAACCAAGATTTTAGCTTTTGAATTTAGGCCTAGCCTCGATCATCATTACTAAAGTCTGTACGATAAAAAACATAGTCTCGATTATCTATTTTTGGATCATCAATGATCGTTGAGCAGCAAATTGGATTCAAATCCAGTAAATATTGCAGGCTAGCGATGAGTTGATTATGGTCTGGATAAGTTAATTAATGTCTAATTAATAATTTAGATACAAATTGTAACATTTCAGGCCTAAAGAAAGACCTGCAATAGGCAGATTTAGCTCTTGCATAATGTATGTTTAATATTATTTTTACAAATCTATATTTTTTTTTCTCAGGCTTATCATTCCTCTTTAACAAGCCAACGGTTGGTGGCTAATATGGGATTGTTACCAATAAAAACTCAGTACAAAGGTCCAGCAGCAAAAGAAGGTTGAATTTATAGAAATATTTAGTAATTTATTATTGGAACACAATATTCAGAATAAGAAAGTTTTCATAGTTTTAATGCTTTATTATATGATAAACTGTAAATTTATTGTAAAAACATACAAATCATTGGACTGGAAGTGAAATGAGGTTTAACCCCTGTTGATGCTTTACTAAGTTTATTGGAGAATAGCATACAGTTTTTTTTTTTAAATTACTATTGTTAGAATTCGGTCTGATCAATGGCATTTCTACCAACAATTTCCAATCATCAAAGATTATTTTACATACAAACCACTGCATACACATATAGACAATGCGTTTGATATATTTCAATTTTGTAATTCATCAATCTTTGCAGTGAATGGAACTGATATCATTGATGAAGCCATTGGGTTTTTCAAAGCCAATATTTTCTTCAGAAGTTATGAAATCAAGGTAAACTTTGTTTATATGTTGTTAACATATTTAGAAATAAGATGAGCTGAAATATATGATTCATAAATATAAGGTATCAGTAACTGTTTATTTTTAAAGGTATGTTATATTTAGATTATTGAATATAATTGTGTTTATTACAGAGTGAAGCTGATAGAACTTTGATTTATGTAACTTTATACATCAGTGAATGTTTGAAGAAATTGCAAAGGGTAAGTGTTATTAAGACAAATGTAAATAATTAGAGTTGTAATATCAACACCACACTATGCCATATATTCCATTTTGTGTGCTTGAGGGATTGACATCATTGTAAGGACTGTGAAAATGAATTAGATTGTAGAAAGCATAATAAACTGAATGCATATTCTAGTAGCCTTATTTTCCCCATCAATTTTAATTTGATATTTAACTTTTTTAAACAAACTAAAACTACTAAAAAAAAAACAAACTAAATAACCTTATATCAAACTTATCCATTATCCTATATTATTTTCAATTGACACTTCCGGATTTAATTTATCTTGATTTCGTGAGTAGTGAAAACTGAATAGATCAATTGGTGACAGAAATTGATAGTAAATCCGTCTTCTCAATTCTGCCAATTACAAACTCATTATTCTTCCAAGATTTATCAATAACACACTACATGTATGTCCCAATACATGTATATAATTGTAAACTTTCATTTCAGTGTTCAAGTAAAAGTCAAGCAGAAAAAGAAATGTACACATTAGGAATTACTAACTTTCCCATTCCCGGTGAACCAGGATTTCCTTTAAATGCTTTGTTCACAAAACCAACAAAACAAGAAGATGGTAGGTCTACAATTTGCTGGATTTGAGCTCAGTTTAGAATAATGTAGAAATTGTGTAATTATTAAGTCAAATTCGCTATGGTATTCACAGAAAATGCTTACGATATTTATGTATGAATAACAGACATTCAGATGGGCAGTGAGAGCAAATCTATTTTTATACCCAATATGTTACACAGATGTACAGAAGCACAAGAGCATTTTTATATGCCCACATTGAAATGTTGTCATATATTTCATTGCCCCTGTCAGTCGGTCTGGCGTCCACAATAGCTTGTGGAAGCTCTAGAGGCTAAAGTTAATATCCAACTGACTTGAAATTTATTCACGGTGTTTAAGGTCATGAGACAAAGAAGCCTATTGATTTTCAATGATTTCTGATAATTACTGCCCGAGTTATGGCTCTTGATCACTTTGAAATATCTTGTGGACGCTCTAGAGGCTAAAGTTACTATCCGATTGACTTTAAAGTTATACACAGTGTTTACTGTCATCAGTCAAAGAACCCTATTGTTTTTCCAAGATAATTACTGCCAGAATTATGGCCCTTGATCACTTTGAAATATCTTGTGGGCACTCTAGAGGCTAAAGTTAACATCTGATTGACTTTAAAGATATACATAGTGTTAAAGGACTTCAGACTAAGAAGCCTATGAATTTTCAACGATTTCCGAAAATTACTGCCAGAGTTATGGTCCTTGATCAGTTTGAAAAATCTTGCGGATGCTGTACAGACCAAAGTAATCATTCAGTTGACTTTAAGACAAAAAAATATATTGATTTTCAATGATTTTTGATAACTTGAACATCTATATCCATGATATTAAATCTTTTGTATACTAAACGTTAGCATGGGACAGAACTAGAAGCCAAACAATTTCTAATGATTTTCTGATAATTAATTAATGAGTTGTTACTCTTAATCAGATTTTAGTGTATTATAAATGTTTCTTTACCAACAAAAGAAAAAATATGCGGCAACTCTTGTTGACTGCCTAGACGATTTAGCTGCTGTGGGCGTATGTTTCTTTGCCTGACAACCTTTCTTTTTATAGAAAGGGCGAAATTTGTGTTTTATCATAATTAACGAGTTGCTAAGATGTTACTTGATTCTTCTGTATCTACAAATGTAATAAGCTGTAAAAAGTATCACCTATCATAATGTCTTTTTACAGAAACAATGAGAGCCTATTTGCAACAACTACGACAAGAAACTGGACTTAGAATGATAGAAAAAGTATTTGATCCTAATTCCAACAAACCAAGCAAGGTAAAATTTATTCTTTATTATGTAACAAAGTTTTTTTTATACGCCAACATTTCCATGTGGTAGTATATTGTCGTCGCCCCTATCTGTCCGTCCACAATTTGTTTGTGGACACTCTACAGGTCATAATTCTTATCCGACTTTGGCGAAGCTTGAAATATAGGTTTATCTCTAAATGATCACAATTCCGTATGATATTGAATGTATCGGATAGAAACTTCAACAATTATGGCCCCTGATTGTATCAAAAATCATGTTTTTAGCCTTTGGACACTCTGGAGGTCACAATTTTTATCCAATTTAGATGAAACATGAAATGTATGTTTATAACCCAAAGATCTCGATTTCTGTCGATATTCACGCATATCGGACTGTAACTTCCTGGATTATGGCCCAGATTGTATGAAAAATCACATTTTTAGCTTGTTGTTCCCCTAGAGGTCTCAACTTTTATTCAATTTTATAAACTATTTAAATATATCACTGTTGCATCGTATCAATGGTTGAGTGTGAATCTCGTGAAAATCTGACCGAAACTGGCCGACAAAATTGCCGCTCCTTGTATGCAAATAATGTAAAAGTATGTAATACCAAGGTTGTGAACCCTCTAAAAGTCACAATTTTTATCCAATTTTAATAAAACTTGAAATGTATGTTTATTACCCAAAGATTTCACTTCCTGTCGATATTCATGCATATCTGAATGTAACTTCCTGGATTATGGCCCCTGATTGTACAAAAAATCACTTTTTTTTTTAGCTTGTATTCTGTCTATCTCTTGCAAAATGTGGGCATATCGTGCATGGCAACTGCTTGTTTCACAGTATATTCTTTCATTTTGATTCTTTTTACTTTATCTTTTTTTTCAAAGATGGAAATAAAATAATCTTCTTTTATATTTCAGTGGTGGTTATGCTTTTCAAAGAGAAAGTTTATGGACAAAAGCTTATCTCCTGCTGGACATTAAAGAAGAGAAAAATAAAAAATAAACAGCTTTTAGTATCAATTGAATTATTTAAACAAGAAGAGAGAATATAATAACTATATAAACTTCATATTGTTCAGAATTCATTTATTGTGCCCAAAACAGAAGATGCAAAACAACTTTAACTAAAGTCTTTTTTGAAGAATATTGATTAAAAAATTGATGTGGTTTATAATCTCTACAATGATGTTATACAATTGATATGTACACAGTAAAAGACATGTTTAAAGACTTTTAAGTAATTGTTCATGACTGGTGTATTTTTTAAAAATTAAGACTTCTAATAACAATATATCAATGGGTTTTTCTTTTTTGACATATTTCTTCTTTAATATGGTACCATAAATAGGTCATGGTCAATTATGAAAATACTTATACAAATAACTGCAATATATGCTAATAATTCTATATATTATATGCTCACATTCAAACATAAACATTTAACTGGTTTTGTTAAGATGTTATTTTGGTTTTTAACAATATTTTGGAGGTCTAAATAATATTTTTGATATTTGGCAAACTTGCAGTACAACTATTTTTCACATTCCATATTCAACGACCACGAGGACAGAGTTTTGGATATTCTTCCATTGAGAATTACGCTTATATAAGTTTATAAGGTAGCATAACTACGGGCAACTGTGACTCTTCCATTGAGAATCATGCTTTTATAAGTTTATAAGGTAGCATAACTACAGGCAACTGTGACTCTTGCAGAGAACATGGGTATGTAGAAGGTGGTTGTACTGATGCATTGTTTTTGTTTTTAAATGATGTATGATGTAATAAATATTGTCTGATGCTTGTAGAAACACATTATATTACTCCAACTTCAGCCTTAGTTTATACATTGCTTTTCATTGAAATATTATTTATTAGTGTATTTTTGTGTATATCTGTATGATTACATAATACAATGTATATAATACTTCATGTCTTCTACATTTTATAAAATTATGTAAATTTAACAAGAAAATAAATCTATCATAAATAATAATCTCTTATGAATATAAACCTGTTTTTATTTATCATAGTCCAGGCATTTTAACTCAATTTTGCATCATTCTGGGCAGTCCCAGTCCGTAATCCGTGCCCAAATGGGTCAAATTGGCAAAAATCCAAAATGGCTTCCAGTTTTGACTGGAAAATGCCAATTTTTATCCAATTATGATAATATGATCAAGTTTGGTATCAAAATATATCCTTTCGGGGGTAGTTGAATCCATTTTCATACACATTTTGGTGATTAGTTATACCAGAAGTCAATATTGGGTATTATTAATTCCAGGTGGTGGTCAGTTTTGGTGGGAAAATTCAGATTTTACAAAATGACCACATTTGGTGTCAAAATATATGTTTTAGAGGCAGCTGATTCCATTTTCGACACATTTTCTTATTTTGGTAATTAACTGGTTCCCCTGGGTCAAAATATGTGGAAATCCCATTGGAGATTGGGGATTAAAAGTAGTCGAGTCTGAAGAAGCAGCATAGCAGGCATGACAAAAGCTTGACGCTGCGTCCAATTTCGATCACCAACCTCGATCGCTCAGTCAAGATGGCCAAACCTATTGAAGCACACAGCAAATTTATTTCACAAAATAATTCAAATGATGAGACACAGATCGATCCCAATATGCAGTGAACCATTTGATAATGAACAGCCCACCATCATACCCAAAATGATCACGGTCATGCCCTCCAGTTTACGAAGGACTAGGAATAAAGGTATGGTCAGGGGCGTACATAACGATTTTGTTTGGGGGGGTGTTTAGCGAAAATGCGACCGACTGATGCCCATACCCCTAGTACGACTGACGCAGTCAGGAACCGAGCACCACAGGTGCGAATTTTGTAGGGGCCATGTTAAGTAGCAGATCTAGATAGGGGTGGGGGGGGTCCAAATCTAGGGCGCCACCTCAGCCACAATCCCACCCCACAATGAATGTCAACAAAATACTGGCTATAACATTAAGCGTCCCGGTAGAACATAGATGGTATTGTATAATTATATAGTTGTTTGCCGATCGTTGTCTCGCTGGAAAGCAGTTTTATTTAAGTTGACATAAAGTTTATGTCATATATGATTGTGCCTATAACACTGAGCAACCTGAGAAAATTTTGAAAAAATTGAGTCAATATCTTGGCATTTGAGGTCATTGCTGGGAGAAATTCTTGTGGACAAGGGGGCCAGAAATGTGAGTCAACTAGACAAAATCTCGAGATCTGCCCCCTGTCAATTCCGCCTGTTTTGCAAGAGTTGACACACACACCAGTGCCAGTGGTACTACTAACATAACTAGGCAGTTCAGTATAACCGTGAATATGAAAGTGCTGAGACAGTATAAGACAACAGAGGAGTGGAAGAATGATGTTATAATATAATGGCGCGAAAAAATTTGAGATGTGTAACCGAGCTTTTAATTTTTGGGACTGGGCCTGACAATTTCAGTCAATGTCATGGCAAATGGATCCAAATTCTCGTTAGCGAGAGGATAAGAAATGGGACAGAATCTTGAGGCCTATCTGTCAATGTCGCCTGTTTTGTGAGAGTAGAATTAACTAACAAATCTACAGTCTTTTGACTCACTCACTAGTGGTACTACTAACTGGGCGATTCACTGTAACTGTGAATATGATAGTGATGAGATAGTAAAAGTCAGAGAAGGAGTTGAAGAATGATGGCATAATTGGAATTTACCTCAATGGGGCGCTTACTTGGTCTCTGAAATGCCCTGGACTTTGGGGAGGGATTTTGCAGAATTCTGATGGTCAGAAAACAACCCATTAATTCATTTAGTCTGAGACCGACTGCGGTGAGCACTTTTTTTTGGGACCGACTATTTTTTGCCATGGGGTGAAAAACCTTTTTTTCAAACATCATAAGTCGACAAGGTTATTTTATACTAAAGTATTGCGTGACTAGAGTGAAGTGTGCAGTGAGCACTTATTTTGATACCGACTACTCATATCTTACGGCCGACTGCATTGATTTTGCGACCGACTAGTATTTGGGATCTATTCTGGCATTATTTGTTTACATCATTAATTCATTAAGACGGCGATGCATAATTTTGAGACCGACTGCAGTGACTGCACTTATTTTGAGACCGACTATTTTCTCCCTGGGGGAAATTTTGTTCTTAGACCTACATACTCACAACAGAATAAGAGTGAAACACATTAAGTTGACAAGGTTATTTTATACTAAAGTTTTGCGCGTGAGTAGCGTGACGTGTGCAGTCAGCACTTATTTTGATACCGACTGCTCTTATTTTGTGACCGACTGCACTGATTTTGCGACCGACTGATTTTGCGACCGACTGCACTGATTTTGCGACCGACTATTTTTTTTCCTGGGGGGGTGCATTACCCCCCCACCCCCCCACATTTACGCCCCTGGATATGGTTTCGGGTTGCCGTCTTTGGCCAACATTTGGCATGGCATGAATTTCATGTGTGGACCATATTTGGGCCAGTGATAGCCCAGACATGGGCCAGATGGACCAGTGATTGCCCAGACATGGGCCAATTAAATGTGCTGCCATCTCTGGTGCACATGTTGCATGCCATATCTTTTCCAAAGCCCGCCAGCTGTTTGCCAGATCTGGGCCATACAAGGCAGACGCGTGCATTAGCGAATGTGGGCATGATCTGGCTCTGATTGGGCCACGTCCAGCCCATATGTGCCAGATATGGCCCATTTCTGACAGGCTCATCATTTTGCCTGATTGGGAATTGTGCAAAAATTATTTAAAAATCCTTTACAATTAGCTTCCTTAAAATTAAGTACAAATTTGAATAGGGGACAGGCATTGGAAACTTTACTAACTTATTAACTGTCTTGTTAACTTTTTTTCGCAATTTTTTTTTTTTTTTTTAACCATAACACAACTATGAAAACATTCTGATATTTCATGGAACCGTAAGTAAAAATAAAGTGAATAAGGGGAGACAACTATAGTTAAATATAACTAATTTGTGTAGTTCTGACACAAATTTCAGTGTGATGATGAAATGAACCCACGTCATGGCCCAATGGATTAATGAGGAAAAAATGATTGATTGATAAGATTACCTATATCCCTTTCATTCAATTGTGAAATAAGGTTATGCTACCAATAAAGGTTTAGTGTAACTTGATATTGTTCATTCATTCTTTTTGTGTCCATACTAGCGTTAATTTACAAGACAAGCAATTTTAATGTTATGGTTTACTATCACTCAGTTACGTCAGTATCATAATCATAATAGATCTTGTTGAAGTAATCCAGTGTGACTTATTGAAGATGTCGGATGGATTAGGTAATAGAAATGTTTGTATGTCGTCTTATTATAGGCTTGGAAATAACGGTTTTAGTTTTGGAAATAACGGTTTTAGTTAAGTAGTCTTCCGTACGTTACATGACAAAATGTCAGGCACTCAAAAACTAGTATCGGTACCGGATATATTTAACTTTGTGACATATACCGGTACACATATTATTAATACTGGTACCAATAAAAAACAAATTAGTGCTAAATACCGGTAACGATAAATAAGTACAATATGACAATTAAAATATATATAATATATTATGATAAATGATAATTTTAATCCAGCCTAGGCTACATATGTACTAACAAGACAAACACATTAAAATATACATCAAAAAGCCAATGATTTTCATTTCTTATATTTTAATATATATACATAAAGTGTTGTGATAATTGTTTTTAATTGATAATCTCTGTGATATTTGTTTTTATTTATGTATATATAGATTACTATTGTGATTATTATTTAGTTTGTCTCGTAAAACTCATCATATGTTTGGCGCAATATAGCCCGGTTGGTGCTGACATGCCATAAAACCACATTTCATTCATTTCATTCATTCAAAAAGCCAATGACCTTTAATATACAAGTGCATTTTAGTAAACAAACACCAATGAAAAAGTGAAGAGGGTACTAAAATATTTTATTTAAGCTTTATAGTAGCTAATTAAGTCTCTAACTCAATATCATCCAAAATCTTCCACATCGAAAACACAAATTATTTGTTAATCTAAATCAACATTGATGTTGTGATCTTACCGGGGAAGGGTAGGCTTCTGATATCCAATATTCAAGACAAAATAAACATTTTACCATTGGTACACGAATCGTGTACCATAATGCGTTTCACCGTCATTTGTACAAGAGACTTGAAGAATGAGGCTAGACATATTCTACAAGTCATGTCAAACGGTGACTTAATATTCTTATATGGAGAGCATGCGCAATGACTACTATCACTCGATTAACCAGACGCTAGAGATTTCCATTCGATTGAGACTTAATCTGCCATTTTTCGCCGAACATAATTGTTTTGAAATTAGAGTAAAAACGGAAACGACTGAATGTAAATCAGTTAATATATTCATATTACATTATTATATGCATTGCGACCTATTTGTGTCAATTTCTAGGTCCAAAATATTAGCGATTTAGCTCCTTTAAATTAAAGCGTAGAAAAGTGGGAAGTTAATTCTGTTACTAAGTGACAGCTGGGTATGGTATTATAATATACCCGCAGCTGCCACTTACATGTAACACTTGAAAGTAAATCACTGACTGACTAAATTTATTATTTTCTGTATTATTAAATCTATATTATTGTTATATTTTCACAGTAAATAACTGAACAATAAATGAAACAGCGACATTGAATAAAAGAAGTGTCCGAGAGACTACATATTAAAATGATGTGCTGAGCCTGCAGTCGAGCCACTAGAATAAATCATTAAATATTAATGATTAGCATACTGTGACCATCTGTAACTTGTAAGTGAGCAATTAAGAGTGCTGTGATAGTTTCAAACTGTGATAAAAACCCAAATTTACATATTGAAGTTGAGGATTTGAGTTTACAATAGGCTACAGACAGTATGCATAAATTAATAGGGATATTTTTGTGTTTGTTTTTAAGTGTAGTCGATATAATCACAACAACTTTAATCTTTGCTCACAAGTTAGATTTTAGACATGAATTCCTGTATGGTTTCTATAGCTACAGGTTCCAGGAATCAATGGTTGATGTATGGTGCCTGTGTTTACTGAGATTCTGTATTTCAGTAGGAGGAATTCTGTCTGTTGTATTTAATATTCAAGATTCCGTACCACGGATAAAAATTGGTGCTAATTATGTTTATTTAATCTCACTACTGTTCTGTATGTGTATTATTATAAAACTGCTAGGATTAGCTGATGACAAAGCTAATTTGCATAATGGGTGGATGTGGGGGTTACTCGGATTCTCTATATGTGCGTCTATTAGTTTATCAATACAATGGCATATAATGTCAAAAATATCATTTACTCCTCTCGTCCTCTCGATAAACTCTGATGAAGCTGAACCTTTATTGGTAGACAGAACAGACAGTAAACAGAAGGATGAGGACAGTGAGGAAAAGATTGATCGTTCCAGTGTGTTTCGTTTGTTTTCATTTTCTAAACCTGACTGGATGTACATATCATGTGCTTTCACATTTCTGTTGATTTCATCAACTGGTAAGATTTTTTCTCACACCTTCTGAAGTTCTCTAAACAATCAGAATATGATAAGCGGTAGTGTCTATTTTAATGATTGGAATTCCAGAATAAAGCAATTATAGAGTTTTAAGATCATAAATTAATGAAACTTATTCAGACCCACCCAACCAAGTTATAGTCATTAATTCTTATTGATTTGACACTGCTGCCTTTTATATGCTCAAATAAAATGACAGTGACAGTACAACCTACTCTTATTTCAAATCCAAACCATCAAGGGTTCTTTTACGTGCACCTCATTTTTTTTCGTCACATTCAAATTTCTAGACACTGTTCAATGTCAGGCAATCATTCTTGCACTACTGACAAGGGAAAACCACACCGGAAAATCAAATAAAGTAGGAAGGATTGGGCTAGATGTTTCTCTTGTTCTAAAGTTAACATATTATTTTTTTGCTTTTATTTTCAGGTAAAATATTTTTACCATATTATACCGGTGAAGTTATTAATGGAATTGCGATAGAAAAATCTAAGTCTAAATTTACAGATGCTTTAATAACGATGTCTCTAATATCAATAGCCAGGTTGGTAGGCTTTGGCCTTTTTATTCAGTAATCTTGTGAGCAAATAGCTCATAGTTGGAATCCCACTTGTTGATAATCTAACAACCATATTTACAACAAAGTCATTAAACATATTATTTGAGATTTGTTCTTTATTTCAGTGCTGTAGCATCGGGTCTAAGAGGAGGGTTTTTTAGTACAGCTATGGCTCGATTAAGTAACCGAATCAGAAATTTACTTTTTTCATCTATTTTAAAACAAGAAATAGGATTTTTTGATACCATTAGGACAGGTAAATTAAAACATTTTTTAAAAATAATTTCTTGTTTCAGACATATTTGCTGGTCTTGACCAACTGGCAGTGTAATTGACTGGCCTGAGATTTTATCTTTCAGCCAATTGCTAAAAATTGCTAAATTCTTTAAAAAACAATGTCTTGGTAACACAAAACATTGACCAACTGGCAAGATTTTGAAGTGAAAGCCTTGATATATCAACATTATGAAACCAATTGTATTTTTATTTTGTTTAAACTTACTGATATATCTACAGAATGGTTTTTGGTGTTTTTTTAATACAATTTTTTTAAATTTTTAAATGACAATGAATAATATAGTTACACTTATAAAGAATTTTCAAAAGTTTTCTTTAAATTGTTGATTCAAAATATTCTATATTCAGATTCCATTTTAATGACTTTTAATGACTTTTATGGAATTATTACCTTACAAATTAAGACAACACATTTTGAAATTTATGTATATTATTTTATCGGTTATTTAGTAAATGTATTAGTAAATTTATTTTATAGGTGATGTAGTTTCACGTCTAACATCAGATACAGCTACTATGAGTGATACACTTTCTTTAAACATGAATGTCTTTTTGAGAAGTTTTATTACAGCTAGTAAGTTGCTCATATATTTTAGCATATTATATATTGATATAAGGGATCCCATTTCAAACATTTTTGTGTACTTATGTTCAGTCGATATATATCTACATATATAGCTGTCAGTCAATTTTAATTGTGTGCCAGCAAATTCTAATAAAGCTGCATTATGTAAGAGCTAAATCTGCCTATTGCAGGTTTTTATTTTGGCTTCAAATGTTAGATAAATTATTTTTTTGATATTGATTCACAAGACAAGCCTATAATCAACTCTTTAGACCATTAGATGATGGAGATTTAAACAGATTGCAATACAATTGCCATTTAATGATTTAATTTAAAAATGGTGAAGCGAGGCTGAGTCTCAATTAACAAGTAATGTTGCTATGATGATAATCGTTCCATCACCCATAACTTTGCTCAGAATAAAGTAATTTGAATCAAATTTGCAATATATTCATTTTAAATTATCTATTTTATAACTATTATAGCAATCAAACAACCAACTCTTTATGTAAATTTCACATAATTCATCTTTAACCTCTTTTATTTATATCAAAATTAAGTATTAAATTGAGTTGATTTGGTGTGTTATTTCAATTATTGATGGGGCAAGCTCTTTATGATTATTTTCAATAGATTAAGTAGAAGTCAATTAATCTAGTTTCAATTTTAGCTTTTTGATTTTTGACAGTTGGTTTTATTTATAGACGTTAAATTTTCAACAAATCAACACATAATATTTAATGAAAGTGACAAATTTTGTCTTGATCTAAACCAAAAAATGTATTGGTGTTCATTTTAATTTTTTTTAAAAAACAAAATATAGAACACAGGTTAAAAGTTGACTCTATAGCTAATCTGGTATAATTTATAAATGAGAGGTGCTTTCCAAATAGTTCATCTGTATTTAACATTTATTAAATTATGAAAAAATAACTCCCCAACCAATATCAAACAAAATTTACAAGGAATCAAGTTGACAAGTTTTAATTAAAAGTTGAAAATGAAATGGGGTTTAATATCCTACTTTTCTGTTCCTACTGGGCTAATGAAGACAGTGTAATTAAAACTTATTCCTATTGTTTATTACAGTTGGTGTGATTGTGTTTATGTTTAGGATATCATGGAGAATGTCGCTAGTAACATTTGCCGGGCTACCAATAATATTTGTTGTATCTAAAATTTACGGAAATTATTATGAAGTAAGTTAAATACTGGTACACTTTTAGCAACACGATCTTTTGAAACACATTTTTGTGCTAATACTATTTAAAGTTATTTAATGCTATTTAATATTATTCTTATAATCTACCGTTTTTCCTCTTATTTGTATAAAAACCTTTGTCAGTGATTTTGTTTCTGTGTTAAGCATAAGAGACTTAAGAGCCCAAATTGTGTTTTCTTTATATATACAATATGTCCAAATACGATGCAAAGGAAATGAAATGGGGTATAACTTCCTACTGTTTTGCTCTGACTGGGCTAATTTAGATGGGCATACGCTATACAGTGTGTTATGAGGAAAATTTTGCCCAGGCAGCGACACTATCGCCTACTCTTATATTGAATTCCAACTGCCAAGGGATCTTTTACATGCACACCAATGCATACAAGGGACCTCGGTTTTTTATTCCATCCGAACAACTAGACAGCTGTGCTTGTCAGGCCCTCAGCCTGCACCACTGACAAGGGGAAACCACATTGGAACTTTCTCGGCCAATGCAGGGATCAAACACACGACCAACAGGCTAGCGAGCCACTTATCCACGTGGTTCCCATAATGCAAAGAAAAACAAAATGAAAATTAAATAAAATTAACGCATGACACAAAAATAAAAGTGTTGATTTGATTCATTTGGATGTATTATTTGTTTTGTGAGATTTTTTTTGTAAATACATTTGCATTAACAAATTAAAACCATAATCGTAGATTAAAGCAGTCGTTGGATATGACTGATTTTGTATTTAACTATTCACAGTTTAACCTATAATTTAAACTAAAAAAAAACAAAATCAAAATACACAGACTTCCACTTATTGTGCTAAAATAACACATTAGATCAATCAATTTCAACTTTCAACCTAATCTAGAGAGGTTCTTTTTCTTAAAGTTTTCACTCATCTTACCGGAAAAATTAACCTTACAACAATTTATTTTTCAGAAATTATCTGAGCAAGTGCAAGACAGTTTAGCGAAAGCTAATAATGTAGCTGAAGAGGCATGTTCCACAATGAGAACTGTTCGTAGTTTTGCTAATGAGTTGGGTGAAATAGCTCGGTATTATAAAGCGTTAATGGTTACCTATAAGTTAGATGTAAAGTTAGCTATGATCTATGGTGGTTATAGTATATGTAACCAGGTAAATATATAGTAATTTAACTTTCTAACACTTGTAGCACTGTCATTGAAGATTGATGATATTTTTCAATTGAATATAGTTAATGTAAAAAGTGTGAATGCCAAACAGGAAGAAGCTTGGTCCGATTATTGTCCTTGAAGATTCTGAAGTTAGCTGGAGGCCATTGTCAGGGAAATTAATGTGCACACAAATTTTAAGTCAATTAATTAAACTTTCTGGTTCTCAGAGTACGCCACTGCATCACTTAACAAGGTTCACTTGATCTGTTCTTTATTTGCCTACCGGTATTCAGTTTTACTATAGGTAGGAGAGATTAGGTTGCACCAAAAGTATCTTGAAATAATTTTAAGTTTAGACAAACATACTATTGTCACAAATAAAATCTGCATACCATACGATTTCTTGCACACAGACTACTAACAATTACAGAAGAGAACTAATTCCAAGATTGCGACGAGTCAACTTCTTACTAAAAGTAGTAGTGGCAGGTAAAATCCCTGGAACAGTGCAGGTCAGCGTTGATCTCAGTGATGAGCGAGAATAAAGCAACCCTTTGTAAATGCTTCCAAAATAAAATTCCCTAGCAAGACTGTACGTGTAGACTATATAAAAGTGTTTCGGGCACTGATGAAGGGCTGCTATCCCGAACGTGTCCTGAAATAAATACTTTATATTTACATGTAGTCTATATAGTCCTGTCAGTGTGTTGCTAGGGGATTTTTTTTTGAAATTAGAGGGAACCTTGATGATAATATTGATTTGTCTACTATATTTTAGTTATTTGAGTTAGCGTTAACAGTTAGTACATTGTATTATGGTGGACATCTGGTAATAAAAGGACAATTGTCAGGAGGAAATCTTGTATCATTTATATTATATCAAATACAACTAGGTGATAGTTTAGACGTAAGTATTAATATCAGTTATTATAGGAATAGATATGTAACATTCAAATTTTTAATTTAGTAATTTAGTGGTTTAGTAATTAAGGAAAATTTCAATTTTAACAGTGTAAGGTTATTTTGTTACACACGTGAATTTAGCACAAATTTCTGACAATCTGATGAAATACAGACCTGGGAGTATAGCAGTGAATTATAATGTTGGTACAAATATTTATCATGAATATCAAATGTAAAACAATTTGAATTTTAATAGGGACTGGAAATATGCTATTTAGTGTTTCATTCTTTACGCAACAAAACCCCAGATCTCAACATTCACTGATAAAATATGAAAAGGCATGATGTAGCCATGGACCTTATGATAGATTTTTAAGGTCCATGATGTAGCATAGCCAGTCGAATATTGAAGCTAAACCACAAGGTTACCAAATCTGATGTGTAACACTATCATTGTTACACATTCTTAGTTTTGGCTACTAATCGTTTAGGTATGACCGGCTTGTATACTGTTTCAACTCACCAATCTTGGACTTCACGGTTTTGCAATTATTGACTTAAATATTTCTCTTAGAATGGAACTTTGAAATGGACATGCCCACGGACTTAATATAACTTCAAATATATCACCAGAATAACTCAGGAACACACTGTTATTGTTAAATACATTTTATATCAAGCACAGATACATAAGCACAGATACATAAACACAGCATAAGTCTACCTAAAACTAAAAACTATAATGTCTTTCATTCTCTCAACCCCACTCAACTCGCTCTGGCCAGAGCGGCTTCTGCTGGAAACGTTACATGATGTTGTCCTAACAATGGCTATCTGAATCGCCGAGTTAATTCTGGTCTTATATATCCCTGATATATCTCGTATTAATTAGCTGATTGGTTGATTATGCCCATCGACGCAAAGAATTAGAATTGAATATTATATGTTATGGTTCGACAATCGGTCTTGACTTAATGGCATTTTGTTTATAATATCTGTTGATGACAGATACGGCTTCAAAATATCCTGTTTTAATCATAATTTGAAAACAAAGGAATCCTAATAAAAACTTTAAGGTCAAGCTGTTATTATATTCATATATCATTATATGTGTTTGGGTCTCATGGTAAAATAGGCCAGGGTAAACTCTATTATAAACCCTATTATTTATTTCAGGATATGGCTGATGTGTATACAGGTTTAATGCAATCATTAGGGGCTTCACATAAAGTATTTCAATATATAGATAGAATACCTAATATTAATCTTACTGATGGTGGTTATAAGCCTCTAACATTAGATGGAAAAATAGAATTTAAAGATGTCAGCTTTTCCTATCCTAGTAGAGCTGATTGTAAAGTTTTAAAGGTGAGTTGTGCTAATTGCTGCTAGATGAAATGGGTTGGAATGAAATACAGAAATTCAACAAAAGTCTAATTTCTTGTTGTACTTTGAGGGATGAATTATTTTTCACATATTGATGATGTATTAAAGTTACAATTTCATATTTTCTAAGAAAGTCAAAACATAATTATTTCTATGTCTTTCGCTCAATAGGTTGTCAACTCACTATTATATGATCATAGGTTATCTTTCTCACACTTACAAATCTTCACACTGGAAATAATAACACAATTACCTCCCAATTACCTCCCTTGTTTTCCTATTCTCCACCATGGAATAGCTATCTTCAAACGTTTGAATTTGAAGTTGAAAATGATATTTTTGCCAATTTCTCAACTGGCAATAGTGAACTATAGGATTAATAGGATTATTCTTTAACAAGGTAGGACTGTTTATAGATACCATCTATTTTAGGGCTTTATTTTAATACATTTTAAAAATATAACTTAAAAATATGAAATTGTAACTTTAATTTAAAGAAGAAGTACAAAAGTGGTACCTTTCAACAAAATTGACAGAGGGTGTGCGAACTAGGTGCAATTCAGCTTGAATATCACTGATGCATGCGTGTTAACAAGGTGCAACTCAGCTTGAATATCACTCGTGTGGGTGAATGACTGAGTATTACTGATGTAGGTGTGGGAACACACAGTGGATCACAGCTTACTGATGTAGGCATGGGAACAAGGTGCATCTCTGCTTGAATGACTGAAAATCACTGATGTAGGGGTTGAAAAAGATGTTTTCTCAGCTTAAATGACTGTCTATAACTGATGTAGGGAACAAGATGAAATGAAATGAAATGGGGTTTAACGTCCTACTGTTCTGTTCCTATACTGGGCTAATGAAGACGGGCATGCGCCATACAGTGTGCTATGAGTGAAATTTTGCCCGGGCAGCGGCACTATCGCCTACTCTTATATCGAATTCCAACTGCCAAGGGATCTTTTACGTGCATTTCAATGTTTACACTGGACCTCGGTTTTTCGTATCATCCGAAGGACTAGACAGCTGTCCTTGTCAGGCCCTCCGTCCTGCATCACTTACAAGGGGAAACCACGTCGGAAAATCGGGATGAACTTTCTTGGCCAATGCAGGGATCGAACACCCGACCTCCAGGCTAGCGAGCCAGCGCCTTACCCACCTAGCCACCGTGGTCCCCAGGGAACAAGATGCATCTCAGCTTAAATAACTGAATATAACTGATGTTGCTGTTTGAACAAGATGCATCTCAACTTAAATGACTAAATATTACTGATGTAGGCGTGGGAACTGAGTACATCTCAACACAAATGATTAGATGTAGATGTAAGAACAGGGTACATCTCAATATTAATGACTAGATAACATAGATGTGAGTCAAATTGGGTGTGTTAACAGGGTACATCTTCCCACAAACGACTTGGGGTCATAGATGTATGTATGGGGAAGGATGTGCATGACTGAATAGATGTAGCAGATGAAGCTGTTGGAACATAACTTACTGATGCCATCGAAAGAAAATTGTCATTACCTGGTAAATAATATTATTGCGATGCAGACCTGGGAATAATAAACTAGTTTGTGACATTTTTATCTGGCCATGTATTAATTATATCAATAAAAACACAGAAAAAAGACAATACTGTGCCAATCAAAAAGACATGCACCCGAGGGACTGTGCCTGACAAATCCTAAATTTGTGGCTGACAATGTCTGTGACAGGTGCCTTTTTCTGCAGACTGGTTGAGATGTTTGAGACACAGATTTAGGATTTAAAAAATGCAATAATTTGGAAAGCATCCAAATCCCTGTATACTTGACTATTCCACAAGATTAATGCTTTGTATAAGAAATAATAAACATTTGTGTAAAAATGATCTGTATTTTGTGTTTCAGAATGTATCATTTACTGTAGAACCAGGAGAAGTTGTAGCTCTAGTGGGACCAAGTGGTGGGGGTAAATCATCTATAGTTAATCTACTTCAACATTTTTATGAACCACAATCAGGAGAAGTGTTACTGGATGGAGTTAAATTAAATGATTATAGTCATGATTATTTACATAGAAAGGTAAGAACATTTTGTTTATGATGTTTGATAAATAAAATATATATTTTGTTAAAGGGACATTAGGTAAGATTAGATAAAGAGTTGACAGTTCTCACTATAATAGTTAAAAGATAGCTAATGAAAATAGAATATGCTGAAAATTTCAGTCAAATTGCTTCACTGAACTGAGATATTTCTCCCAAAAATTTTGAAAATTCAATGGTGATTTGTGGAGCTTATATTCACCTTAATATACCATCCCTGATTACATCCCTAGTTGTACTTTTTGCCAATAAGAAAAATAATAATTGAGGCCTAGATGATCTTCAAAGATCAATAAAAGTGACTTTTAATGCCAATACCGGTGTGCTAGTTTTTAACATTGCTACAAATTTCCTTTCCAAAACAAATACAGGTTAGATTTTTCAGTTAACACAAGTAGAATATGTTTTTATTGTGTTTTCAGCTTGCCATGGTAGGTCAGGAACCAGTTTTATATGCCAGAACAATAGGAGAAAACATAGCATACGGGTTAGAAGATGAATTCACGCAAAATGACATAGAGCATGCAGCCATATTAGCCAATGCCCATGATTTTATATCAAAAATGACAAAAACCTATGAAACAGAGACTGGAGAAAAGGGACTACAGATATCCGGAGGTCAAAAACAACGAATAGCCATAGCTTGAGCGTTAATACGCAATCCTGTAGTTTTAGTTTTAGATGAAGCAACAAGTGCTCTTGATTCAGAATCAGAACATGTGGTAAGTTGAAGTTATTTAGCAGGGACTATCTTATATTACACTTATAGGAGGTCCAGTTTCCTAATAAGAAAGAATCAGGTTTAGTAACATTCAAAAGAAAGACAATTAAACAGACTAATGTGTCAAAGTGAATGACATTCCTATGGTAGAGCTGAGTTCTATCAGTATGCTCTGCCTTGTGTACCGTATCTGTTATTTCTTGCTCCATATACCTTAAAGTTGCAATTTCATATTTTTAAGTTTTATTTTTGAAATGTATTAAAATAAAGCCTTAAAGGGAGAATAACACTCTTGCTGGCTTGAAAGCTCCAGAAAATAAATAATATCTCTATCTAAGTACTAGATGTTTAAGTGTCCTACCTGTTGCGTAAATTATCCATTACATCCTATTTTACTTGTCCAGAGGGTTCAAAAATATTTTTAAATCGAAGTTTCATTTGAAAAGGTTTACGTTAGACGTTTCAAACCATTATGTTGAATTTTTCAAAATTTTTAAATAAGGTGTGTTAAGATGAAATTTGTATCATCAATTAATTGAAATATTCTAAAATAGTACAATTTGTTGACCAGAATAAAGATTGGGACATATTATTCAGTTACAACAAGAGTGGTATTGAGCCTTTAAAATAGATGTATGTATCTATAAACAGTCCTACCTCGTTAAAGAATAATCCTATAATTCACTATTGCCAGTTGAGAAATTGGCAAAAATATCATTTTCAACTTCAAATTCAAACGTTTGAAGATAGCTATTCCATGGGGGGGGGGGGGGGATATAAAAACAAGGGAGGTAATTGTGTTATTATTTCCGGGGTCAAGGATTTATAAGTGGGTGAATGATACCTATGATCGTATAATAGTGAGTTGACAACCTATTGAGCAAAAGACATAGAAATAATTATGTTTTGACTTTCTTAGAAAATATGAAATTCTCTCTTTAATTCAATGTTATATTGGATGCCGTGGGTCTTTTTCGCCTAGGGACGATAGAGGCAGAGAATAACACATACATGTATATTTATTTACATTTTAGATAATAGATTATTATTTTTTTTTGTCAGGTACAACAAGCTATTTATGATAATGTTAAAGGACGGACTGTTATAATTATAGCTCATCGTCTGAGTACAGTAGAGGCAGCCAATAGAATCTTAGTTATAAATCATGGGGAAGTTGTAGAACAAGGTCGTCACCAGGAATTATTACATCGTGGTGGAATGTATGCAAATCTTGTTAAAAGACAATTAAACACAATAACTGATGTTCAAATAAACAACACCCCACAAATTGTGGTACCAGAAGTGAAAACCAAATATGGAAGTACTGAATCACATAAATCTTTATCCAAATATGGAAGTGTTGAATCACATAAATCTTTATCCAAATATGAAAGTTTTTAATCACATAAATCTTTATTTATATATAAATACATGATTATATTTTGTTGAAATATATGTGTCATGGTTTGATTTGCCACCTTATAATTGAATGTTGAAATGTATGTGTTCTCTGAGGAGAATCTTTGTATTGTTTCTTAAAACATAAGTGAGAGTTACATATATATAAATCAAACATTTTAGTATAAAAGTGTGTTCGCCTGTCATCTTATCAACTTTACATCTAATAATATGTCTTGTTCAGGTAGATGTTCTTATTATCTCACGCTGAACGAAGATATTCATGTTTTCTTCCCTAGAAAATATTAATGTCAAGTCATATAGAGTATGGTAATGACACTATCTAGCACATCACGATTTTATTTTTATACGCCCACATTTTCATGTATATTGTCACAATTCTTATCCGATTTTGACGAAACTTGAAATATAGGTTTATTTTCAAAAGATCTCAATTTTGTTTTGATATTGGCATGTATCGGATCGAAACTTCATGGATTATGGCCCCTGTTTGTACCGTTACACCATAATGACGGTTGAGTTTGAATTTTGTGAAAATTGGACCAAAACTGCCGGACAAAATGGCCGCCCCTCGTATGCAAATAGTGTAAAAATATGGTATATCAAAGTTGTGGATCCTCTAGAGGCCACAATTTTGATCCGCTTTTGATGAAACTTTAAATTTATGTTTAAATCACAAAGACCTTGGTTTCTTTCGATAATCGCCTATATCCGAACATAACTTCCTGGATTTTGGCTTGTGGTCCAGCTAGAAGTCACAATTTGTATTCAATTTTAAAAAACGTTTAAATATATCAACGTTACACATCAGTAAAGGTTGAGTTCAAATTTCATAAAAATCTCACCGAAATTACCAGACAAAATAGTCGCTCCTTGTACATACATAGTGTAAAAGTATGTAATACCAAGATTGTGGACACTCTAGAAGTCACAATTTTTATCCGATTTTGATGAAACTTGCAATGTATGTTTATAATCCAAAGAGCTTGGTTTCTTTCGATATTTGCACAGATCAGACCGTAGCTTCCTGGCTTATGGCCCCTAATTGTACGAAAAATCACATTTTTAGCTCTTGTGGACCCTCTAGAGGTCACAATTTTTATCCGATTTTAAAAAAATGTTTAAATGTATCACTGTTACACCCTATGTATGTAATACGAAGGTTGTGGACCCTATAGAGGTCACAACTTTAGTCCAATTCTGATAAAACTTAAAATATATATTTATATCCCAAAGATCTCAATCCCTTTTGATATTCACGCATTTCAGGCAATAACTTAGCTTGTTTTCTATCCATCTCTTGCTAAATGTGGGCGTATCTTGCCTGGCAACCGTTGTTTTTTTTTTTTTAAGCAGAACTAGAAAGTATGTTGGTCAGAGAGGAATATATATCATGTTATTTTATGAGTTATTTAGTCATTTTATTTGGTGTTTTAGAATTAAATGTACAATTCAATGCCAACATTTTCGTTTTTCAAATTGTTAGACTATACACCTCTATATACTGGTAATGTGATATGAATGTACTTATGAATAGATTTTATTTTACAAACCATGCAGTTAATCGAATAATAGCAAGAGCAAATAAATAATTGCCATTGAGTTATTGTTGATTTTTTGCCCCAAACTTGTTTGGTTACATACCACATTACTGCCTTTAATATTCTTGTTATCATTCTTTCTAAATTAGGTTCAGGTTAGTTTGAGCAAGTTGTTGTGGGTATTGTGCATCTTGTCATGTGTTTCCCTGTGATTACGTTTTACATAACACTTCAATTTAATGCTGGCAAGAGTGACAGAAATGTGGTGTCATGATATCTTTATTCCACTTCAGGTTCTTGTAGGTCTGTGTGTGTGGAAATGGTGGACAAGATGAATATGTATAATACTATCAGGTCTCATACTTAATCATTGGCACCAATCATTCTTGATCATGTCAACGCATCATTGATATGTCTTGTGTGATTGGATGGATTTAAAACTGTTGTGAGCATGCCAGCAATTAATATTGATATGAACACACAGTCTGTTCTGATAGATATCCCAAGTTTAGTAAAAAAAATACTGGTCAGAATATTGAAGACCATAGTTCTTCTGTGACACAGGACAGTGTTACATTACAGACTTGGAGATGTGACACAAGACATATTACATATGATCTACAGGACTATTCAAGTTGTCATACATATTTGTATATAGTACTCAGTGTAAAGTTGTGGTTGGTTTTATCTGTGGTTTGTTCTACAGCTTTCCAGTGTTGTTTATCAAATGTTCAGTTGTTGCAGAAGTTCCCTGCCTTCAGCTACCCACTTGTTTTTGCATTGATCCTTCCTTAATATTTGGTTGCTTTATTGTAAAAAAGTGATCTGCTCCTATAATCCCTTCTTCACAAATTATAACATATATAACCACATGGTATCATCTTCACAAATTATAACATAAATAACCACATGGTACCTTTTTCACAAATTATAACATAAATAACCACATGGTACCATTTTTAACAAATTATAACAAAGTCTTAGTTATGTTTTATTATGATTTTTTAATAGGTTATTAAAGTATAACATAACAAACCTAAAATGTTGAGAAAAAAAAACATAATAAAAATTCATGAATTTAAATGAATTATAGAAATTGTAGAAATACTGAATTTTATAATATACAACATTTATAATATAAGAATATGAGGTTATAGTACATTTATAAACTGATAGTTAGGATGATACAATTCACTTATAAATATCAAACAATTTACTATTTCATTGGTTAATATTAAAAGTTTTAGTTTTTGTTTGTTTGTTTTAAACAATATTTTTTTTAGGTTGTCTGAATGGGATTGGGGAACATGCTTAGCCTATGTAAAACCTCTCTTCCTAGTTTTAGTTAAAACATTTTCATATTCAAATTAAAACAATTGAATGTGACAGTGAATTGGAAGCCATTTTCTTGTAAATCTGAATACGATCGATACTGGATCTATCTTGTCAGCTGTGGGAGAATTATTACTACAATAATAGTTAAAGCAGGAAAAAATATATGACATAGGATTTAAAAGAGATTTTATTGCCAGCAGTGAACATAAAAATATTTCGGTAGAGAATGTATGTTACATATTCATTCAGTAGGATTCCTTCCCTGCTATTGTTTTATAATTGTCTTTTAACACATTACAATTCAGATCTTTTCCTGTTGATTATAAAAGTAAATTTTATGGAACATATAGTCTACTGTTTAAACAGTATTTAGCAATTGAACACATTAAGTTAAACACATCATATTGTTTTCATAGAGCTCTTGTGTTTAATTTATTGAATCTGTACAGTCATTAAACAGTTACAAAAGCTTACCTTGCTAACACCTGTCAATAACTTATTGTAACCACATTGATTAACCAGGTGAGTAACAGCAATATATATTCAGAGTTCCAAACCTTACAATACTACCCAAAGAAATTGTGATGAGTCTGGAGGATTCCTTTTAGCAATGATGTTAATGCCATTTGAAAGCAATGTCCTGATTAAATGATAATAGGATCTACTAAAAAAAGGCAGCACAGATAAACCTCTTGAATATATTTACCCTAACAAATAATGTTTAGTAATAAGATTGAATCAATCTCATGTAATTAAGATAAAAATTATATAAATTAAATATTGTGTGTTTATACAGGATACAAGTATATAGTAGTAAAAATTGTTAAAATATTATTTAGGATTTTCTAATTATCTACATGCAGTTTCATATCAGTGTAAAAAATGAAATGATGTCTACAATGAGATAAATGATGACGACAAAAAAAACCATTTAAAGCTAAATTCTACTCACTCAATTACTAATTGACTATATTTTGTTTTATAGAAACACAATATTGTGTTAAATACATTTTGATCTTTTAAAATCATTAGCAATAAATAATTAATTAATTTTTACAGTAGCTGCATAAGGATTTCAATAACACAATTACATGTAGTTCTGAGCATATATAATTAAGAAAACAGACTGAGAAAACGGCAAGAATATATTTTTTTTAAAAATTAAAGTTTAAAAGAACCCTGTTTCAGAATTTTATATAAAAATTTAATCTTAATTTTCTAGGTGGTAAAAACAGAGTAAAACTGTGTCCGAAACATGTAATATTTCACGGTAATGTTTATAATGTAAATATGTGAACAGAAAGATCAATTTTGTGAAAAACGTCCAAATTTATAATTAAAAAAGTTTGTAATTTGATTTGGAAGAGTTTGACAGACAGTGGACACAGGTGATGACAATATATGTCAATAAATGTGGGCATATAAAAACCATACTCCAAATAAATTGAGCATTTCATTTTGAATTTTTTTTAAGACAAAATGACAAATAAATTACAGAACAAAATGCATATATTGAGTATATAATAATAAATCAGTAAAATTTTGAATGATTTTTGTGGATTGGTGTTCTATTTACTTTATACATTGTTATCTTCTTTTTAATAGCAAAAACAGTTTAGCCTCTGAATTCATTGGAGGTAGTATATAACCCAAATTAAGGCCATTTTACATAACAACATTAACCAATCTCAAATTGATAAACCATATAGAATTAAAAAATAAAATTATGCTTTTGTACAACTAATTTGAACACTGTCTACCATACAGGTTAAAAAAAAGAATCAAGTAAGACTTAATATAATAATGTTTTCTCCAAATGCTGACAGTTACACTATTGACAATGATTTTTATTTAAAAAAAAAAATTGAATATGACTAATTTTTGAATGTAAATGATAAGAACAACAGTATACACAATTTATCTCTAATAGAAAAACACATGAAATACTGGGCTGTCTACACAATAGTCACATTATCATTATGTGATGTACATGCAATTATTTATTCAACTTATCATCTTAATGAGCTCCAGGAATCTTTGTTAAAACCTGCAGAAAAAAAATATGAACTATATGTTTATTTAAGATTTCCAAAATCCAAACATTTCACATTTGATTGGGATAATAGGCGTGTTTATAACAATTGGTGTACACTGTTTGATAAAAACTGAAACACAACGGGACAACCTTGCATTTAGACTGTTTTAAGATAGATCATCTTATACAGGCCTGCTTTCAACTACCGTAATGTATGAACATCAAAATTGCAAACCATTTGTGGTGTCTCAAACAGAAATTATGAACATGTACAGAAAATTAATGCTGATGTATACAATAATTTATTTGCTTGCCACCTTGCAAGGACTTAAATAGAAATATGCTCAGAAATCTAATAACATTAATGATAGGGTCTGCGGGAGCAGGACAAAAGCCAGCAGGACAATTTCCTGTGAGGACAATTGCCGGCAAGGACAACTGCTAGTGGGACAACTGCCGATGATATCATTTGTTTTTCTGTATTTATGACCTTTTCGTTAAAAATAACCAATAATTAAATATTCTTTATTATTATCATACAGGTTCAGTTTACTTAACACATTGTTTATAATAGCACTCACTAAGTGACTGACTATCTGTAATAGCGTTCACTGACACAAAGTTATCACAGGTGAATATTATGTGTAATACCATGTAAATAGTCCAACACATGGTGACTGTTGAGCTTATGGACAATATTTAGTTTACGCTTTGCAGTCTCTGTACTGTTAAGTTACGTATTGATAATGGTTACGCGTATTGTGCTCATCCATCAATTAATAATCTATACTAAGAAAAACCCAATGAAATCATTGGCAATAAGATTAACAGTTATGTTTTTATAATTATTACATATATATACATCTTTGCCTCATTTATCGTTTAATAAACTACACTAAAAAGAACAAATAAAATGACTGGCAATAAAATCAACAGTTATAAACTATAATAAAAAAAGAATAAATAATAAAATGGTCAGCAGTTGTCCTGTTGGCAGCCGTACTCGCCGCCAAATGTCCAACCGGCAGTTGTCCTAGACCCAGGGTCTGCATATCAAAATAAATATAAATCTAATATCTTACCTTGGACAGATCGACACCAGTTAATGCCTGCACTGCTGGAGGTAACTGACTGACCAATCGACTCACTTCTGATGTAGCACGATCATCACCCAACAATACAATCTCATCTGTTTTAGATAGAGGTGCTGAAACTTCGGCAGCAATCTATAAAATAATATCATCAATGAATAGCAGTTCTAATTGCAATATGAAGATTGGTGATTATTCTTACTGGTATGGTAAAACTTGAAATACATATTAATCAAATGAAATGAGGCTGGATCTTATAGATTTGAAATACATGGAATCAGAACAATGTGTTCATACTGACTGTGTATTATGTAGATGACTTGCCTACTGAGTAAATCTGCCTATCACAAATGTATACAGTGCAAGAGGTGAATGAACAAATGATTGAAATTGGATTTAACATGCTGCACTATGCTGGAAAAACCTAAGGAACTGTCTCAGTTAACACTGAAAACGAAGCTGAGACTAACGAGCTAGTGTCTCACACATGGAGCCACCACTAGAGGTAAAGTACTGTACTTGAATTATAAAAGTTGAGCATTCATAAACATTTGAGTGTTCCTCTTTGTTATCACCACTGAGAAGCACAATGTTCAGACACTCTATAAAACCATTATTGCATTAAAACTCATTAAAAAAACCTATATAATTATAAAGAATCTTCTAACCTTAGGTAGTGTTTCAAGGACTTGTTGTAACATGGCAGCTTCACCATATTGTTTGTAAGCTGCAGCCTTTAATCTCATTTTCTCAGCTTCAGCTTTACCTACAGCCTCTATAGCTGCTGCCTCGGCTCCTCCTATCAATCTGGTTTTCTCAGCATCTGCTCTAGCTGCTTCTACTGTCTGTGTTCTGTAAATATAAATTACCAGTTTTTAGAATCAAATTTATATTCTAATTTTGTTTATGTGAATCACCAGGGTAACTACATAGTTTAAGATGATCACAGGTAATGATTTATTCCAGAGGTAACACCATCCCATAACAGTACACGTGAAAAAATATATGTTTGCTCAATCAACACACTAACACTATTTATGCACTATTTATGGAGTAACAATTACTGGTTTATTAACATGCACCGTTTCGACGATGATACTCTTACCTTTATCAAGCAAAGACGACAGTATCATCGTCGAAACGTTGCATGTTAATAAACCAGTAATTGTTACTGGATAAATAGAGTTAGTATGTTACTGTTCAATTACTAAATGCCACTTAAAGAAGTTTTGCTCAATCAAGTCGGCAAACTCTGGTGTCACGTGACAACCATAACTGAAATTGCTAGAAAATAAACTTCGGTACGACTATGATATAGCCTTCAATAATATTTCTAAAATTAAGTCTCTGTCACCATGTATATAAAATAAAAAATCATAACGGTAAACGCTCTTTAGAACTGGTTTATTGACCTAATTCCAACCAATATGTCACGTGTCATTGGAATTCGGCATTCCAGATTCTGTTGGGAAAATATCCATGCTGTTTCTCTCTCCGTGTATTCGGTGTTCTATCAGGGGATTATATTCAATGAAGATTTAAATTTAACTAACAACTGGTCAGTGAATCCATCAATGTATGATCCAGTTATTATTTTAATACCCGGAATTCACACGTGTTTTTTTTTTTTTTACCGGATTATCAAAATCACCGTTAAATGTGCTAATTACTCGGATTATGAACCACATATGGCTGATTCGCACTAAGGTATGACTGTTGTTGTAGCTAGGGTCTTTATTAACAAGTAATATAATTAACGCCACAAGTAGATTGATTTATGATACCATGTGGCCGATTGATTGTTTTACTAATCGGCTAGATTAAACATCAATCGGCTAAATCCCACAAAATACAGCCGATTAAGAAAAATAACCCTGACTGACATTCAACAGTTGGACTCGATCGACAATTCTTCCGAGATTTTTTTTTTTTGAGAAAAATTTTACATAGCGTAAGCTCTTGCGAGAATCCTTGCGCGAATCAGATTCGGAGATTCGCGTGAATTTCTAGCCCTGCACAGACATAATTCAATGAAATTAAGATATGTACCATATGTCAATTCCAAAATGACAGTTTTACTTGGTTAACATTACCCCATTTCTCTATCTTATTATCACTGTAAACATAGGCCCAATACAAGGTCATCTAATCAATTTGCGAGTATATCAATCACATTGAGAATATGCTTTTAAGATAATAAAACTGATCAGACACAAACCGTTACAGACGTATGTAATTCAGTAACATTATTCAACAATTGTTAACTCTTTCCTAGCATCCACATGTATACATACATGTGTCCCTTTCCTAGCATCCACATATATACATGTGTCTATATATGCACATCTACGTGTAGGCAAATTATGTCTTTGGTGTGAAGCATTAGAGCCATAAAAGGACAAACCCTATAGATTTTTCTGTGATCTGTGACATTCCATCTTGAGTCACCACCCTTGTCCAAATCCTTGTTCACATGTTTAATATATATGTTTTACAAATTTGGTGCGCATCATTAGGAGTGTGAGAAGTGATTTTACAATTTGGTGAGAAGCATTGGAATCGGAAAGGATGAACCCTATTGACTTTCTGTTCCAGAGATAAGTATCCAGATTAGATTTCTTGAGGGATCCTAGATTCTCACAAATTTGGTCAACATCCAAGTTTTCCTTTCGATAAGTTGCTGTTGAGACATAGCAACTGTGTTGGTTTTGTGTGACTATATTTTTAGTACCTTTGACCCTCCGCTATCATTCCCATCTTGTAGGCCTGAGCTTCAGCTGGGCGTTTCACAGTAGCTATTAATTCTTTTTCTTTTCTTAAGATTTCTTTTTCTTCTACATCAATTTGTTTTCGGCGCTCTACAACCTCAATTTCGATTTCTTCAGCTCGAATTCTCTGTTTTTCTTTAGCTGCTTGAAGTCGATAAGCCAATTCTGCCTCAGCTTGCTGGAAAATTAGAAGAATTTTAGGATACACATAAATGAAATCATGTTTATGCATTAAGAAACATGATGATATACCATAATTCGATATTTACAGAGAAATTAAATTGAATGAAATGGGGTTTAACATCCCTCTGTTCTGCTCCAACTGGGCTAATGATGGCTTATTTATCATGCATCCTTTAATATAGCAGCATTTTTCAGTCCTGAAATATGCCATGCACAATGTAACCTTACCTTTGTATTAACTTCAATATCAAAAGAAGCCTTCTGCATTTGGAATGCTCTTGTAGCATCAGCAACTCTTGTATCAGCTTCATATTTAGTATCCATTCTACTCTTTTCACATTCTGCCTCCTAAAATAACCAGATATGACAAATTGGCAAGGGTAACCGCCATGGGTTGAACAACAATATAGATGTGCAGGCAAGTTTTTACTAACATAGACAATTTTAAATAATGTACAGTTGCCAGAAAAAGTAGTTCACCTAGTTGACATTTTACAGCATTCATCGCTATTTATATAGTGGTTCAAAAAACATTGGATGATAAGCTGTTTTGTGTAATTATTGTACACAAATTATAAAAGTAGCAACTGTTATGTTTATTAACTCAAGTACACAGTCAATAAGTTATCAACCTTTTCTTCTGACAATGAAGCCAGATAGTTCTGATGTCAGTTACCGTAAATATTTGAGTTTTTAACAAAAGCAAATATGAAAGATCTATTATATTTCTATAACTATATTTGATAAAATAAACTGATATGCAAATCTAGGAACTGTGGAGAACAATTCATCAGAACTGCATGATATTGTATAATTACACCCAGTTTAAATGGTCATATATATATATAAAATATTTTCAATTGAATCCAAAATTAAACTGTGTGCCATTACATAAGATTCCTACTTTGATGTATCCACATATATATAACTGGATAATATACCTGTACCTGTGTCAATATTACACATGAGATTATGGAAAGAAAAATAATTCTAAGTTTTAGCATCTTAAAGATGGGTTCCCGTGTACAAACTGTGTGATTTAATGGTATATATGGACTAAAAACATATTCAAGCTAATTAATTTGTCATAATTATGCTTCAAATCCTTCTCAAACATTGTAATTGTGAAGGAATGCCCTGTTATTAAAATTCGATCAAATCAGGTCATGTTTATGTCACGTCTTGAAAGTCAGAGGAGAATCCATTGCATACATAAGACGATGTTGTCTTTAATCGCTTACTATTTATTACAAATATCGAATCCTAATTAAATTCTCGGATTATCCACTACCCGCGTCTTTTTCCGTCATTTTTATCTCAGAAAGTGTTGTACGTCTAACTCTTCATAGCGTTTATCAACTTGTACATCAAGCGCTCAATGGTCGCGTGTGACCTTTTGACATCACGCGTGCAGAAATTCTTAATCGTTGGGCTGTTGATTAGGGGAACCCTTACATTTTTGTCCTGTATACGCTCCATGAGTGTTTTTCGGGGAATCCAGTATTTTTCTAGTAAGATTGGATATCTCTACTTTCCATATATACCAAAATTGCCATACTTTTATTGGAAATAACCACCCGATAAATACTTTTCGTGGAACCCATCTTTAATGACAGCACGTTTAATGATGTTTGAAATGAAAATATGTGTCTCTCAAAATAAGAAATATAGGGATAAATTGTTTCAATGGCATTTAGTAACTGAAAATACACTTGACACAATTATATCATTGCTTAGTAAAAACTAGAGAAACCTAGTCAATATGTTGCTCAATAATAAACAGTTATTATAAGCTTACTCCATATTATTGTGTCCTGTCTGTAAGAAATACTGTGATACTTATATCAAGTATACAAAAAACAGTCCAGGGCCTGAAGAAAGGTAAACTCAACTCCCTCAATTGAACCCTTGCATTCATGATATGAACAAATATTTCTGATTAGATTGCAAGTCTACAAAACAATAACTGCAATAAATGCATGGTTTCTTAAACATACATTATGCAAGAGTTAAATCTGCCTATTGCAGGTCTTTTTTAGGCCTGAAATGTTATATAAACTATTAATCAGACATTAATTAACTTTTCCAAACCATAATCCACTTTCGATGTCATCTTAAGTGTCGGATTTTCAATGGATTTGAATCCGATCTGCTGCTAAATGCTCATTGATGATTAAACCCAAAAATGGATAATCGAGACTATGTTTTTTATCGTATTGATTTAGTAATGATGGTTGAGGCTAAGCTTAAAATCCAAAAGCTAATATCTCAGTTCAGAGTTGCGCAATTTGACTGAATTTTCAATATATTCTATTTACGTTATCTATTTTTTAATAATTATAGCGAGAACAGTCAACTGTTTAACTAATCGCCCATACCGCCTCTTTAAATATAGGTAATAAATTAGACCTAATAAACACTTTCCAATACAAGGGTTAAAGTTGTTACATTAACTGGGTTAAATACACAAGAACTAAACCGAAGTAATGACAGACGACAAGGGTTAGTGTTATCACTTTAACCCTCTTCTCCAGAAGTGATAAATAGAGACAGAAACAAATCGCATTTAACATCCACTCAACACAAACTGTGTCATTTCGGTACTAACAAATGGTACAATTTTATTTAAATAATTATCCAGTATTGGGAAGAAACCGGAGGAAACAGAGAAGTCCCACAATGTCAGGCAGGTGATTCTACTCCAAGTCACGGACAAGTGTGGGATCGAAACAATGCCACTTGACTCAAATCACCCTATGATCTCAAGCACACACAACAATTAGTGGCTCTAAGAAAGTTAGGTTGCTAGGCAACGAAACATGTGCCCACAGCAGATACATCGTTCAAGCAGTTGACAAGGGTTGTCACATATTTATTCTTTTGTGGGTAATGGGAGCATTTACAAGACACTGATATCAATTTCATTAGAACGTTCACAAGGTTCAACAAAGTGAAACAAGGGCCATAACTCGAGACGTAATTAACGGAAATTGATGAAATGTACCGTAATAGAATTCTTAGTTTTACTAATCTAAATAATGCATATAAATTTAATACAGATCGGATGATAACTTTTGTAGAAAGAGCTACCACAAGGGCCCAACAAAGTGAAACAAAGGCCATAGCTCTCGAGACGTAATTAATGGAAATTGATGAAATGCAATAGGCTTCTTCGTTTCACTAATTCAAATGATGCATATAAATTTCAACCAGATCGGATGATAACTTTTGTTGTTAGAGCATTCACAAAGTAAAATAAGGGCCATAACTCAAGAAGAAATTAATGGAAATTATTGAAATAAAATAGGAATCTTCATCTCACTAATGTTAACAACATATATCCATTTCAAAACAATCAGATGATAAATGTAGTCTGTAGAGTGTTCGCAAGATATTGTGGACAATGGACGGAATATACGACATTACCATGTGGTTGAATAAAAATCGACAAGATAACTGTGTCACAAATATTGCATCAGTTATCGAGAAAAAATGAGATAATCATTGTGTTTTAGAGAAGGTTCACGATAGGAACACAATAAACCATGGAAAATATGCTTATTGATTAAATACCCATTCTGTCATCTATCATGATACTTTTTCCATCATCCATTAACAGACAGGCATACAATAAACCATAGAAAATATGCTTATTGAATAAATACTCAATACAATCATGTACATCTATCATAATACATTTTTCCATCATCAATTATTAACAGATAGGCAAGAATTAACTGATCTATGATCAATTATTTCAGTTTATAATTTGTGTATAGTTTGTATGATTCAACCTACTCGAATACCAGCATCTCTGTTTGCTTCAGCTACACCAATATCAGCATCACGCTTTACATTGGCTGTCTGGGCACGACCCAGTGATGACAAATATTCCACATCATCATAAATATCTTTAATAGTGAAACTGAGAATCTCGATACCCATTTTACCAACATCAGGGGAGGCCACCTCTCTAACAAGCTGAGCAAACTGATCTCTGTCTTGATAAATTGCCTCTACACTTAGAGTACCTGTAGTGAAAACAATAGGTATAATAGTAAATGGTAATATTTATAAAAGATTCACAAAATCTCAAGACACGTATGTATGTAAATGTACAATGCTATAGTAAAATAAAACCCTACTTTCCAATTGACAAATTATCATTCTTAGCACAAAATGCATCATCCTTGAAGAGAAGTCACGTTCTTTTCTAAAATCACATCTAATTCTAAATGTGTTTACTGGTGTATACATAAAAACAAATAATTTATTAAAATTGTTTTACAAAAAGATATCTCAAATTGTGCTATTCTTGAGATATTGTATAGATATCAATACAGACAATAGATCAAAGTAACTGGCAACAAGAATCATTCACTGGTCAGGATTGTTACCAAGCAATGCGTAAACAAATTCATGGAATATATGTGTGAACTACATGTACTATACAGTAGTGTAGAGTTCTGATGAATAAGCTAAACTCAGCAATACCATACATAAATCGGATCAGGAAATTACCTATGAAATTCCTATTTGTATATGGCTCTGCTTAGTGATTGATATTATATCTTACCTAAAATGGCACGAAGATGACCTTCCAGGGTTTGTAAAATAACTGATTCAATATGATGTGGTGTTTTTCCCAGAAATTGTTCACATGCTGTTTTTAATAAATCATGCTCTCTCATTATCTTTACTTGACAGACACCTGTAACAGTAACTGGTACACCCTCTGATGTCTCAACATGCTCAGACACAGGGTTCAAGGTCATCACCTCTAAAGATATACTGAAATATCAAAATATATCAAATTTATCATCTTAAAGTTACGTGTACCTTCCTTTGTACAAACTGGGTGATTGATGATATGTTTGGACTAAAAACATATTCAAACTAATTAATCCATCAAAAATTTTCTTCAAATCTCCCTCAAAACATTGTATGTGGGAGGTAATATCCCAAGCTATAAAAACCTACTAAAAGAAGGCATGTTTGTGTCACGTGTTGCGCCTTGGCTGTCGTTGTACCTAGCAAAGCCGGAGGAGAATTCATTGCATATAAAAGAAGATGTTGACTTTAATCGCTGTGCATTTATCATGTAACGGTATCGAAGCCCAAGTAATTCTCGGATTATCCCTTCCTATAGTATGTCTTTTTCCAGGGGTTTTATCTCTGAAACTGTTGTATGTTTAAGTCTCACTTTTTCCACATTCGCTTATCATCAAGTTTATCAACATATTACATTAATCAAGCACTCCTTAACGCCAAGAGGTCAGACAATGTATGTGTGCAACCTTTGATGTCACTCGAGCCAACAGCCCTTAATCGACAGGCTGCAAATTAGTGACACAATCTGATTTTTGTCCTGTGCTCACTCCATGGGTGTTATTCAATGAATCCTGGCCCCGAGTTCACAAATCATTCTCAGACTTTATATTAGTTAAGAATTTACTCAACTTTCAATCACTGTTTATATTATAAGAAATATCTTTGAACAAAAAACACAAAACTTTCCTTATAGTTTCTTATTGAGGTATTTGATACATTAAAACAACAAAAGTTTTATAAAGGGCTATAATTTAGTTAAAATAAGGCAAACAATTCTGAGTAAATTATTAACTTAAGTCTGAGAATGCTTTGTGAACTCATGGCCAGTATTTTTCTAGTAAGATTTCGTGTCTTTCATGCGCATATATATATATATATATACTGTGCACATCAATAATTAGACATTAGCTAAGAGAGTAATAGTATGGAATTTTATGAATGAATGATGTCGACATGGCAATACACTATACATGTACATATTGTGAAATCTTCCTTGTATATATCCAGAGACTGTTTACTTATTATTGCGCAATTAAATTTTGGTGACCTCTAAAATCATTTTGTGTCCTGTGAAAATTTTGGTGCACATTAATATTTTTAAGCAGTAGTATCCTGATTTACAATCTGTTTAATTAATAATTAATAATGAGATTATGCTTTTAAAGATAATTGGTTAAACAGTGTTTCAAAAGACGTACATGTAGCATTTAATATGTCTGTTCTCTTCAAAGTGCTCTTATAATTGAAAATGTGTTCTTTGGTTAAAAAAAAATAAAGCATTGAAATGGCTGTAATAATATTATTCAGACAGTCTACATGTCGTACCCCATGCTCTAGAAATCTACGGCATATATCCCACATTTAACGGTTTTAAAACAAATTGTGTGAAATTATTGAATATGGGCACAAATAGTACATATGATGGCAAAAACCGTAGACATTTACAAAGTTGCCATGTTGATTTTCAATATATCTACTAATAAATAGAATGGAATAATGGATTCTCATGATTTCCATATCAACAAGTTTTAGCTATCTCTAACGTTAACCCTTACATTTATTATTCCGATACGACTGTACATGTACCAATGTATTCAACTACATGTACAAGCAAGTAGGGAACTAAGGCAACTGTCTACTAAGTGATTATCAGGCACAAATTTAGGGTTTGCCAGGCAAAATTCTTCTAGTCTCACACAAATTTGTCTATTTTTGATGTCTTTATTGATTTTATATACACATTTTGTCAGGTACATGTATAGTTAAATTCGTTATTTCAAAGCTTGTACATTTGATACCATAATGAAATTAATTTAGACTCACCTCTGTGTATCTGTGACAAGCCACCAAGCCCATCCCCATCCTCCTATAATATACTTCCTACCTTGACCACCACAACAACCACCTGTAATTAAATATTAAAATAGGAATGTGAATCACAGCAGCATGCTATATCAAAGTTTGATTGTTATTTATTACATTTCTGCTACATCCAACCATACTCTTCAAAAAAAGTAGGGGATATTCAGAAACAATACAAAACGGCAGAAATGCACTGCTGTTTTTATTAGAGGTAACCAGTGTATGTTAATAACAGGCCAATTGCCTACACATGAAAATAAACAGTTCATAAGGGCGGCTTATCTGACGTCAAAAGTGAAAATGGGCGTTTTTGATTTTTGTCTTAATATGAGTAATTGCTCCACCAATCCTCAGACGTTCAGCAATTCGTCGTGGCATGCTCTCCTAATCAACCCTCCAATCACGATTCGGGGCAATCTGACCCACTCCTCTTGCAGTGCCCCGGCCAATTCTTGCAGTGTTGTCGATTGACGTTGACGTCGACGAACAAGTCTCCCGATGAAATTAAACATAACACACTAAAGCAAAGATACGCTAAACAGTAAATCTTATCCAAGAAGCTATAAGAATGCTAACATGGATAGATAAACCAGCACGCGGCAGTTTTCGTCAACCCTTCCTTGAAGTGTCAAATTTGACAATGAACCCCTCCCACGTGTATGGCGCTATTGCGTGTCGCATGTGCAGCTCAGTGTTTCTGTTGGTGCGATAAGTTCTTCATCTGTGAACATACTCCCAAAGCATGTCAAGTGTCCATGACTATTTATCATATCACAACCTGCATGGGTATTTGCATTTCAATATCCCCTACTTTTACTTTTTTTTTGAAGAGTATATAATCTGACACACTCAAATCATCTCTTTCAATTGAGGCGGTTATGGTGTTGCTAGGGCAGAAATTTTTATTCTCACGTCGAAAATTCAAGCAGATGTCATTGGAGAAAAACCTAATTCACTTCACCCTTTTTCTATACAATATGTATGGTAAAAGAGTATGTACATATCAGTGCTTATATTGAGGGAATCTATGAATGAATTTTCAAGATCTACATGTATCATAATAACTGCTTGATTAATTTAACCAATAAATTTTGCAGTTAAAGGCGAAATTGTATCACTAAATTGCCACTGGGCTGGGTTTGTGTACTTACATGTAGTCATAAACAGTATAAAATCTTATCTTAAAGACATAACAGGCATTAAAAAACAAAATGGGTTTACAATGTGAAACTAAATGGATCCAATTTTGGCTAAATACAAACACATCAGGAATATCTTAACGATTTTAGGGCTGTATATTGCTGCAAAAAAATTGTATTGCAATATATTGCGATAATTGACAAAAAGTATTGCAATAATATATATATATTGCACTATTTGCAGTATTGCAATATTTCGATAAAGTCAGGGTTATCACAAAGCACAGTTTTAAATTGAATAATTGTATTGGTTTTACAACTTTGGTCTTGGACACTTATTTTTTATAATATAACTGATTATGTGAATACCCATTTCACTTTGTTTTACAGCCCTGATCTTGTCTTTGCAATATGACTGATTTAGAAGCCTTTATAAACAGTCTAACTAACATTTGAATATAAAATAAAAGTAGAAAGATATTGGTATGGCAAAAATATATCGATAAAGTGTATCGCGAACGATCGTATTGCAATATATCGATATATATGATATATGATATATATGATATACGGTATAGCAATATTTTTTGACAGCCATACCATCTTGTAATTGTAGCTAACAGTCAGCCAACGCTGTTTGGCTGTATGGTGACCATGACCATGGTTGTCTGTGCCAAAGACGTTCTGTAATAAATTCTATATTAGAAAGATCTGAGGGAAATGAAATTATTATATAATGTAGGCCTACACATCACTGTACTGTGCATGTTAATAATGTACATTGTACGATTGTACTACATGTACTGTAGCAATAGCACTAGTGTAGTACTAGTAAGTTAGTAGCAGGCCTGTCACTGTCTCAGTCACCAGTGTCTGTTTTTGTTTTTCTTATTAGTTCTTTAAATCTAAAGACAGGATGTTGTTTGGAAATAATAGAGCAATGAACATAATAGATCTATCGGATAATTACATACACTACAAACATAATAGCCTGAAAAACAATTTCGAGAATGTCAAGGCCTTTGCATAAAAAGTGGCCTAAAAAGCTTAGAATAGGTAGTAGTAGTATAGCAAACGAGAGTGCTGAGGCAGGCAATCATCGCCCGGTTCCACATTTCAGCAACAAATTTACAAGAGGCCATGCATGGACAAAATGCAAAATCAATTTATACCAACCAGAAATTACAAGAGCGTTGTTAGGTCCGACCGTATGTATGTTCCCCATTTTTAATTAGGAAAGATATAAAGTAATTTCGCAACCTTCTTTCGCAATGTTTATCATACCATCCGGGTCATTCTCATGGAGGCTTTCCTTTTTATGTTTTGGACAACCAGTCGTTCCTTTTTTCTATATATTATTCTGATTTGATACACGAGTCTACGACAATCGCGATTAAAAAATATCGTTTTATTTCCAGAAAAAAATATTATTAAAAACTGATTAGCAGATAGTTAAAGCACTATATATTTGTCCAAATAATGATATTAATGAACAAGTAAAAGTGGATAAGACCAAACATAACAAAATAAACTCTCAAATCTCGCATCTTGTCACGTGACGAGAGAGTGGCTCGGCGACTAAAGAAAATTTGTTGCGTCGCCGACAAAAAATCCACTTTTAATTGTGAAATACCTGTAAGTTGTGGTAAATATATGTTACTTATATCAATAAACTATTAAATTTGTGAAAGGTTGATGCCATGTTGATATTGTGAATTAGCAAAACGACGATCTTGAGGTATATTTTGAAAATAAATATCAACAACGCACGGTTCGGGAACATGTCATGTCTTAATCTCATTCTCATGTCTGTCAGTCAACCTAGGCTAGCCTACCTTCTGAGCCATTTCACATGTAGCTTATTCATAGTAGTAATTAGTAGACAAAATTTATTGAGATAACAAAAAAGCCTTCCCATGCAGAAAAATATATATGTTCTTGTGATATAAGTAAGACTTGTTTATTAATTGTTAAATGTAGGCCTACACCTACTTTATTTATTGAATAGTCCAAAGAAACGTTTACGCCAGGCTTACTAAAATTAGTAAAATTAATACAATACTAGTAATACTGCTGACACTGTACATACTGCTAATGCTAGTACTCAAGTCTAGTACTACTAGCCTAGGCCTATCCATCTACTGGCACTGGAATTGTAATCAGAAAGTAACCATTTTATAATGGGGAGTATGGTGCATCATTGAGAGCTGCACTGACTTACCTACTAACGAGGAGGTTCCAATTTGATCCCATCTTGCTCAGGTCCCACTCAGGGATTTTTAGGCATAGTTTGCACGCATGTTTGTTGGATGAAATGATAAATTGAGATCCCGTTCGTTGACATGTGTAAAAAAAAAAAAAATTCATGCTCGTCTTATCAAATGGAGAGAAAACAGAAACGGTAAAGTTTCCATCATACTATTCATACTCATAGTACACCGTAGATTCAAACCCCATGATACATGTATAAGCTTATCACACATGATATGTAGGCCTATGTATTTTTTTTAGTGAATGTGAAGCATTTCTTTAATTGATTGCCCTGATTTGGACATTTCCATGACAGGCGTTTGTTGTTTTCTGTGCATAGCTTTCAACATCAAATGTAACCATACGTACATTGTCACATTGTTACAACTTCTAAAAGACTAAAACTAAGAAGTAAATTGTGGATTGAAAATATCACAGCACTATTAGTCTGCGAGTATGTCTACTAACTATGATCTAGATTAGCAGGGTAAAAAAATGTTGTAAATTAAAAATTGCTGAAACAATTTTTTATACGTCTACTGAAAATCAGATTGGTTTTGTACAGTATAATGTGATTACTGAATTGCTTACATTTATTTACTATTATTAGACATAATTATGAAGAAAATTAGGAATGTTACAAGAACTAAACGGTCTTTTTATTTATGGGAATAGATTTTTTCTGAAATCAGTTTTAAGCGACCATGTTTATTGGTAAGGAGTTTAGAAATAGAATTATTTATTAAAGGGGTATACTATTATGTAAGATAGAACTGGCTATTCTCTCCATAATATTTCCAAGTTCCAACATAGGTGTGCATTGATTTAATACCACCATACTGGTTATTCAAGTCTTACCCTCGCTTCTCCAGTGTTTTTTTTAAATAAATCATTAAATGGTCGAACCATTCTACTATTTAAAATCAGAGTCATCCGATGGCATCGAGAGTTGATTATGGTCTTATCAAAGAAAGACCTGCAGTAAGCAGATTTAGCTCGACATAATGCCTGTTTAAGTACTTTTAGTTTTGAAGTAAATTGAAATCTCTGATTTGAAAACTTCAGCCTATAGCATGGACACTGTGCAGCCTGTCTAATGCTTTTAATAGGTAAACCTTTATTATGATATTTATAAATATTAAACTTAAATATTTAAATAATCAGAAATCCACTATTCCATTTTTTTAGTGGAACAGACCTACCTCATATTTTAAATCATATTTCAATATTGATAACTGGAAATAGCACATTGACACACAGACACAGTAACCTACATTGTCATACATAGTACAATAGTACTATAAATATAAACAAACTTTATAATGTTCAATCCTTAAAACTATGTTATCAACCATGATGAGACATAAACATGATTCATACTGTCATAGTCTATTTAAAAGTTTAAGGTATACACTATCACTATCTAAAGTTAATCATGATACTATGTATTAGTCATTGGTCATGTATATAAAGCCCTCTTCACAGTTTCCAATTACATAGAAGAAGTATTTAAACAGTTTTCATGTTAGTATTAATACACATGCACTATTCAAGTTAAAGTATCATTTGTCAACTCGAGCAAGAGTTAAGTAATCTTGTTGGAACTTATATGTATTGGGTTGAAATTTGGTATTTCTTATTTGGTATTTGGTATTCTTATTTCTTTTTTTCACAAAGATAATGATTAAAATCCAAATCATCAACCAAAAAATACATCAAAATCTGTTCAACATGGTCCAACTTACAGTTGACTTGAAATAAAATGATTGAAGCAGACAATAGGAAACAAAGAAGTACATGTCTGTTGTTGATTATTTGGAGAATTGATCTAAATATCGAGATCCCCTTTTCCGTCATTTACACAAGAGAGAGAGGGATGAAGCTTTTTTATATTGTTAATCATATAATACATGTATCATGATATAATGTGAATAGTCCTTGTAACTTGACTTGGTTTAATTATTTATAAAACATTATACATTAAACTGAAAGAAAAATTTCTCGATACTGATAGTGATACCATTGTCCATATATGACTTGACTAAGTTCTATGATGAGAATTTTCTGCGTAAGCTATGTAGCGATAAGCGAATTGATTGGTCAAGACTTTGGAAACATGTAACAACTCTGCTTTTAATGGAGGTAGAATGTTTAAACTTTATGTATGTGAATGTATTGACAGAGTACAATGATTAATATTTTCTGCTAAAGCTAAGCAATTTCATTGATCAATGCTTTGGGACAATATAACTTTGATTCTAACTGATGGAGAGGGAGTTTGATCGTGAACTTTTTCTGCTTAGACTATGTACGGTACAGACAATCAGTTTGGTTGCTCGATACTTTTCAAAAAGACAAATGTACAATTCATTAATATGTGTCCTCTATCTATTTTGGGATTTTTCGATCCCTGCATTGGCCGAGAAAGTTTATCCAGATTTTCCCATGTGGTTCCCCCTTGTCAGTGATGCAGGAAAGAGGGCCTGACAAGGACAGCTGTCTAGTCGTTTGAATGGGACGAAAAACCAAGGTCCTGTGTGCACTTTAAAGCTCCCTTGACAGTTGGAATTCGATATCAGAGTAAGCCGTAGTGCCGCTGTCCGGGCAAAATTTCCCTCATAGCACACTGTATGGCATAAGCCTGTCTTCATTAGCCCTGTTCGGATCAGAACAGTAATACATTAAACCCAATTTCATTTCAATTCATTTCATTTCTATGAATTCCTAACACTTTTTAATACATTTGCTTTTGTGTTTTTTTCTATATGTCTCAAATTGATCGGTTTATTAAACAAAGTGATTTATGTTTTAATTTATTTTCAGAAACATCAAGCAATATGGGAGAAATAAGTGATTTAGACAGGTATGTATGGAGTACTTTAAATTTAATTGATTGAGTATTGGAATACTCCAATAAATAAATTTTACTTACCTGCATTAGCCATTACACACCAATGTAGAACAGTTTAACTGAATATGATTTAGTCAGTTTTGAGTTATAAGCTTCATTTTACATCATTTGATTGATAAACTTTATTGTAATGTATGTTTAATGAATTTAATGTCATACATGTATTTACAAAAAATGTAACTTTTCAGACAAATTGAGAGTTTGCGAAGATGTGAAGTTATAAAAGAAAGTGAAGTAAAGTCTTTATGTGCAAAAGCCAGAGAAATATTGGTGGAAGAAAGTAATGTACAACGAGTTGATTCTCCAGTCACAGTATGTTGACTCTTTAATTCTTAATTTGAATAAACCTTACAAATTTGTTCTTTTAAAGTGTGTATGTTAGAAGTGAAGACTGAACCTGAAACTATTATGGTGGTAGTGTTCAGAATGTTCATGTATAAATTCTTATGGTTCATATGTTAGCTTTGATGTTATACATGTAGTACAGATGTATTAATAATGATGCCTTTCTCTTTTCAGGTGTGTGGTGATATACATGGTCAGTTTTATGATTTAAAAGAATTATTTAAAGTGGGAGGCGATGTACCAGATACTAATTATCTTTTTATGGGTGACTTTGTTGATCGAGGTTTTTATAGTGTAGAAACATTTCTTCTTTTATTAGCTTTAAAGGTTAGTTATACTTGTAATATAAGTTTACATATGAATTGAAAAGGAGAACTTTAACCATTGTCTTGAAGTTGATGTTCATAAGGTCTACTTTATATTTATTTTGCAGGCTTTCATTGCCTAGCACTCAAAGTCAGCAAATGAAACTGCATATGAATATTTTATAATGGATGACTTGGATGTAGTGAGCAGTGTTCAATTTGAAAGTTGTATTTGAAGGATTGATTTCTGCAAATATCATAGATTTATTTTCTTTGAAAGAATTTATGGCAGACTAATTTATATCACTGTTGTGTATTATAGGTCCGTTATCCAGACAGAATAACATTAATACGTGGCAATCATGAAAGTCGACAAATTACTCAGGTTTATGGTTTTTATGATGAATGTTTACGAAAATATGGTTCTATAACTGTGTGGCGTTATTGTACAGAAATATTTGATTACCTCAGTTTATCAGCAATAATAGATGGCAAGGTAAGAGTTTTAAAATATGACTAAGGTTGGTTAGACAGTAAATTTAAGATTAAATATAATTCTTCTGACGAAACAAATAATTTTGTTGATGTTCTGTTCTGTTAATCAGATGATTTATTTGTTTCAGATATTTTGTGTTCATGGAGGCCTTTCACCTTCAATACAAACATTAGATCAAATACGAGCAATAGATCGTAAACAGGAAGTACCACATGATGGTCCCATGTGTGATTTACTCTGGTCAGATCCTGAAGGTATGCCATATTTAACATTTTGAACACGTTTACATATTGAATGATTAAATCCAGTTGATAAATTTATTCTTAACACTTCACATGAACGTTATAATAGAGTTAACTTTATTGTATTTTATATTTAACTCCAGACCTATGTCCTATTCATTGGGTTTTGATTGGAGAGTATTTGAGAATTTTTGATGAAGAATTAATACTCCACCCATGAGTTCATTTATTTGATGATACATATTTTTAAAAATGAAATGTTTTATTATTTCAGATATGCAAGGATGGGGTGTTAGTCCTCGAGGTGCAGGTTATTTATTTGGTAGTGATGTAGTCTCTCAGTTTAATGCTTCAAATGATATAGATCTCATATGTCGAGCACATCAACTTGTAATGGAAGGATATAAATGGCATTTTAATGACACAGTTTTAACTGTTTGGTCTGCTCCTAATTATTGTTATAGGTAAGTTTTACTCAAGAAAAATACACATATTTCTTGTATGCTTCTGTAATTGATTCAATATTCTGTATGTGTAAGCTTATAGAGTACTTCAAGGTAGATAAAAAAAACCATTATATTTTAATGCATTATTATAACTTCTTATTTTTTTCACAGATGTGGTAATGTAGCAGCTATATTAGAATTAGATGAACATTTACAAAGAGATTTTACTATCTTTGAAGCAGCCCCACAGGTAATCTTTCATGCCGTGTTATTTTTTACATACATGGACATTTATTTTAACTTATTGTACAAAACTGTTGAATATGCCATTTGAAGACTTGGAAAAGTATCTAGAAATGCAAAATTAACAGTCTTAATCTTAAACTTTGCAAGTAATGATTGTCATTTGCTTTTTTTGCTAGAATAGCAAATTTTTCACAGCATAATCCATACTAATATGTATTCAGTTTGATTATATAACATTTTATTATAGGGGCATTATGGGAGATTAGATAAAGAGTTGACAGTTCTCGCTATAATAGTTAAAAAATAGATAACATAAATAGAATATGCTGAAAAGTTTAGTTGAATTGCTCCACTCCGAACCACGATATTAGCTTTTGAATTTTAGAATATCCTTGATCATCACTAAAGTCGGTACGATAAAAAACAAAGTCTCGATTATCCATTTTTACGTTTAATTATTTTTTAAAATATGTATTCCAATCTGCTAAATATCGCAGGCTAGTGATGACATCAAGAGTTGATTCAGGTCTAGATAAGTTAATTAATGTTTCTAATTAATAATTTAGATAACATTTCAGGCCTAAAGAATGACCTGCTATAGGCAGATTTAGCTCTTGCATAATGTATGTTTAAGAAAACGTAATCAAAATACCAAAGCTACATAACCTCCCAGCTTGGATTCAATCAGATTTTAAAAAAAATAGTTACCTTAGATTAATTTAATAAATCATTGAATTATAATTTTATATATATATTTCAGGAGGCAAGAGGAATACCGTCAAAGAAACCGCAACCCGATTATTTCTTGTAGTGAATTTCACATCATTTATCATCATTCATCCCCATCTTCCATTGTAATATATCACATCCATATTCTAATATATTGATGTTGCCAGTGACAAACATTATAAAGATGCTCACACCATTTATCATTTGACAGTCCATTAAGAGTGAAGTGTTAAAGACAATATTATATTTTACATACTACTACAGAAATTTCCATACTGCCTGATTTGATGAGAATTTAGAACAACTGATTATGTGTGGCAATGAATAATAGCAATGTTATGGTGAAATATATTGTTATTGTTTAATGAAGAGTTTGCCAAAAATTGTATTTTTAAAGTGAAGAAATATATTGGATTTTCCAGTATGGTGTAAAATTTGTTTTGGAAGTGACTAAAGTAGATTTTGTTCCACATGTTTGACTAGCATTGGATTATATTAATATTCTTATTGCCTCATCCTTCAATATTAGACCAATTCATTAAATATTTAATACTTTGTCAATAATTCATTTTATAGATAATCAGTTGAATATATGCTAGTTTATAATATAAACCAAGAATGATATTCAAAGTGTATAGGGCTATTCAAACATAAGAATTATAATGGAAAATAGATAATGTCTTCCCTGAAATATTTAAAAATATAATTTGATGCACAATATATTATAAAACATTTAAACTTGACAAAGTGCATATTGTATGTATTGGAAACCAAATGAATCATTTTATAATAAAATTATATTTCTAATTTTAAAACTGTCTGTCTCAGTCCTACTTATTCACTGATAGTGGTATTTCATATTAATTACAAATTTGTATTTATTTATGAGTGAGGTTGATAGTCACAAATTTGTCATTATTATTGAAAGAAAAACAGTATTAAAATAATTGTGTGTTACACAGGTTATCTGAGGATGATACTTTTAACATTTAATCAATAATTAAAATAGTTTTTGTAATGCTGTTCTACAAAATCCTACTGAATAGGTCGCTTCTTTGTGTACAAGATAAATGAATGAAATATTGTATGTAAGGTTATTTTTTCATCCATCCATATTTGCATGCTATATTGTAATTATATTTACATATATTCATGAACATACATGTAAAATATGAAAGTGCTTAATTTGATTGTTGTAATACATAATTCAGATATTTTTGGGTGCTGTAAGTTGCCTACATTTTGTCTCCATTAAAATGTAATTTTTATTTCATATACATTTGTATATTTTTATATAAATATACATTATTTGGACCATGGGTAGTACATGTATAGAGATTCATTTCAAATTTTACTTTCCAATGAACTATTCATATTAACATTTTCTGGGGGGGGGTTTATACGTCCATCATCCACAATTTCTTGTGAATACTCTACAGACTACATTTATCATCTGATTGTTTTAAAATTGATATATGTTGTTTACATTAGTGAGGTGAAGAAGCCTGTTTAATATTAACAGTTCTTGAGTTATGGCCCTTGTTTCACTTTGTTGCAACTTGTGAATGCTTTAACGACAAAAGTTATCATCCAATTCGTATGAAATTTATATGCATCATTTAAATTACTAAAATGAAGAAGCATATTGAATTTCAGCAATTTCCGTTTGTTACGTCTAGAGTAAGGCCCTTGTTTCACTTTGTTGAACCTTGTGAATGCTCTAATGACAATTTATAAGCACTATTTAAATAGTGAAACAAAGAAGGCTATAGAATTTCAGCAGTTTCCGTTAATTAAGTTATGGCCCTTTTTTCACTTTCTTTGGACCATGTGTTCAGCAATTTCCGTCAATTACTTCAAGAGTTATGGCCCTTGTTATAATTTGTTGAACCTTGCGAATGTTCGAACGACATATTACGCATTATTTAAATTAGTAAAATGAAAAAGCCCGTCGAATTTCAACAATTTCTTTATATTACTTTGAGAGTTATGACCCTTATAACCTTGTGAACCCTCAAACGACGAAAATTATAAAGTCATCTGTATGAAGTTCTCTTGTAAGAAAATGCCCCCAATTACATACAAAAGAATATATATGTGACTACCCGTGTTGACTGCTCAGACGATTTAGCTGCTGTGGGCATATGTTTCGTTGCCTGGCAGCTTATCTTTTATCCTGCAGTATTCCTAGCACATCATCCATTATTCACAAGTCACATACACTTAAACCACCAAAGTTTCTATAATAAAACCGTTAGTTTTCACTTTTCACTCTGTAAAGTAATCCTGGTTGAGACCAAATTACCCCCTTTTAAAACAATGAATTCTATAATTGGGGTTTCTGTTCGCTTTAACATAAAGGTTAACTTTAAGATCCCTGGTAAACAAGTGAAATTTGTCAAATCAAAAAAATGGTCTCACAACTATAAGGCTTACAGGACTGCAAATTTCTCTTTGTTATTTTTTAAAATATTTAATTTTTTTACACAATGAAATCTTGCATTAAGCAATAATTTGTCTGATTCTATGGTGACCTTATATTATGGTACTTTATGCTTCTGTCCATCATTGTATTGTTTATGTGAATTATACATAAAAATGAGTTGAAAATACAACTTGTATTTGTTTTAAATGATTGTGTTTGGAAATTTTCAAAATTATTAGAGAAGAAATGAGATCTTACCTATCGATTTATGTAAAATATATTGAGAGATTATGTTACCTTTATTATTATTTGTAAATATGAGTATATCTCTCTTGTCATAGTCAGTTCTGATAATAAATCATTTGTTTTTTTTAAATACTGGTTTAATATTTGATAAAAACACACAAGAATAGACCACAGTTAAACCCAGATGTGAATGAATAGGGATGACATGCGGATATAGCAATTCTACTGATGTTGATGAGAACTTGTTCTGCGGGTCAGTTATATCAACTCTGGAGTCGGGAGTTAATGAATCAATCCTATCCTGTCAAACATTAATCTTAATTACTTGGGAACATTTTGTCATTTTTGCCGGTTATATTTGTTAATCTTATCATTATCACTGGTTGATTGGTGCATGACTAGAGGTACTTAATTTACCCAAAACCAATGCTGACATTATCCAGTAAATATTTATTACCCTGTTCACAGTTAATTTCGTTCAGTGATCATTTTGGCACTAACGTGATAATTCAATTCAGCGTTAGAATTGTGTACCACACAATTGTACTTGGCAGACAACTCTTCTGCCTTGATTCCTTGTCATGATTGAGTTCCAGATTGCATAGATGACATACCCATCTGAACTTCTCCACTAAGCCATCCAATTCCCCACTTTCAATTGTTGGATGATACGTTGGACAATGGTTCAGGTCAGTTATTCTTGTCATTTATAACTTGGGATTGAACCCATGACTTGCACTGATAACATAAATTGCTGAACCAGTTAGAGAGCCAGCAGAATGTCATAATAATAAAAATGCATTTATTGAATCCCTGAAATCCAACATGTGCTACCCATCTGCACAAATGCATTTTTGTACACATGTAACTCACCGTCCTAAGAAATAATGACACACTGCATACATCATCAAAGAAAAATAAGACATGCACACAGAATTTGCAACTTCTGAAATACCAGAAGTCATAACACCATCCCTAAAACGTGAATGTGGACAGTTTCGGAGAAGGGATCATAATTGAAACTTCTATGGGACAAGCTGTGTTAAAAAGGGGAATAACTCTAAAAGCAGTTATTGAAAATAGTTTAAAATAAATAGATTATTGTAGTCTCTATTGTATAGTCATAATCTCTATCGATGATTGTGCTAACAAGAAATGTGAACACCAGCCCGACGGACATATGACCACATTAAAATGTATGTGTATATAATAAAAAAACTAAAAGTCTAATAAACTGTTATTCAATTAAATTATTTTTATTAAAAATAAAAAAGATCATACAAATATTATAAAATGTTATTAAATTTTTTCATATATAAAAAGACCTTGGAAGATCAGAGATCATCATTGGAATAAAAACAAGATGTGACATATTCATCAATTGGATAAAAAAAAGATTATTCAGATGCATTTTGTGTGCTACATATCATAGGCTTATACATATCGTATCTTGCAGAATGTTATGGATACACAGAGAAAAAAGTATGGCAACACATGAACGTTTATGCGCTATAGAGAAATTCAATACATAAATAAATATATGCAAAAGTGAAATAAAAATTTGAGGTATTCTCTCTTCCATGTATACCAGTGAAAGTTGCCAGTGCAGCAAGTAACAGACCTATGATGCAAAATCAACTATTGCATTGAGAAAACTTTTAAAATCGCCGTGTTTTCTGTCTGTTTTTCACATTGGGACCTGTACAACACATTACAGCCAGAATATGGCAAGTAGTTAATTATTGCAAAAAAAATCAACAAACTAATGACATATAACGAACTGTTAACGTTCTGTCAGACCTAGCAGTACATCTGCAAGAGAAGATGCAACTCTATTGAGTCTTGTTGAAAAGTGGATGGCCATCACGCCACCTCCTATCCTACAGAACTCGTAATCGGCTGGACATTCTTGGGTGTAAAATCCACCAGTGCACTATCCAATAATGGAACAGACTAACGCAGACTCAGATCCAACGTCTTATGCAGTCAATGAGGTGGAAATTTCAACAGGTTATCCAGGCTGGTGGAGGTTACACCAGACATTTTTGTGCTGTTTTGACGGCTTTATGGACAAGTTAAAATGAAATGAAATGAGATGAACTGTAGGATTTTCGATTGACCTGTGCCAGCCTTAGTTGTTTGGACTTGGTTTCACCCATTTTCCATCTCTATTTTTGAACTCGAAAGAATCACAATAAATCCCCTACTTAGAATTAAACTTCAGTTTTCGTCTTTCTTTGCTGGTTCAGTGTTTTCTTGGGGCATTTCAAGGAAGATTGAATAAAAAAAACTAGCAGTAGCACTATATTTAAATAGGGGTGTTGAGATACTTTTTCCTTTGTGTATATATATTAATATATAGGTTAGTATCCTTGTACAAATAATAAGAGCCGAGTATTGCTATATCACTTAGCTTTTATGTTACATTTGTTTCCTTTCCATCCAGCGTAACAACTGCATACATAATCATCAACATCGAACTTGGATTTCTTGCTATAGTTATGTTTTAATTTCTCTTCCATTTGTTTAATTTCTTTCCAATTCTTTTTGCAATAAGGGCAGCCATATTGGTGGAGATACTTTTGATAAAGCAGTTCATACTTCTGATTAATACACCGGCCGTGTCCTGAACATTTTGTTTTACTGCAACTTGTATAAAAGTTAGTAAGCTGTAAAACGTATGGACCCAGAATGAAATCTAAATATGTCTGTAATAAAACACATTCTCCACGTTCATGAAACTGATTGTTGCTACCCCATATTACAACTCCTGATGATCCTATATCACCAGGTACCTTAATGGCAACACCAAGATCGGCCTGAAAAAATACAAGGATGCATAATAATTTGATTTAAATGGGGAGAACAAATAGAACCAAGTTGTTTTGTTTATTTGAATTCAAATGATAGAAAATATATTCGAAAGACAGTTATCAATTAAAAATCAAAAAGATTCAATGCTATTAACTGAATAATTAATGGAGATCTTGATTGATTGACTAATTCTTAACGTTTTTGACAATCTTTTGTGAGGCTATGCTTGAAGTTCTTCCTGATGTGAACATTTATTAAACAAAACATGTAGGTCTACTGGTAAACAGAGTTATCAGAATTTGTTGAAAATCAATAGGTTTCCTCAAATAATCATAGTGTTTTAATTTCAGATCAATTAGAAAATAAATTTGGCAACTAGAGGGTCCACAAGATGTTTAAAATGATCAAGGGCAGAAACTCCTGAATCAGCCCCGGTGTCCACAAGATTTTTCAAATTGATCATTGAAAATCAATTAATTTTTTAAACTGATCAATAGGGCTAAATCTGACAGCAATTATCAGAAATAGCTGAAGATAAGTTTCTTCGTCTCATGAACCTAATCACTGTCTATAATTTTAAAACTCAATTAGATATTAACTTCAGCCGCTAATGCACCAGCAAGCAATTGTGACAGACAGAATGGCAGGCAGACATAGGTGACAACAATATATGACCTCATTTCAATAATAAAGTTTAACATCAAATCTACCTCATCAAAAAAGTAAGTCCCACCATTTTGAACCAAAGTATAAGGCAAAACCAATCTACCAGGTGACATATATTTAGCTTTCATGCGTAATGTTTCATTAACCACATGTTCTACTTCTTTCTCTCTGAGATCAATTTTTTCGCCTACTACCGTATAAATTCTTGGATATACAGCAGTACTTTGTTCCCATAGCCAGCTTAAACTACAAATAAAAAAACACAGGTTGTGACACAATGAAACATAAGGTCACCAGCAGCTAAATCTTTCAAACAGTTATGAGCTAAAACTACTTGTAAAAATCTAATTTTAATTAAAGCCTTTAAAATGCTAACAAGATTTCAATACAAATAAAGAATAGCGCCAGAAAGTTAATTTCCAAAATCCCTCAGCATCATAGTTCTTCCATTTAATAACCTAAACAACCTATATAAATATCATTATGCTAACAAATGTGTTCAACAGACTGACGGTCGTACCATGGACACAGACACGCAGAGGCTAGCAATAGACAACCACATGGGCAAAATAAAAATATATGCGAAGTTAAAACAAAAAATACTCCCTTCAGTTATATTATATATATAACATTCTAAAATATTAAACACTCAATATTAGTTTAAAGGGCTAATCTGGATAATTTTTGGAGAATTAAACTGCTTAATTTTGTGTTAAAATCCCTTAAAATCGTCTACCTAAGTTTCAAACAACTTAAACCTGTCAGTCTTCAACTGGAAATGGAGACTGGTGTCCCAAACTGTATTATGCGGTGTCTGGATAAAAACCAGACATTTTTTTTATAACCAGCTCTGCCAGGCAGGATAAGCCCACATTTTGCAAGAGATGGATAGAGAACAACCTAAACCAAACAGGATTTTTTGTACAATCAGGGGCAATAATCCAGAAAGTTATGGTCTGAAATGCCCTAATATCAAAAGCGACTGAGATCTTTGGGATATAAAGATATGTTTCATCAAAATCGGATAAAAATTGTGACCTCTTTAGGGTCCACAACCTTTGTAGCATACTTTTACACAATTTGCGTACAAAGTGTGGCCCTTTTGTCCGGCAGTTTCATTTCGATTTTCACGAAATTTGAATTCAACCTTCGTTATGGTGGAATGGTGATATGTTTAAACGGTTTTTAAAATCAAAAAAAAAAAAATTGTGACCTCTAGAGAATCCGCATGCTAAAAATGCGATTTTTCGAACAATCAGGAGCCATAATCCAGGAAGTTACGGTGTAACGGTGATATATTCGAATGTTTTTTTAAATCGAATAATAATTGTGACCTCTAGAGGGACCACAAGCTAAAAACGCGATTTTTTGTACATTCAAGGGCCATAATTCAGGAATAGACAATCCGATACGCGCGAATATCGAAAGGAAGCAAGATCTTTGGGTTATAAACATGTATTTCAACTTTCATCAAAATCGAATCAAAACTGTGACCTCTAGCATGTCCACAACCTTGGTTTACCAGATGTTTACACTATTTGCGTATGAGGGGCGGCCATATTGTCCAGCAGTTTTGGCCCGATTTTCACGAAATTCGATGTCAACAAACATTATGGTGTAACGGTGATATATTCGAACGTTTTTTTTTTAAATCGAATAATAATTGTGACATCTAGAGGGAGCACAAGCTAAAAACGCGATTTTTCATACAACCAGAGGCCATAATTCAGGAAGTTACAAATCGATATGCACGAATATTGAAAGGAACCAAGATCTTTGGGTTATAAACTTGCATTTCAATTTTCAACAAAATCGGATCAACATTGTGGCCATTAGAGGGTTCACAATTTTGATATACCAGAAGTTTACACTCTTTGGGTACGAGGGGCGGCCATTATGTCTGGCAATTTTGGTCCGAATTTCATGAACCTCAACCTCAGACAAAATTCTGGTGTAAAAGTGATATATTCGAATGTTTTTTGGCGTTTATGTGGGCGTATAAAAATAATGTGTAGGTGAAATTTACCTTTCGTTTTCAAGTACAACACATGGGTCATTATTACTGTTTAGACCTCTCAAGGAACGGGAATTGATTATCAGGTCACTCAAAGAAAAAACTGACCCGAAATCTTAAGGGTTACGTGTCCAGATAAGCAGTTTTGTTGTTCACGTCAAAACGACTCAATATTTTGAGTTGAAATTTTGAGACAAGGTAAATACACCATTCCTGTATATTTTGGCGCTTACATTTCATACGTACTCAGACTTTTATTTTTGAGACTCTGTTCAAATCAGGATAGTCCCTTCAATATCTTTGTCTACATTATGTTTTTTCCTAACCTGATCTGTTATAAGGAGAAATCCAAAATATATTAAGATTTATAAGCCACTGATTTTTTCCAGTTCAAAGTTTGAGGATAGAATTATTAATCTACGATGACAAAATAACATATTTTAACCATCAATTCAAATAAAGTGTGTTGTTTCATACAAATATACTGACTTATCATTTTCAAGTTGTTCGTTTCCACAAACATTGGTCTTTGGATCGACTCCTCTACATGCTGGAAATCCGTAATAGCCCCAATGACCTCCTGGTCGTAATTTCTCTGCAACTTCCAACGTTGATTGGAAAAATTTTCTGAAATTATACAAATATACTGCTAATTTTATAGAACAAACAAAATGGTGTACTAAGAAAATGTTCTCCACTATTTAGAGAAGCTTCTTACCAAAAGGAAAATCTAGTTTTTATGTATAAAAGTGTAAGATATTTGTTTTGCAATTGTACTGTGGTATATATCTGTCCTCATACTCTGTCTTGTGCATATGCTTATGGTACTTACAGCTAAATGAAAAGATTGATTAATTCGGTTTTGTATGCCAAAGATAATGCTTAAAAGATCAAAATTATTGAACTATTTGTGCTTGTGAAATGACAAGTGGTGCATCGATACAGGTCTTCTAGAAAGAGTAACCTTTCACTGTTTTCTTCCACACTCCCCTTACTAAAACTTCCATGTTGGCTTATAAGTATATTTTCCTTCTTACTTTGCTCCTTCATTAAACTCTTTAACAGCTTCATTGTATATTTGTGTCTTATTTGTCCAATCTGGATGAAGCTGTTTAACTAGTTCTATTGACAACTGTTGATATTTAGCCAAAGAATCAAAATTTGTTTGAAAAATTGGTCGCCATGCTTCGAAGTCCAGGACGCCAAGTCCTTCAAAACTAGTATCTGGAATAAGATCCTCAATTTCTTCTGATGCTTTTGAAAGATGTAAGGTCAGATTTCCATGCTGGAAAAAAAAAATCAAAAAAAATCCAGTGAACATAATATTTTGATGAAAAGAGTTATTGTTTCGGACAATCTTCAACTTCATACATTGCTATATGCAAAGGTGAAAATTATTCAATATTAAAACACAGAGAGAGAGAGAAATGGGGTTTAACATCCACTCGAGACAAACTAGGTCATTTCGGGACTAACATATGGTTTAATTTTATTTACATAATTCGCTTGCGCGTAGGGGTCTTTTGCAGTGGGAGTAAACCGGAGAAAACCCATGAGGTTTGAAATATTAAAACAATGATGTGTTGATTTCTAATTGTTGGGATGCTGAAAACGAACCAAAGTTAAGAAACATAATATTATTATCGGGAGAGAGAGAGAGAAATGGGGTTTAACGTCCACTCTACACAAACTAAGTCATTTCGGGACTAACATATGGTTTTTAATTTTATTTCAATATTTCGCTTGCGCATAGGGGTCTTTAGCAGTGGGAGGAAACTGGAGGACCCGGAGAAAACCCACAAGGTTGGACTGTTAGTATAGGAAACAAGCTGTAGCAAATTCATGAGATTAACATTGAATAGGCCTGTGTATGCGATGGCAGATCCCAATGGAGGACCTAGGGGCCAAACCTTCGCCCTCCACACCCTAAATAACAGTATAAAAATAAGTTCACTTATTGTTTTGTTCCTATATGAAATTTGTAAATTTCAGCTTTTTATAAGTTGGGGTCATTGTGCACGTGGGCAAGTTTCTACCAGTGGGTGGTGGCTTCATGAGTGCTTGGAAGAGATCTACCCCCTTTTACCTAATTCTTATAGTGCCTGCCACCATATCCATATCTGGTATCAACATTCACAGTTTTTGTCAAATTAACATACAACATACCATTGACAAGGCATAAGGCATCTACTTTAGCCCCTATAATGGTTATTGCAACTCTTCCTTAACTTTTCAACAAATTTATGCGAATTTTCGGTTCTATTATTATAGGCCTACACATAATTAACTGTGATTACCTCTGGGACACCACCGTTATTTAAATGACTTCCTGATATGCTTGGAAAATCACCTATACCATAAAATATTGTCATCATTTCACCACGAAAAACATCGTTCTTATTTGTCACTATGCCATAGTGAGAGAAATTTAGTTTAATACCATGGGCATCACAAACTCCCGATGGCACATTCCATACAACAACAAACGGTTGATTTGGTAAAATTGTTGGACCAGTGCATCCGCCTTCATCTTCTGATATGTGGGGAACCGAATTTACAAGTTGACTGAATAATATTGGGGTGACAAGTATTAAAATTGCAACTAAAGAGGCCATTTCGATCACCTGTTTATCGCTCCTTATCTTTAAACAAATTGTACTATAGGCCAAATACGGCCCCACCCTTAAGTACCACTAGGATTTCCAGACATCAGTCGACTCGATGGCTGATTAAAATTTAGGAATACCGGTAGTTTGTGTAATTTAAGACCGAATATATCAGTCGTAGGCCTAATATTAATATCAGTCAGTCGCCCAAAGCGTTGGCTACTTATGCAGTAGTAACAAGAATGATAAGAACATAGCCTATTCCTCTATAGATCCCTGCACGTTGTTGTTTTCATTCCGAAGCTACTATAGATACTATTACAATATATCCTGTCGTCAATTTTATGCATCGAACACAGACTAAAAAAAAGCTATTTATATATAGATGTAATTAAAGTAACCTTTAACCCTAGTTGATGACTTTACTCGTAGTCGTAAACAGAGGTCTTTGAAGCTGTTATTTTTGAAAGATAATCCAATATAAAAAAAAAGGTTTTAATTTTAACTATCAAATTTTAGCTTGGGTGGGGGAGGGGGAGGGGGTCTTGTGGTCTCGTCCAGACGAGAAAACAAGTCAAATAAATCAGTCGAAATATCAGTCGTATTATTTATCAGTCGTATACTCCTATGCCATGCAGTCGTATATCGTACTATAATTTATATATCAGTCGCTCAAAATAACGAAATAGAATGAAATGAAATGGGGTTTAATGTCCTACTGTTCTGCTCCTAACCTGGGCTAATGAAGACGGGCATACGCCATACAGTGTGCTATGAGGGAAATTTTGCCCGGGCAGCGGCATACTACGGCTTACTCTTATATCGAATTCCAACTGCCAAGGGATCTTTTACGTGCACACCAATTTGTACACGGGACCTCGGTTTTTTGTCCCATTCATACGACTAGACAGCTGTCCTTGTCAGGCCCTTCGTCCTGCATCACTGACAAGGGGAAACCACGCCGGAAAATCTGGATGAACTTTCTCGGCCAATGCAGGGATCGAACACCCGACCTCCAGGCTAGCGCGCCAGCATCTTACCCACTTAGCCACGTGATCTCCAAGATCCTGTGAGACAGGAAAACTTTGATATTAAACCCCAGCGCCTCACACTCCAAACATTACATAAGCTGATTATGCGTTTTGCCACTCAATTAACTGTAGCCTACTGGTAGGCCTATGACTGAGATAGACCTCTTTCATAAACCATAATAAAATATGAGTATTAGGCCCAACCGTTTTAAGAAACAGATATAAAAAGAACATGACATTGAAGAATTAAAGGTATTTCAAAGTTTTCCTCTTGCAAAGATTACATCAGTTGGTCGAAGTTTTCACATGGTATTTATGCAACATATCGGCAAGCAATTGCAACATAACAGGAATAGCCTATACACACAAAAAATCAGTGGCGTATGAATGATCTGCTAAGAAGGTCTGGACGGGATCAATGTTAAATTACTTATAATTGATTATAAGTAGAACTTGTCTGACTGTCAAACATTGTTTTGTATCTTTATTGTTTTACATTTTCAACCAAATTTGAATGCAAAGTTGCTTGCTTGTCTTCAGTGTTTCTAGTGCTATGTGTGTAAAATGGTCTTCCTGCAATTTATATGTCAATATATTTATACACTATGGAAACATGAAAGTGGGTGTCATTATATATAATACTTGGAAAACAATTACAGTTTATTGTTAAATATTCAGCATTACCGTAAACAACCTTCATCATATTATACATATTCGTAATAATTTTACATTAATTTACTTATGTCTCCTTTATGGTAATAAGAGGCATGGCTATGATTAGTCCTCGTCACTCATTAACAAATTGTAGTTGTAATCCATAGAATTGTGTCCAGTTTAATCACTAAATGCCATCGAAATAATACAACATATTCCAAGCTGTGTCTATCTTGGGACAAAATGGTTTTAACCAAACACAGCAACTATGCCAGACTGCTAAGAAAACTGAAAATCATGAAGTGTATGCCTAATTAATTTGAAACTGGAAGGAAGTAAGGATCCAATTTTAATTTGATTGCTTTTTATGTCTGGTAGGATGTGAATAAAGGTAGCTAACAAATATTATATAAGTTAAATGTCTGCTAAACAGAACAGTTCTATGGCAAGCAATTACTGTATTTTAATCAGAGCTGTATTTGTTCAATGATTCTCTTTTCTTTTGCGATTTTATTCCATTATTCCATAGTTCAAAGCGGACTGCCCTGGCAAAAAGTATGTGTTATGTTATATGGTATTTTAGGTAATCATTAAATTATGTAACGTAACACTAGTAACATAAATGTAATTGCCAAGTGCGAAGAGAAAAATAATGTTTATTTTCTAATATTAATCAGACTTCTTAACATAAAAATTTGGAATGTTACTTAAGTTTGTCCTGATTTTTGTATTTTCATCATCTAGTAAAGTTGTTAATTAAAATTTATCATTAATTTTATAGTTCAAAGAATAAAATAAAACAACAAAAGGTAAATAATTTGAGCTGTTTATGAACTAGTCTATGAGTAAAGAGGATTCTCAGATGCACAATTATGAAAATATGTACTTGATTTACAAAACAAAATATGAATAAACAATCTAATTAAAATACAAATCTATATTTCATTTGGTTTTTTTTATACTTTTGATGGCCTACACTACATGAAGATCTGACAAGTTGTACTGGAAGGTCGCGTCAGGGGTCATAAGAGTGGCTTTTGACCCTATGATGTCAGATATTGATTAATCAATCAGTGTTGATGTTTCTAGTGGTTTACCCACAGTTCCAGGGATGGCACGCCAAGAAGATGGTTTCATTGGCTAATCCCTCACGCCATCCAAACGCCTGTTATATAACAACTCTTCCAGATCCTAGTGTAGTACAGACAAATAAAACGAAATTTTGAACTATAAAAACAAAATGAAATAGGATCTGTGTTTTAATCAGATTGATGAATAAATAAATAATTACTAATACATACAAGAATATATACAATAAAAAAAGATATACACAAACCAATTGGTTGCTAGTTTTGTGTATGTGGCATTAAACTAAGGGTGATGAAATCAACCATTTCTTTCATGAAATATTCAAAATCCACTAGGTTCTAGCTATAACTTTGTATTAAATAAGTAACTTAAAACTAAAGAGCATTATCACTAACCATGACAAAATGAAATTTATTAGAAATAATGAAAAACAATATTTATGAGATCAAGTCTTCATTACCCCAGCTTGCTTGATAAATGTTTTTCAATACATTAACTATGAAGAAAGTAAAGATTATTATAATTTAAATTATTTTAAATTTGTTCTCAAGTTAGCTCAGATATCACAGTACATCTATAGTAAATGGACGGACAATCTGGACGGACAATCTTCAACGTGGGAAATAGATCATTTTTTCTTGTGGGTGTGGACTTAACCGCATAACGATTAATAAGAACATTTGATTATGATATACATTGTGCACACATAGCAATTATTACTAAACAAGTGAAATCACAAATTCAATGAAAATAATTTAAATGTGCGTATCACCATTTTAAATAGGCAAATATAAAAATCTGTCCATGGCAGGAGTATACTCCCTTGGTCATTGTATGTCACATCTATATTATTAGTACAATAATATTTAAAAAATTTACAAGGTAAATACTAATAAACATAAGAAATGCAAGGCCAACAAGTATTGAAATATTACAGTCTAACTAAACATAAGACATTTTAACATACCAGTGTTTTGTAAGCAAATCTATTTTACAATAAAGTTTATCTTGAAGCAAAGTCTGGCTTCCCTGACTGTTTATTTTTCACATCTAAATGTAATATGTACAGTGGAAATGTTTAAATTTTTAAAATATCACAAATAATGAATTATTTCCATTCGTCTTCATATCACATCCAGGCTTGTTTTCTTCCGTATCCCTGAAATATATCAATTATTTTTTAGTATTAGTCACATTTTTTTTTCTTGTCAGAGGTTATCACAGGTTTAACAAATGCTAAAATTTCCCTTAAGTTGCAGTTATCCTAAGTGACAGTTGTTTGTGAGGTAATCGTCCTGCTGTGACAGTGTTTTTTAAAATAATATTGATAAAGTCATGTATTTTTAAAACTCAATTTAAGACATCAACAAATGTTGACATACCCGATCTGTGTGACCTTTCATTCTCATTCTTTCTGTTTCTTCCCGTAAAATATCTTCATAGTTTTTCTCTTCTTCTTTCTCCCGCTGTAATTCTATTTCTTGTTCCTTCTGTGATAAGAGTTCCTGCTCTCTTCGTTCTGTCGCCTACAGTAAAATATCATTATTATAAAAAGAGAGAGAGAAAGAGAGAAATGGGGTTTAATGTCCATTTGAGACAAACTAGGTCATTTTGGGACTAACAAATAGTTCAATTTAAGTTCAATAATTCACTTGCGTGTCTGGGTCTTTAGCACTGGGAGGAAACCAGAGGACATGGAGAAAACCCACGAGGTTGGACAGGCGACCCTACTCCTTGTTACATACAACCGTGGAATCGAAACCATGCCAGTTGACTTGATGACATGCTAACCATTCGGCCATCAACCCCCCACCCCCCCACAGACATTGCAAGCAATAAACAACAAATGTACATATCAAATCAAGTAAATGGATCCGGGGCCCAGCAATAAGTGTTCACAGTGCTTGCAAGCAATAAGTGTTCACAGTGCAAAGCAAGCATTAACCCTTAAGCTGCTGAATTGTTGACGTCATATGACATCAACTGAATTGTTTTGGGAATACATGCATGACGTTGGGTGCCTCTACTAAAACTGATAGAGCTGCTAGAATCTGCAAATCAGATTTTTAGCACTGACACCGTAAAAAATCTGAGTCAACAACTGTGATCAAATTTTCACAGAGTTCACTATCTTCATCGTTAAATAATACGTCCAACACTTCCTAGGCAGTTAGTCGTGACATAACGTCAGGTTTTTTTTTTTTTGGTTTTTTTTTGGACATGTATCATCACATATGTCCCCCAAACTTAGCGAAAAAATGTAAACAAAGCAACAAGAATGACAGCAGACAGCGCTTCTTTCGTTTAGTAAAACGCCACCTATCGAACATGGGAGTTAACTCTATTAAAACACCCGGAAATAAATACAATCTGTAATCCCGGGTGCCGTATATGGAGGGCTCATGCCGATCTCGGAATAATCCAGGTACTGCAGGACAAGGGTTAGATGTTCACATTGCTTGCAAGCATATCAAATAAAGTAAATGGATCTAAAGCCCAGCAATAAGTGTTCACAGTGCTGTAGAGTCCCACACCCGTAATTATAATGGCTTCACTCTAAATGAGTGCCATAATTCGCTAAGAATTAAATTAACCATTCAGTCAACCAGATAGTAACATAAATATCTACCTGTTCTCTCAAATCTAGTTTTAAAATATTCTTTAAATCAACAGCAGCCTCTTCTTCACGTCGTGTAAGCTGATTGGCCAACTCTATTTCGCGTACTAATAGTTCCCGTTGTTCTATTGATTCTTCTTGTTGTTTACGTAAAGCTTCTAATTTATCTAGAATCTGATCCTGTCGCACAGCCAACACCTGCAATACAATCAGTTTAAACTCATTATATGTCCACTGCTAAAACAGAAATTAGTCTGGCATGCCATACATGTTTTCCATTTCACACACCAAAAACTAATTTTGACCATTCATTTGAAAGCAACAGACCAGTAAATGCATTTCTAATTATTCCTAATAAATTATTTACTAATTGTCTGAAATTAATTTGTATTTGAATAATATACGTATCATTGTTGACCTAGCAGAGCTCCCACGGGTCAAACAAATTCGTCAGTTTAATACACCAATAGTTTGTTGGTAAACAATTAGTTTTAATTAGTCTTGAATATTCTACTTGCAATTAAATTTGATCAAGTTACCAAACTATGGTTGTGCCCTTATTCAGTCGAAATTAGAGAGAGACAGAAATGGGGTTTAACGTCCAGGTCATTTCCGGACTAACACATGGTTCAATTTTATTTTAACAATATGCTTGCGGCGCGTAGGGGTCTTTAGCAGTGGGAGGAAACCAGAGGACCCGCAGAAAATCCACAAGGCTGGACAGGCGACCCTATTCCTTGTCACGTACAACCGGGGAATCGAAACCTCGCCAGTTGACTCAACGACAGACCATATGATACAGCTACGGCACGCACGTGCTAACCATTCGGCCATCCAACCCCTTTCAATCGAAATTATTTCATCCCACTTCTACCTCGTTGCCAGTGGCAACCTTTGATAAAACTGTCCTGTTTATTTCCAATACAGGCATAAAAGTATCCGTGTATCAGAAATGAACAGTACGCTTTCCAGAAAAAGTACTGTTCATTTCCGGCAAACGAACACTGTCTTGATCTTCACTGATACACCTCGGAAAGTGTGCTAATAACTACTACATACTTGTACTCATTTCAATAGAAACTATAAATAGCCTACCTCTCCCATTAATCGTTCTCTTGCCTGTTTTTCTCTCTCCCATTCTGCTTCTCGTTTCTGCCAAACCCTTGCAGCTTCCTCTCTACGATTTAAAAAATTAGTCTTATGCAGCATACCATAATCTTAACATCAGTTTTATCAATATTAAAGATAATTTCATGAACAAAAGATTAAAAAACATGCAACATTTGTTGTCTGGTTAATGTGTTGGAAATAAATGAGGGTTTATCTTATACCATGATGGACAATCCATTATCAAAACTTTTAGATCATAGAATGCTATTGTCTAGAATATTGACAAGATAATATGGACAGACAGGGAGAAAACAATATACAGTCAATTGAAAGTAGACGTTTACAAAAACTCACTGATACAACATATCTAATTCAGCTTCTCGTCTTTTTTCTACACGTATTTGATCATCTATAACCTGTTTCATCCACTGAGCATCAGCTCGAGCCTTCTCATGACGTGATGTCTTTAACAATTCTTCTTCTTTCTCTTGTTCAATTAAATCTTCCAATAATTTACGATCTTGCTCCTGAAAATTAGAAAATTAAAATTGCTTTTATTTGCAATCACTTTCATATGGATCCTGGGTAACCAATATTCAAAGATAGTCACATAACCAGATCTAAGACTTCGTACAGTTCTTGCTTGATTAATAAACACATATGACATGCTTTCAAATGAAGCTTAACTGAATTTAATACAAATCTTCCAAAAGATGAGGCCAGAGATTAAAGCACAGTAGTGGTATAAGAAACCCATAGAATATTTGTTTTCTTCACTGATCACTGTAAAAACAATGTATCACTCTATTAACATCTTTTTTTCGTAACTTACATTGATAATAGTTTTTAATAACTTTACGACAAATAAAATCACCAGTAACAACAAAAGCTTAATAATATTTACAATATAAAACTAGAATACTAACGAGTTCATCTTGTATAACTCTAGATCTTCTCATTAACTGAGTTTTATGTTGACGCAGTAAAACACGTCTGCCAAAAAAAAAAGAAGAAAAGAATTTATTAAAGCTGAAACAATAATAGATAATAAAAAGGGATCAGGACAGGATGGGGCAATATCACAAACTGAGTCAAGACAGTTACTTGGATTACCCAGTCAGTGGTGCAGGAGTAGGGCCCTTCCTGGCAAGGAAAAGTGTCTAGTTGTTCAGATGGTACAAAAAATTGAGTGTCGGTATACACAATCAGCAGCATGTTACGATCTCTGGTAGTTGGCAGTAGCGGAGCTGTCAAGTCAAGGCAAAGTTTTCCATATAGTGAGAAAGAAAGAAATGGGGTTTAACGACAACTCGACACAAGCTAGGTCATTTCAAGACTAACATGGTTAAATTTTTTTTCATTAATTCTCCTGTGCACAGGGGTCTTTAGCAGTGGGAGAAAACTGAAAAACCTGGAGAAAACATTAGAGGTTGGCGGGACGACCCTAATCCTTGTCACGTACAAGCAGGGAATCAAAACCACCAATTGGCCACCCAATTCCCCTTTCTTTATAGAATACAGGGATAAAGTTCCGTTTTCAAGAATAAAAGGACTTGAAACACAATCTATCTGAGGATAAAACATATGCCGAAAGATTTTACGGAACTGTCTTGCAGTAAAAACTAACCCAAAATCTTGTTTTTTTCTGTGTTCTTCCTTTAATCTTCTGGATTCTTCTAGCTTTTCTAGATTCCACTGTTCCAATTCTAAATTTTCCTGGTCTTTCTTCAATTGCTCAGTCTAATACAATAGATAATAAATTGTCAAGAACTATTGAATATTCATCTCCAAAGAGTAAAAATATGTTTAAAAAAAATTTATAGTGAACTTAAAGTCTTGGTAGCAAGAGTTGGTTCTGGGGCAAAAATGTGTGCATAATTCTATGAAAATATATTCTTTTTTAATGATGTAATTTAGAGGTTGCAAAATTACCTGATTCATCCAGATTTAAAATTAATTATTAAATGTCATTTTATTCAGTTGTCGTGTGAACGGTTAAAAGACATATAGTAAAGTTAATAGAGAAATGCATTGCACATCATACCTCAGCCTCTCTCTGCTTAAGTTCCACAATCTGATCTTTTAAAACTTTCTGTAAATTTTTCTGATCTTGAAGATGTTTCATTTCTTTCTTTCTTTCTTCCTCCATGGCTTCTTGTCTCTTTCTTTCCATCATTTTCTCATATTCTTCCTTTTCTTTACGAGCTGATAATAATTGCTGGAAAAAACGACTTTAAAGATTATTAGGAATAACCTGTAACTCAATAAGCTGCATATGACTTAATTGATTTAATTTAAGAAAAAAAAACTAAAAGTACATTGATTTAATTTCCAGTCTACAGTTAAAGTCCCAAAATAAGGCAACCAATGATTAAGTAAACCGGTTTCCGCTTAATCCTTCAAGATCAAGATCATACAGAGCTTATCCCATTAATATCAGCGCAGCTTTTTATATCAACCCAATCCAGCACTATATTATGAGCTACATCAAAGTGGTTACATTTGATAGTCAGCTTTTACATAGAACTAACTATCCATAATGGGGGTAAGGGGAGGGGGGAAGGGGTGTAAGGGCAATCTGAATAGGGTGTATGATCATTTTCTTAACCTATTACCGTTGATGGCAAGGGAATCCTTTTATCGCAAAATAAGCAAACAATTTAATAAGAGTTGTAAAAAAGAAACTACCAACCTGCTCATGTTCACTTATTTGATCTGACCACTGATCTATAACATGTTCTTTCAATAAATCAGACTCCACTTTACGTAGATCTGGGTTATTCTGTTTCCAGAATTCATATAACTTTTCTTCAGCAACCTATAAATAAAGTATATTATGTTTAGGCTACACAAAATAAATGTCTTGTTTCTCGGGCAACTGACAGCTGAAACTGTTGGGGGGGAGGACGGTTTATTTTTTTTTTTATCTCATTTCTGGCTAGAGGATGGTGCAAAATAAAATTTGCCTATTGTTGAAAATTGTTGGGGCGGGAGGGCGGCCTTGTATTTTTTTTTTTTTTTTAATAAGAAAGTCATTACTTGTCTACGGTTTTGCTTTCAGTTATATATTATACATACTTAGAACATAAACCCAAAAATCAAGTCTACTCAAACACTGAACACTGACTGAAAGGAAAATAATTTTCCATATTTAATTCACGTAATGTAGCTTACTAATGGTAATAGTGACAACCATAATTGAAATTAGTTTAAAATAAAATTCCGTACGACTATTAATAGCCGTCCATAATAACGACAATATTTTAAAGAGTAAGCCTCTGTCAGCATTTGTATCATCATCATCACGGTAAACGACACTTTGATCTAAATCTAGTATCGCTGGTTTATAATGATTGACCTAATTCCAACCAATGTCACGTGTCATCGGGATATGACTGTTTCTCAGGTTATTCGGTGTGTTTCTCAGGATATTCGGTGTTCTATCTGGGGTTTATATCGAATGACTATTTAAATTTAACTAACAACTCGTCAGTAAAACCATCAAATGTGTAATCCAATTATTATTTTCCGGATTATCAAAACTACCGTTAAATGTGCTAATGACCCAGATTCTGACTAAGGTATGGTGACTATCATTGTATCGTATTCGTAGCCACAAGTTATAATAATTAACCTGTTCTACGATTGATTGTTTTATAAGTAGGATTTTTTTAAACATGGACCGACTGAAGCCGGCAATAATGAGCCGATTAAGATCGAATGATTGAAATACATTGCATTGTTGTCAATGACTTTCGGTGTTTAACACGATACAAATTCTAGTTCACAAGGGGAGGTAATTGAAATCACGTGATACAAAAATGAAGGTTCTTTCGATATCAATAAAAAAGACCCGTAAATGAGCGTTTACATCTGAATCAGTTTAATACATTTGAATGGATATTCACGTATGGGGCATGTAGATACATGCGGCATATTTTTTTTATGACTTGCTTATCGATGTTCGGGCGGGCGTTACATATTTTTTTTTTTTCATCAAGACTAATAAATAGGCCGCACGCGCAAACAATTTTGCGTGCGGGCGGTGCCCGAGAAACAACTTATTTTATTTGTGTTGCCTTATATAGCATGTTAGACTGTATACAATTCATATACTTTGTTTCATTTGGTTTTATTTTGTTTTTCAGTTCTTACTTTATCAAACCACAGTAAGGACTTATCTTGGTCACAGTGGTGGGATTGACCCCGGAATTGGTTGAAATTATTTTTGATTTGGTATTACAGACAGATTACAAACTACTATAAGGACTGTACCTTTAACACAGTGGTGGGATTTACCCCAGAATTGATTGAAATTATTGTTGATTTTGTATTACAAACAGATTACAAACCACTGTAAGGACTGTACCTTTAACACAGAGGTGGGATTTACTCCAGAATTGGTTGAAATTATTTTTGATTTTGTATTACAGATAGATTATAAACTGTTATTGCAAGTCAATGCTGAGGAAAATCGTCTCTTTTCATTGCCTTGTATCAGTGAGTCATGTCAATAAATGATGCATGGAATAGGGTTCAATATAGCAACATGTTGCAAACACACTATAACTATAACTTACCTGTTTAGGGTTAAAATATCTGATTGCCATTTGAAGGATTTTTTATCCATGCAAACTAGAGTATTGTGAAAGTTGAATCTCGAAAATGAATATCAGTTCATAAATAGTTTAAAGTTGAATTTCGAAAATGAATATCAGTTCATAAATGGTTTAGTTATTACAATGATATGGTCGTTAAAAAAGAAGGAATTCTGATTCAGATCATTCTTACTTGTTTTCTTTTTTCTTCACGAGCACTCTTCAATCCTCCTACTTTATCTTTCATATCTTCTAGTCTGGTAAAATTACCAACAGACAGTCCTTGTAGTTCAGCCTAATAAAATACATCCATGTGTAAAGTCATGAAAAACATAACATTTCACTAACACAAAGTCATTTATTATTTATTCCTTTCGGTATAGAAAGTAGTACCAGTTGATAAACCACACCCTCCAATGATTAAGTTAATGTTTTTAATGGACGCCATTCGGGGCAGAGATCTATTCTCAAAGTATATAAACTATACACATACTTATGGAAAACAGCTACTGTTTTCCCTAACTATGTGTAATAGTTTATTTATCTACCCAGTTACTAAATGCCACTTAAAGAATATTCTCAAAGTAGATAGTTCTCTATACAGAATGAAAATCCTGCAGGGCAAGTTTAAAAAATAACGCTATAAACTCTGTCCCAAGCTTCAATGGTGAAAACTCAGTATCTGAAAAGTTTGAAACTAATATAAATGTACACTGAGATTTTTAAAAATATTATCAAGGACAATTGACTTGTACCGCATTCACAAGATTTCATAAATTGGAAAGTAAACCGCTGGTTAACTCTGAATTTCCATAGAGGTCTTCCTTATGATCGACCTGTATCCATTATCTCAGTTGGAGCAGAACAGTAGGACGTTAAACCCCATTTTATTTCCTTATGACTGATAATTGTCTTTTTTTTGGGGAGGGGGGGGAGCTCTATGAAATACATTTAACGTCCTACTTTTCAGCATCGGCTGCCTAATGAAGACGGGCATACATAATGCTGTGTGATATGAGTGAAATTTTGCCAAGACAGCTGCACTATGGCTTACTCTTATTTTGAATTCAAACTGTCAAGGGTCCTTTCACATGCATGCCAATGTGTACATGGGACCTTGGTTTTTCATCCAATCCAAGCGACTAGACACTGTTTCTTCCCATGCCCTCTATTCTGTACCACCAGACCAGGGCAAACCTTCCCGAAAAATCTTCGAGGAACTTTCTCTGCCAATACTGGAAGCTTTTGTTTCTTTCTCTAATAGTTACCTTATAAACTTTTGTTTCTTTCTCTAATAAATCAGCTAATAGCAATCTTCTCCGTCTTAAATTAAGAGATTTTGTCTCTTTTTCTACATTTGATTTGTAAGCTTCCATGCTGAAAAAAAAAAAAAAATCTTCAGTATGGTAATTCAACATTGGATTTTATTGGAAATAAAAAACTTGCACAATTGAGTTAATTATAAGTTACTGGTATCGTCAAGGAAACAACCATCAATAAGAAAGATTCTTAAGACACATATTAACCAGAAATGTTCTTACTCTTGAGAGGTTTCCATTCAAATAGCCTAATCTATCCAATCAAACGAATATAAAATGGAATTTGTTTTTATGGGAAAAACTTTGAATCATAATAAGTAACAAAAGACATAAAAAAATTGAGTGCTTTAATTCAATTTCAATTGAATAACATATTTACTTTATCGAACTGAAGCAATGACTGTAAATTTCCCATCACAACCATTGGTGCTATTAAAGTTGAGTGTTTATTTTAGTGAATTTTACCTATTTTGAAATGACCTGTCTGATGTCCATGTTTCCTGTTTTGAGGCATTCACATTATTCTTACTGAAATAATCCGCAGTATCAGTCCATTTTTGTCTGAAATCTTCTTCATGGTTCCGTCGCTGTAAAATTGCCTTCTCATAAATATTTTTACGTGTGGTCCAATAACAGGGCATCGTTGGTAACGCCATACTCCAATGGGTGGACTAACAATATTACATAAAAATAAAACCTGCAAAAGTTTTAGAGGTCAGCAATATTAATAAAATTTGATTGACTCTAAATAAATTTACTATTTCTATTGCCCTTAATTATTTTTACTTCAGACATACTTTAGTTACTTAAAGGAGCTAAATCGCTAATATTTTGGACCTAGAAATTGACACAAATGGGTCACAACGCTTATAATAATGTAATATGAATGTATATAAACTGATTTACATTCAATCATTTCTGTTTTTACTCTAATTTCAAATCAGTTATGTTCAGCAAAATGCGCCAGAAATCTCAATTGAATGGCAATCTCTAGCGTCTGGTTATTCCAGACTTGTGGGATATGTCTAGCCTCGTCTTCGAGTCACTTGTTACAAATGGTGCTGAAACACATTCTGGTACACGATTCGTGTACCAATGGTAAAATGTTTATCTTGTCTTAAAAATTGGATATCACTCAGAAGCCCATCTTTTCCCTGTAAGATCACAACATTAATGTTGATTTAAATTGACAAATAATTCGTGTTTTCAATGTCGAAGACTGGATGATATTGAGTTAAAGATTTAGCTACTTTCAAGGAGCTAAATCACTAATATTTGGGACCTAGAAATTGACATAAATGGGTCGCAACACATATAATAATATAATATGAATGTATATAAACTGATATACATTCAATTGTTTCCGTTTTGACTCTAATTTCAAATCAGTTATGTTCAGCGAAATACGCTAGAAGTCTGATCAATCGATAGCAAACTCTAGCGTCTGGTCATTCTAGTCTACACAGATAGTAAGCTTATTTATTACGCATGCTCTCCAGATAAGAATATGGCGTGACCGTTTGCCATGACTTGTGGAATATGTCTAGCCTTGTTCTTCAAGTCCCTTGTTACAAATAGGGCTGAAACACATTATGGTATAGGATTCGTATAGGATTCGTGTACCAATGGTAAAATGTTTATTTTGTCTTTAAAATATTGGATATCAGAAGCCCATCTTTTCCCGGTAAGATCACAACATCAATGTTGATTTAAATTGACAAATAATTTGTGTTTTTAATGTCGAAGACTTTGGATGGTGTTTGGCATGACAATAATTAAACTTTGGGACAGCAGGGGCTAAATACCACGCTTCAAAATACCACGCTCGCCTTACTGCTTCTATAGAAACGAAACGTGGTACGCTGCTTTGGTACCACTTACTATTTAATTATAGGGATTTTACATTATTAACTCACAGCGCATAGATAGGCTTACAGTTAATTAATTAATTTAATTAATTAATAAATAATACAGTTCGATCATTTGGAATGAAAATATCGGGACAAATTGAGGGACCAGTAAAAAATTTCAGTTGCTTGACAAATTAACTGACTGCAGTATACTGCAATACAACCAAGTCATTTCCAGTGGACCGTAACATTTTGTAGCAGGACAGGATTCTGTGACATGACTGATCATGATCATGATGATATGAACCGCCAATCATTGGCCTCAGCAGCACATTCACACAACTTTTAGTAAATGTGTGTGCTGTATACAAACGTATAGATCTAGCTACTGTGGTACAGGTAAAAAGTGTGAATTAGTGCAAATAATTAGATAACGAAACAATGACTTACACTCAGTTAAATATTAAATTATTTGTTTCGAATGTCAACAACTTCTATTTCCTGTGGCGGCCAATTTGCACATGCGCACTGGGTATTAAATTTATTTCGTTTCGGTTCCGTAATAGCCTAAATACTAATAGTTTATAATATAGGCCTATTATTCATACATTCCATATCATCCATATTTATTACCAATAACTACACCACGCACTATAAATATTTGTATCACCTTATTAAAGAACTTATTGATATTAGTTTCAAACCTTTTATTCGATTCGTTTGGTTTTTTTTGGAGTGTGAATGCTAAAACTTCGTTCAACCAGACTTACGTTAGGATTCAGACTAGTAACTCCCCTCCATTTTCTCAAGCCATTCTTTTCTAATAACATTTTTTCGAACATTCCAAAAATCTTAATTTTATAACCACAGAGTGCCCAACATTTTAAACTCATCTATATAAGTGGAGAAACACAAAATTGTTATAGATAGACCAACTACATTCGTTCCGAGATAAGTATTACGGCATTCTTAATTACTAGTCTGAGTCCATTAGCCTACTTGCCAACTGGCTACTTTCTGGAGTAGATATTTCCGCAATCGACTTGAAGGGCCTATTACTAGTACTGTAAACATTTTTTATTTACAGCTATTAGTTTTCAAAGTTTGGCATGTCTGGGAAAACATTTTTCAGCCGAGAATCATCATGCCTTTTTCCTATAATCCCGGAAGACAGAAGAATACCCGCGACTACCTTTTTGGCTGCGGCAGAAATGATTTTACCATTTTTTGGTGAGAATTCATCACAATCACAGATTGTAAAGTCAAAAAAGAAAGATAGTGAAAATCTAATTTACTTTTTAAACTAAGCCTAATTTCTTCAAGTCTGTATTCAGAAGTGTAGTCACACTGATCAGAAGTGAATATTCTCTAGGTCCCTACTCGCTAGTCACTAAGTAGGCTAATATAATATCGGTGCAAGCAAGGCTCGCAATAATATTCAAGTCTCAATCTCAATATCATCCAATGTCTTCGACATTCAAAACACAAATTTTTTGTCAATTTAAATCAACAGTAATGTTGTGATCTTACCGGGAAAAGATGGACTTGAGATATCCAATATTTAAGACGAAATAAACATTTTACCATTGGTACACAAATCGTGTACCTTGTGGAATATTTCTAGCCTTATTCTTCGAGTCCCGAAGAATGAGGCTAGAAATATTCCACAATTCATGTCAGGCAATGATGCATATTCTTATCTGGAGAGCATGCGTAATACATACCTTGCTGTAGACTGGAATAACCAGATGCTAGAGAATGGCCATTCGATTGAAACTTCTGCAATATTTTGCTGAACATAACTGATTTGAAATTAAGAATATAAAAATGGAAATGATTGAATGTAAATCATTTTATATACATTCATATTATATTATATACGTTGCGACCCATTTTGTGTCAATATCTAAGTCTCAAATATAAGCAATTTAGCTCTGTTAACTTTTTTTCCTTCTGCAAATTAAATTCTAGAACATTTTTTTGAAGTATTAGAAAAAATAAATAACGGTGTTCGAAGTATATCTAGATAAAAAATATTTCCTGTTTAGTGTAAATGAGTATATAAAATGAGTAAAAAGCACCATTTTGACAGTTGATTGCTTTGGGAGAGTCTGAAAGAAAATAGTTGAAAATGGGCCTATAAGCACATATTAATGTAATATGAATGAATATACATGTAAAGTGATTTATATTGAATTTTAAATTTTTTTTTTGAATTTATAATCAATTATGTTCGGTGAAATGTGTGAACAGTACAAATTGAAGGCAGTCGTTTACCCCTGCTTAGTCCATGTTTCTTTTGATTATTATTTTGTCATTTGTAAATAAGCCAATAAGGGCAAGGTAAAATGATACCATCTTGTTGCAAACTAGTCTCGACACCAAAAAACAAGGCTGAACCTATTATTTTCCAACACAGAATAGCAGATCTTGCATACAAAAGTCCAAAATAAAGTATATTACTCACAATACACTTTTTCACTGTCAATACCCCTTTAAATTGCACACCCGTGTGTTATCATGTAAACGAAAATTTCACTTTCATCACTTTCTTGCCCAATTGTGGTTACACCTATAGATAAAACAATAAAAGTTGAGGACAGCTATTATCTCCCAATTGATATTCTGATAATCTGATAATTGTTTTAAAACTGACAACGTTTACCCGAACATTATATATCGATATGTAAGGGTTTCATTTACATACCATACACACAATTGTGATGTAATCCATTTAGTAATAAAACACTTTCACCAATTTATAAACGTAAACATTTCAAACGTTCTTGACCTTATGCTTATATCAGTGAGCACTGAGCAAAGTGTTAATTTGAAATAAGCTTAGGTAATTTACATTGGGTAAAATAATAAAATAAGTCAAATTATGGGTGAGGTTATAATCAAATACGAACACTAATGATACATCTGTTACAATAGGAAACAAATTATACAGGAATTTTCACAATAACCAACTCTATTCCTTTGAAAATAGCCTACAATAAAACAAATTTCACACTGAGTAAACATTTTCGATGTCAAACGTTCTTGACCTTATGCTTATATCAGTGAGCACTGAGCAAAGTGTTAATTCGAAATAAGCTTAGGTAATTTACATTGGGTAAAATAATAAAATAAGTCAAATTATGGGTGAGGTTATAATCAAATACGAACACTAATGATACATCTGTTACAATAGGAAACAAATTATACAGGAATTTTCACAATAACCAACTCTATTCCTTTGAAAATAGCCTACAATAAAACAAATTTCACACTGAGTAAACATTTTCGATGTCAAACGTTCTTGACCTTATGCTTATATCAGTGAGCACTGAGCAAAGTGTTAATTTGAAATAAGCTTAGGTAATTTACATTGGGTAAAATAATAAAATAAGTCAAATTATGGGTGAGGTTATAATCAAATATGAACACTAATGATACATCTGTTACAATAGGAAACAAATTATACAGGAATTTTCACAATAACCAACTCTATTCCTTTGAAAATAGCCTACAATAAAACAAATTTCACACTGAGTAAACATTTTCGATGTCAACCATCTTGGAAATAGGGCCTACTCAGTGCTCCCTCTGCACATCCTCAGTCGATGGAGTAAGCAGGACAGTTTTTGGAGCAATACTCTAGTCACTTTATTTACGATCTGTGTACCCGGTGTACACCAATCATTAAATCAAGTAAACCCACATGTTTCACTCAAAATTATAAGTAGAATGGATGCTAAGTAGAAGGAATCCATTTTAAACAGCCTAATGCTAATCACATATATATACAGTCTAATGATTAATCATTTGTTTTTAGATAAATTGGGTACTGGCTTTAGTGTCATCAAAAATGACCTCGCCGGAAATATCCAGGTAAGTCGTTATGTCTCATTTTAGAGTGCTCTGTTATAGTGCTGGAATACTTACTGGTATAAGCTTTTTAAACAAGGAGGTGATGTGCATGCAAATTATTGTGCCATAATAATAATTTATAAGAAAAAGAAACGTGGAGAAATGTGGTTAACTTGACAAAAGCCATATTATTTTAGGACTAGGATGAATTTTTATTTTAATAATTCACTTGCATGTAGGGCCCTTTAGCAGTGGGTCCTGTGTATACATTGCCTTGCATGTAAAAGATCCCTTGGCAGTTGGAATTCGATATAAGAGTTGGCCATACTGCCGTCGCCAGGGCAAAATTTCCCTCATAACACATTGTATGGCATCTGCACGTCTTCCTTAGCCCAGTCGGAGCAGAATAGCAGGACGTTACACCCTATTCCATTTCCTTTAGCAGTGGGGGAAAGGGAGGGGGGGGACCCATGAGGTTGGGCAGAAGGACATGGGGGGGAAAACCCATGAGGTTGGACAGACAACCCTTTACCCTACCCCTTGTCACTTACAAGCTTGAGGTCAAAACCACACCACTTGACTTAATGATAGACCTTATGATCTAAAGCATACGTGTTGGACCATTAGATCACCTGTTGTTAAAGTGTTGCCCTCCAAGCCATAAAGAAACTTGAGGATCCTATGCCTAATCTTGGATTTGATTGTCCTGCAGCAGCGCCATCACTGTACAATATTTCCAGCTGGTTTAATTATTTCCTATTTTGTTCATCTGTAATATGCAGGAAATTTGATTTCTAAGAATATAACAATATTTAAGATTATCTAAATAAATTTTTAATGGTTTTTTTTTACACAAAGACTTAAATTTTTCTGTATGCATTGTGTTTTAAGGTTAAATTCTTTGAAATACCTAATTTTACCGGAAATAAATGATAGGTAAATTCTTCAGTCAATCAATCTTACTGCCAATCTGTCACAAGACTATCCTGTTCCTGGATGGATATTTTGGATCTGACGAATTTCATTATCACAAGTCAGATCAACTTTTTGACCAATGTTTCATGTTGATGTTTAAGATTTTCCTTCTATTTAATAGTCTTTAAAGAAGAAACATGCAATGAATCCAGAATTGTTCACAACCATTGATGCTATGTTAGAAGATGAAGTTGATAAACCAAAGGTTGACTTGGCTAAGGTGGCAGCTCTATGGCTTAAAAGGTATAATGATACAAGTTTTGCATTTAATTACATTACATTAGGTTCAAAATAAGTAATAAATGTCAGATTAGGAGAACCCCCAAAGTATTAGTATTTTCCCTTTTTTGTATGACCATATCTCAGCGTATTATGTCGTCCTTTCAGCAACAATTGTAAACACAATAGAGGCTACAAATTTTAACGGATTGTTTTCAAATTTGCTGTGTAGCATTGTTGTGATGAGATTACGAACCCTATCTAATTCAGCGTTCCACGATTTTCCGCTCCAACAACCTTGTGGATGCGGTGGAGGCTATATATATTATTTTTATACGCCCACATGGAAATGTGGTTCTATATTGCCGTCGCCCCCGTCCGTCCGTCCATCGTCCATCGTCCACAATTTCTTGTGAACACTCTACAGACTACATTTATCATCTGATTATTTTGAAATTGATATATGTTGTTTGCATTAGTGAGATGAAGAAGCCTATTTAATTTCTTCTGGAGTTATGGCCCTTGTTTCACTTTGTTGCACCTCGTGAACGCTCTAATGACAAAAGTTATTATCCAATCATTATGAAATTTATATGTATGGTTTAAAGGAGCTAAATCGCTAACATTTGGGACCTAGAAATTGACAAAAGTGGGTCGCAACGCATATAATACTGTAATATGAATGTATATAAACTGATTTACATTCAGTGGTTTCGGTTTTTACTCCAATTTCAAATCAGTTATGTTCGGCGAAATAAGCCAGCAGTCTCAAGCGAGTGCAAATTTCTAGTGTCTGGTTATTCCAGATTTGGTGCAATGTGTCTAGCCTCGTCCCTCGAGTCTCTTGATACAACTGGGGCTGAAGCACATTATGGTACACGATTCGTGTACCAATGGTAAAATGTTTATTTTGTCTTAAATATTGGATATCAAAAGCCCATCTTTTTCCGGTAAGATGACAACATGAATGTTGATTTAATTTGACAAATAATTTGTGTTTTCAATGTTGAAGATTTTGGATGATATTGAGTTAGAGACTTAGCTACTTTAAATTAGTAAAATGAACAAGCCTATTGAGTTTCAGCAAATTCCGTTAATTACATCTAGAGTTATGGCCCTTGTTTCACTTTGTTAAATCTTGTGAACGCTCGAACGACAAAAGTTATCGCCCAATCTGTATGAAATTCATATGCATCGTTTTAATTAGTGAAATGAAGAAGCCTATGGAATGTAAGCAATTTCCGTCAATTACTTCTAGATTTATGGCCCTTGTTTTACTTTGTTGAACCTTGTGAACGTTCGAACGACAGAAGTTGTCATCCGATCTGTATGGAATTTATATGCATTATTTGAATTAGTGAAACGGAAAAGCCTGTCGAATTTCAACAATTGCTGTTGATTACTTCCAGTGTTATGGCCCTTATTTTAGTTTTTAGAACCTGGTGAACCCTCAAACGACGAAAATTATAATGTCATCTGTATGAAATTGTCTATTAAATGCCTCTAATTACCTACAAAAGAATAAATATGTGACAACCCTTGTAGACCGCTCGGTCGATTTAGCTGCTGTGGGCGTATGTTTTGTTGCCTGGCAACCTATCTTTAATGGATCTTTTTCAAATTAGGTGAAAGCATCGGGGTCATGAGAGGACCTGGTTGATTATCAACCGTTCACAACCTTTCATACCTTAGTTACACCCCTCTGCCGAAAACCTTAGGAACACTATAGTGGCTACAGTTTTAAGCGGATTTGTTTCAAAGACGGTGTGAAACATTTGAGTCATGAGAGGATGAACCTTCTCGGTAGTCTGCATTCCACGACTTGCCATTCTGGAGTAATGTTCCCTATTTTTGAAAGCCTTGTGAATCCAACAGTCTTTTTCAAATTTGTTTGGAGGGGAGGACAAACTCTATCGATAATCATTATTCGGTAATCAGTAATTATTATTATAATTTATGCACATCTACATGTCATTAGCTCAGATTGAGCAGAAAAGTCAAACGTAATACCTTATTGGATTTCATTTCACAGATCACTCATGTATGTTGGATTGTGCAAGCCTGTTTTTTTTTTAAGAGTACCCTATTTTAATATTAGATAATTATTTGCATATTAACCAATGGCAACAGCTGACCTTGTCTTTTAAACCCACTTTGTCAACGATAAACTGTCAAATCTGGGTTGCTTCTTTATTAATGATAAATTTTGATTCTGTAGTACACTTACTTGTATTCTTCATCTTTTTTTAAATAGAGGATTGGATTTTGTTTGCACCTATCTTGAGTTATTCTACAAGAATAGAGATGATGGTTTAGAATCAACGCAGCCTTATTTATCTGAAGCTTATGCTAGAATATTAAAACAATATCATGGTTTTATTTTAAAAAAACTTTTTGCTGTAAGTAGCCTACACAATAAAAGCAAAATATCACAATTTTAATATTGTTTCAAAGAACATGACCTGGTCTCATTTTGAATTTTTGTATTACATTGACCCTTTAGCACATATTGACTACACCAGTTCCTTGAAGAAAAATGTAGAAAAGTGGTATTCATATCAGTATATATCCTATTCCGTCAGAAATTATGTTCCTTGGATTACCTCAAACTGCCCAATATATGTGAATAGCTGTGTGTATTATAGGACCATTTACTAGTACTTGGGGGTGCCACAGCTGTCACGTCGATCAACCAGTTTAGGGCAGTTTGTTCCACTATAAAACAAGTACGACAGTACGTAGACCAGGAACTAGCCATCATATCAGAAATGCATACTTATCCAAGGAACAAACAAGAACAAGAAGAAGATGAGTGGGGACAAGTTCCTGATCTGAAAGTGAATAAAAGAATGATTCTGTACTGATTTTTTTGTCATTTGATATATGTATTTGTTTCTTGTATTTGTTGTCAGGGACTATCAAGAATGGTAGAATATAAAAAAGTTATATTAAAAAACATGAAGGTAGACCCGACAGCTCCAGATGAAGTTGTAAGTTTTATTCAACCAGCTATGTATCTTGTACTATAAATATATTTTTCTGGAATAGTGATACAAATCGTGCCATGTGTTCAGCACAGCAGTGTTTGCTTTACAGTATTTGTCTTCAACAAATCCTGCATACAAAACTATGTTGTATGACTAGAATTAGCTCCCCTACATCGACCATTTTAGTTGAAAGTCCTAAGTATCATCCATTTTCATATATGACGAAATTGAAAATGTTTATTTACTCTATGTGTGGATGAAAGATCAGTCGCTTTTATCAGAGTAGTCAAAACTTTATTTAAATAAAAAACATACTTTTGGTATAGAAAGTAGTACCAGTTGATAAACCACACCCTTGAATAATTAAGTAAATATTTTTAATGGAAGCCATTCAGAGCAGAGATCTATTCTCAAAGTAGATAGTTCTCTGTGTATGTATATAGTATTTTGTCAAGCTATTGAGTAGAAATAGGACTCAAACAGCAGATTTGATGCAAGACTTATATGAGATGTAGAAAATACAGTACTGTGCAGAGATTACAGAGATAAGCTATTTTTTTGTTGTCAAATGAGATTTGAATTTATATTAGCGTAATCTTACTATATATTATTTGTATATGTTCGCCATTTTTCACACACAAATTGAATTAGTAATAGATTTATATGGACATTTTCAGGTTTATGCTGATTTGGAGATATACAACAAGTTACTACGAGAAAATGTTATAGTTTTAGATGAAATGTTGAAGAAATTAAACTTTGATTCAGATAATAAAGTATAAAACCCAGGTCAATATTTTTAATACATGGTAATCTTTTTTTTTTCTTACATGGAGGAATATTTGAAATAGTTGGGATAATATTAATTATGATGTAAAGTAGAGTAAGAGCTATCGATCTGAAACAATCCATTCTTCTTATCATCAAGTTTTATTAAATTGATCAAGTTTTCTGTGTCAATGTGTAGCATCGTCAGATCAACAGCCGTAATGAATCTGTTAAAGACTTATTATTACTTTATTTAGATTACAGATTTATAATTATTTTTATAGGCTTGCGCACGTAATCTGGATTCATATTGTCGTTAATCCATCTGGCATCCATAGTTCGTTCTATAAACTATTTAAAGACTCTCTACAGGTCACAATTCTTGTCCGATTTTGACGAAACTTGAAATATAGGTTTATCCCCAAAAGATCTTGGCTGCTTTCGATATTGGCATGTATCGGATCGAAACTTCATGGATTATGGCCCCTGTTTTTACGAAAAATCACGTTTTTAGCTTGTGGACCCTATAGAGGTCACAATTTTTATCCGATTTTGTTGAAACTTAAAATTTAAGTTTATAACCCAAAGATCTCAGTTCCTTTCGATATTCGCGCATATCGGAAGTAACTTCCTGAATTATGGCCCCTAATTGTATGAAAAATCGCGTTTTTAGCTTGTGGACCCTATAGAGGTCATAATTTTTATTCGATTTAAAAAAACGTATTATTATATCACCGTTGCACCCTATGGAAGGTTGAGTTCAAATTTCGTGGAAATTGGACCAAAATTGCCAGACAAAATGGCCACCGTTTGTACGCGAATAGTGTAAAAATATGGTAAATCAAGGTTGTGGACCCTGTATAGGTCACAATTTTAATTCGATTTTGATGAAACTTGAAATGCATGTTTATAACCTAAAGATCATGGTTCCTTTCGATATTTGTGAATATCGGATAGTAACTTCCAGAATTATGGCCCCTGATTGTACGCAAAATCGCCTTTTATGGTAAATAATGGTTGTGGATCCTGTATAGGTCACAATTTTAATTCGATTTTGATGAAACTTGAAAAGCATGTTTATAACCTAAAGATCATGGTTCCTTTCGATATTTGCGCATATCGGATAGTAACTTCCTGAATTATGGCCCCTGATTGTACACAAAATTACCTTTTTTAGCTTGTATTCCCTCTGGGGGTCACAATTATTATCCGATTATATCACCGTTACACCATAATGAAGGTTGAGTTCGAATTTCCTGAAAATCGGACCAAAATTGCCGGACAAAATGGCTGCCACTTGTACACGATAGTGTAAAAATATGGTATATCAAGGTTGTGGACCCTGTAGAGGTCGCAATTTTAAAATGCATGTTTATAACCTAAAGATCTTGGTTCCTTTCGATATTGTCGCATATCGGATTGTAACTTCCTGAATTATGGCCCCTGATTATACGAAAAATCGCCTTTTTTAGCTTGTGGTCCCTCCGAAGATCACAGTTATTATCTGATTTTAAAAATCGTTTGAATATATCACCGTAACACCATAATAAAGGTTGAGTTCAAATTTCCTGAAAATCACACCAAAACTGACGGACAAAATGGCCACCACTTGTACGCGAAAGGTGTAAAAATATGGTATATCTAGGTTGTGGACCCTGTAGAGGTCACAATTTTAATCCGATTTTGATGAAACTCGAAATGCATGTTTATAATCCAAAGATCTTGGTTCCTTTCGATATTTGCGCATATCAAATTGTAACTTCATGAATTATGGCCCTTGATTGTAGGAAAAATCACTTTCTTTTTAGCTTGTTCTCTATCCATCTCTCGAAAATGTGGGCGTATCCTGCCTGGCAGCCGCTGGTTAAATGTTATTAATAGCCCTAATGAAATCCAGACTTTTTCGATTATTCATGAGATATTTGCTTGTTGTTATGTTGACTTTCACAGCCAGACCGGGCGACTTTGCTCCTGCTGGATGTATCTCTTTGAATTTATTGATATACTGAGACACAACCAAAAACACTTTTATTAGATAAATTTTAAACCCCATGTCTGCACCATAAAATAACAAGATTTATCCTCAATTCGCCTTTTTTTAATTAAATCATTAAATGGGATAGTCAATGAATCCGTTTAAATCTCCGCCATCCAATAATCTAGAGAGTTGATTATAGACTTGTAATGTAAATAAATGTCTAAATAATACATGTAGTTTATATAACATTTAAAGCCAAAATAAAGACCTGCCCCAGACAGCCACTCAGCTCTGACCCTACTTTGGCCCACATGTGACTGGATGTGGCCCAGATCCAGCCAGATGTTGCCACATTTGGGCCATAGTCTGGGCAACACTTGACAACTATTTGCTCACTGTTGATGAAAAAAACTTATTTTTATAACTGGATTTAAGAATATTTTGTCAGTTTGTTAAATGGTTTTAATTGTTTTATTTGATTTTCAAAATGTTTGAAAAAATAATATTATGCCAGATGCTTGCCATGTTTGGGCCAGACATGGCCCACATCCATCTGGCCAAATGCCTCAAAATATCAATCCAATAAATTTCAGCTCAGAATATGACGTCTTTTTACTAACAACACACTGTGTGTCCAGAAAAATGTTATGAACACACAATTCGAAGTAAATTTCATGATCAAAACATTTGAAAAAATAATATTGTGTCAGAAGCTTGCTATGTTTGGACCAGATATGACCCACATCCAACTAGCCAAATGCCTCAAACTATCAACCTCATCACTCTTACATAATGCATTTTTAATATTGTTAGAAGTTTTACCTGTGGTAAGGTAAAATCAAATCCATATATGGAGATTTTTCTTTTGATGATTATTGTTTTTGTAAATTTATTGAAATCTTATGCATCATAAAATTAACATCTTTTATGATCAAGCTCTTAATCATCTTTTATCTTTTTTTAATGCCATTGCCACTTGTTTTGTTTTATCACTCTATGTGCTTTATGATCTGAGAGTGCCAGCAAAATGCCTTAACATACAATACAACTGAAATCTACACCTAATATGCAATGTCATGTGACCTTCATGGTAATGACTTTTTCCTCCAGTTTGTAACACATGTGATCAATTGTCTGTATTTCAACTGTAAATATTTGTGTGTGGAGATTTGATTATAATTAAAGAACAAAATAAAGTGTCACACAACATTTAACAGGATCTTATGGAAAATATCCTTCTGCAAAATAAAAGCTGTGGTGTTCTTTTTTTTTATGCATATATTTTTTATGACAGCATTTTTACAGTTTGTTTCCATGAATGGTTTTACTCAAACTTTGTCCAACTCTTAATTGAAATTAATGCATCTAAACTATTCCCTATTTTAATATTGTGACTATGTGACTTCCTGTAAGCTTTAAAAAGAAGTAAAGCACCAGTAAATCAGAGCATGACTGTTATGTTATGAACAATATAGATTATGCTATCATCATATTAATCATTGAGGATTATTAATTTATTGTTTTGGGGCATGTGATTAAATTCATGTTTTACAGTACCGATATTTTTTACACATAGGATTTCTTACTGATCTTATTTAAAAATCCACGTATTTTATCATTCTGACATCTTATAACTTGGTTCTTCTCATTCTATTATTGTTGTTATTTTCCACTTCTAAATTGTTGTTTTCCTTCAGACATTCTTTCTTACTTCTTACATTCTTTGTTTTAACATTTGCATTTTAAAATCAGAATTTAATGAAATGTAATTATTCTTTATGCATTGATATAATTGGGGCCGATTTATTAAGATTTAATTTTTTGGGGGTAGTTTTTTTATTTACTTTTTTAGTCTGTACTGGTAATTTTGTTTTACATAGTATGATTTGAATAAAGGTATTGATTTTATTTGGTTATTATTATAGCATTATATTGACTGTAACCTAGTTCTATTATTATGGGATAATTATTGTGTGTATTTCATTGCAATTAAAAAGTATCAGACTTTGTATACATCATCTGGTGTATGAATAATATAATTGTTAATTGTGTTTGGAGATACAATTCTCATTTAAAATGCATATCAGAATTTGTAAATTGTTGATTCAAGGTTGTTACTTAAAAAGAATTTTTTAAAAATATTTTGCCAATAATCTGAAAAAGATACAATACAATCATACATAAATACCCCAAGTAAATTTTTGTTTTATGTTGCAAAAATGAAAAAAATAAAATAGGAAGAATTGTAATTATAATAGTCTTTGGATTTATATTACGTGCTAGACTGGATATATTTCTTGAACAAAGGTTTTTTACCCAAAAGATCTATCTACAGGTTTTAATATTTTATTATCATATTGGCTTTAATTTACAACAAATATTTCCATTAACTTAAATCCAGGCTACTTTATTGGAAACTCAACCCAATTCAGAGCAAACTATTTTAATTTTAATTCACCTGTTGAATTGGATTTGACTGATAGGTTTAGTTAGATATGATATACCTAGTAATAGACTAATCTACTCTAACCTTATAAACATAGTGCACTAATGTACAACATCTGGCTAGTTACAGTAAATAGGAAGCAAATTTAATGTTTGATAATTGTTCAAGCCTTTTAATTACTGGTTTCTGGTGTATATAGAATATGTCTCTATTTTTCTAATTTGACCACGTTATGTTTTTATAAATCTATATATATTTAATATAATATATGGTTTCTGTTAATTTATACACAAGCAGGTTTTGGAATATATAGATTATATATATATTTAAAATAATAATGTTAACTATTTTATTATACACAACATTACTTTGTGCAGCATTGTGTTCTTTTGTGTTTATTAACTTTTATGCCAAACTCAACTTATAAATATTGATGCACATTATCTATTTTAAAATCAATGTAGAATTTTTGGACCAGGAACTGATCCCTCAACACTACTCATCGTATTCTTAGGGGTGATCTTTAAGGCTCCGCCAAGTCAAGTTCGATGGACATGAAACCTGGCATGCTTGTTCCTTGGACAATTGTGCATTGTTTGACAGACTATGATTTTTGACTGGACATTACAACCTTATTAACTAAAACATTTTAAGAAAGCAGATTTTTCATTGGCTAAGAGCTGAAATTTGTACTAGAATTTTTACCCTTAGCCAATAATAACCCTGCATTCTTAAAAAATTTAAGTTTAACTCTATTATTGAAAACAAATTTACCAAGCAAAACAATTGGAGGTTTGATATTTTTGTGCATTGTGTAGCATTGTGTAGCAAAAGTAATTGATCAAGATTAGTAAATTATATAAAGAATTGAATTACTGCCTATATATTTATATTATTGTTAACAGTGTTGTGTATTTTAAATGTGTTTTTAAATCTGTGATAAATGAAATAAAACCTATTTTATACTGCTGATAAACAAGGTCTACTTGTATTTTTGTTTTGAAGAAAGAAATGAAATGGGGTTTAACGTATACACTGACTGAACAAATGAATACAGGCATATGCTATACAGTGTGCAATAAGGAAAATTTTGTCTGTACAGCAGCACTATAGCCTACACTTATTTCTATTTCCAACTGTGAAGGGTTCATTTACGTGTACGCTAATGTGGACATGGAATCTTGGTTTTTAAACCCATCCAAATGACTAGACATGGTTCCTTGTCAGGCCCTCCGTCCTACACCACTGACAATGGAAAACCTCGCCGGAAAATTCAGAGGAACTTTCTCGACCAACACTAGGAGCGAAAATGGGTATGTCCGGTGGAACACAATAACTCTCCTTCTTAGGTAGAATGTTCGGACTTGCTGTAGGTGTCCATTAGGTGGATTTCTTCATTGAGGTGGGTGATAAGCATTTTCTGCTTAGACTAGCAGCTTCTGTCTGTAGAATGTTCAAAATTTGTGTTTTTTATTTTATTTAGAAAAATATCTTGACTGAGTTAAATGATAAGCACTTTCTGCTAAGGCCAAGTAGCTGTCGTCGTTTCTTTAGGTAATATCTTATTCAGTCAACGAATGTGCTGTAGTCCGAGAGCCACCTTTTTCACTTGATTGTCACTATTCGTAGGATTAAGAGAATTCAATTCTGAAACATTCAATCACATATCCCCTTTGACTATTTTCTGCTCAGGTTTAAGCAATTTGATTAGTTGAAACTTTGGAACACGATAACTTAGATTCTATGAGAGGGAGGATGAAACTTGGTGTATAGTTTCATTACATTTATACCCTGATTAAGTTCAATAATAAGCATGGTAAAGTAATTTGATTGTCCAAGGAATAGGTCGTCTGTCCATCCTCGTGAGTTTCCTCCCACAGGAATTTTTAAAATGATAATAAATACATTGATTAATTTGTTTATTGTATGAATAAGACAGCATACTATTTGTGATGACACCAATACAGAATATAGGTACAATAAGTGTTAAAACTATTCTGTATTAATGGTGAAATACAATATATACAATATGAATGTACAATAAGTACTAACGATGTGTAAATATACCAAGATCTGGTATATATTTATACGGTTTCTTTCTATCTGGCCCCCTGAAAAATAATAAATATCACAAATTAGTTAATTATTTCGCAAACTGAATCTTATGCTTATTGTTACCTGTGGAAATGACAACAGGTATGAAAAGGTATATATATATATTCATTGTTAAATACAGAGTTTGTTGACCGTTGGTCTCGTTGATGCAGGGGTGTGTTCAGAAATTTAAACATTGGAGACAATATCAAGTTTGACCTGAGGTCTGGGGGTTTAACCAATAATATTTCTGCTCATTTAGGTGCATACATTTATAGGATTAGTGTGGAGTGAGGCCAAAACAGTGGCAATGTGTCCCAATTTTGTTTGACATTATTTTGATGAACATAGAAAAAAATATGCTCTGCGGGAGCAGGGGGGAATCATGACCACCACCCCCCCATCTGACTATGTGCCTGTGATGACACTTATATGGCTATTGTTGACTATCTAAAGTGGAGTTTAAAAATTTACCTGGCAACTCTAGTGAATACTTTATCTTTAGGTATTTCAACTGGCCCGGATAGGTCATGTGATTCTGTTTCTAAATAAACATCGAAACACATGAGAAGTCGTTGAAGTTGATTGGATAATAGGTTATCTCGGGTTTTAGGTTTGATTAGTTCTGTATAATGTACATTTACTTCTTCTTCTAGTTCCTGTAAATATATTAATACATTAAAAGCTAAACTTGGTCTCTCCCAAACACAGAGTTAATTTTAATCAAAATAAACAAAGGGTCTCTTAAACACAGCAGTGAAACCGACCTGCTGGAGAACTTATATGTCAGTCAAATTAATTGCCATAAAATTAGAATTCCAAAGAATTTCAACTTACAACACAATAAATACCATTAAACACCTATATAAATACATTTTAACTCACAACATAATAAATACCATTAAACACCTATATAAATACATATCCAAATTTAGATAAATTTCTACAAATAAACAATTGGCAGATTTCTTTCTCACCAATGCAAAAAGATATGGCTCATATATAGTTTACATAAAATTGTTTTATTTGAGCAGAATTTTGTGACAAATCGTCACACCAATGGAATGGGGTCTGTGGCCTTGTCACAATACTTCAATTTGTTTTATTTCAATTCATCCAGATAGGTCAAGTTATTTGGTTTGAGTCAATGTAAGCAGGAGAAGTTTGCCTGATCAATTCAAAGCCAAACTGCCATGAGTTCTTTAATGGGCTGACAAAATTATGCATTTTGTGGAACTTTGTTTTATTGTCTAAATGAATTGTTATTTTGAAAGGTGAATCTTGAAATATTATTTATATATATTAAATCCAACAGTTAAATTTTCATCTCAGAATTTTTGTTATAATATCAAAATCTCATAAACAGACCTTTATATGGACGTCATTTGTAGCATTTCTTTGAACTTGCCAGGAAATACTAACAACAAACAATGGTGGTACTGTAGGATAGTCAGCACCTACTACAACCTGACAAGTTAATTTAGCTGAAATATTTAAATATAACAATCTTCAAATTTTTGATGAAAAGTCAAAGAAATGTAGTACATTTATATGTATAAGTGGTTGAAACACCTTTGATAAAGTTTCCAACAGGCAATTATAACAATTGTACTTAAATAAACAATTATACTCCATTTAACAAAAAATAGATTTCATTCCTATTTAATTGCAACTCTGAATAAATTTGTTCAATTAAAAACTTCTAATGAATTCATGCTGCCATCTTTATTTGAGTTCATAGAAAGAATAATTCTGAAATGTTTCCATTGATTAAGAGTATATTTTTTTTGTGTTGATATGTGCATTAACATCATTTTTATGTATATATTGTTAACTTTTACAAATATTTGTGTACAATATGAAATGATGTATCATACCTGAACCTCTCTCCATTACAGCTGTAAAGAAAATATCAGTTTCTGATACCATGTCTCCTTCTGTTATATTTTTGGTATAATCTAGACTACAAAAATCTTCATATGTAGATCGTTTCCAGGATACAAGCCGACTCAAGACTTTAACAGGAAACATATCGATAAGACAACTACTTACTGGTATACTGTTTCTCTCTGTTCAAATACAACAAATAATCTTAAGTCTTTAGTTTAAATATAAACCTAACAATATATCATTATAACATAAAACCCAACATATTTATAACTAATTGATATGAATATTTTACTGCCATTTAAATATAAAAAATTTCAGTCATAACTACTGTAAGGGCATCAGGATCCATGCTTTACATAAAAGTTTTAAAAATTAGCTATTTAATTGACATTAAAATGATGTCATATAAAAGCTAATTTCAAGTAAACTAAATCATTAACAACGTAAATAAACATGCGAATCGATTATTGTACAAAATGACTGTAATAATATACTCTAAAAATCAGACATAGAAGTAATAACATTGCAAACTCATTGAGTTATTGTTATAATATATACCTACCTAATGTTGCTAGTTGATGTAGTAATGCCAATCTAGCCTTTAATCTTTTACGTAACTGTTTTATTGTTTGTTGCATATAAGCCGAACTAAAAGAACTTCTAACAGTAACAGGGTTACCATCACCAAGAAACTGTAAACCTCCCAACCATTGTGTCCACTGATATGGTCGACCTACTTGACTTACATAATCACTGAACTCATGTAGACTGAAAATAAATAAAATGATATCCTATTCAATTAACATGAAATTACAAGCAATCAGTTAAGTACATTAATGGAAACAATGTCAATTTTATTACTTATAATACACCAATGGTATATTTTGCTGTTAAGTTGTCCTCCATACACATCCAGGCTCTATATATCATACATGAAGAAAACTGCTATCATGCCACTATACAGTGTGCTATGAGGGAAATTTTTGCCGGACAGCAGCGCCACCACCTACTCTTACTCTTGTATCAAATTCCAACTACCATGGGATCTTTTACGTGCTTGCCAATATGTACACGGGACCTCGGTTTTTTATCCCATCCAAACGACTAGAGAGCCCACTGTCCTGCACCACTGACAAGGGAAATCCACGCCATAAAATATCCCGACCAACAGGCTAGCGAGCCAACGTCTTACCCACTTAGCCACCACGAACATGAATCAAGTTCAATCAAACTAGAGCAGTGAAAAGCATGGCATCTGATACCACTTCCTAAGAACAGAAAGGCTTGTTGACTTACCCCATTCTCTGAAGTTCATACTGATTGGCTGGATTGGGTGTGTTGTTACCATGGTCACCAGGATACAGTTCATTTAATATAGAGTCTGGCAACAGTAAATCCCTTTAAAATATTAAATATAAATACCTAACAATGAAGATAGACACAATAAATTATATTCAAAGCAGGGATGTTAGATCGAACACATGTGCTGTTAAGTGTTGGGAGTCTGGTTGCCTGCCGAATTTAGTGGGTATTTTCAAGTATCTATGTTTTCCTTCCACAGTAGTGAGTAAACACCCCTGCACGCAAATTAATGAAATAAAATATACCATGGCCATCCTAAGACAAACTTTCTTGTGTTGAATGGATGTTAATCCCATTTATTTGATAATAAAAGTATATAAGTTCACTTTTCAAAAATCTATACAAATTGTTTATGTATTATAAGTATTTGATATTCAAAGACTATGACGAAGTAACTATGTGCTAAAGGTACAGTGAGTGTGTGGAAGGTTGGGAGATACAGTTTGGGGAAAAAAGGAAACGATTCTTCAAAGAATCCAAAGGTAATTTAATGATCCCCAATCAACAAAATTGTATTAAAACCAAGGTTGTTGGTTCCAGGATGTGTTGTTGGAGGGCTACCTTGGCTTCCAGTCCGTCAACGTATCAATTTTAAAATACTGTCTATTACGTATTATGCTCTAAATGACGATTCTTCACCTCAATACCTTAGAGACAATCTCTTAATTAAGCCTTTTTCAAAAACAAAGTCCAGTGATAAATCTTTCGCACTCAGTGCTCCAAAGTTATGGAATTCAATATCATATGAAACCAAAAACGCAAATTCTATTAAAGGTTTTAAAAGTATCTCAAAACCGAACTTTATAATCACATATACAACCGATTGAATAAGGTGCTAGCTGTGTTTGTATCAAACTTTTACCATGTGTACTAAATAATGTTCTCTGTTTTTGTTTATGTCTTTTTTATGGATTAATGTGTTGTGATTGTTGTAATTCTATATTTGTTGTACTTATGTAAAGCACCCGAGAGCAGCTCGCTGAGTTGAATTGTCGGTGCTAAATAAATTATTTATTATTATTATTAAACGAGTTTAGTAGAAATATGTGTTAAATGCTTACCCTCCTGATATAGAATTGTGTACAGCATCTAAACAACTTGGTATAACTTTAACTTGTACTGTAATTATCTCTAGTTGTAGTAAATAGGAAAATGTAAGTAGTAGTTTACTTCCTTCTGTAAAACAAAAAACAAATTATACACACTACAACCATTTCACAGATAACTAAGGAAATAATAATCTCCTAGGGGAAGCTATTCATAAAAACTAATTTTGTATAATAAGAATTCAGCCTTTTCATTGGATAAAAATCCTATTACAAATTTGAGCTCTTAACCTATGAAAAGTCGGAATCCTTAAAATATTTTAGTTTAAGATTTCGTGAATAAAATACTTTAATTCATTATAAGAATAATGATAATTATGCAGTGCAAATTAATTGAAGCTGTACACAGCTTAGTTTTCTGTCAAGAATTGTCCTCGATAGATAGATAGTAGTTACTGATGATGACTTTTGAAAAAATTAGTTGAATCATTAGATCATTATCTCACCTTTACAACTAATCTCCATGGCAACCGTTAGGGGATGTTTACGTAGAACTCTTTGTTTCTTGTCAGATCTTCTATCTTCAGTTGTTTTGCGCCGTCTCTTAAATTAATCATTAGAAAATAAAATGGATTTGTAGAAATCTGCACAATTTAAAATTAAGTAAAACAAACAAAGCTTTAACAAAAACATTAAAAAAATTTTTTATGATGAAATGAAATGGGGTTCTGCACTGATTGGCCTAATGAAGACAGAATATGCCATAGAGTGTGATGCTGGATAGCGGCACTATGGCCAATTGTTATTTCAAATTTCTGCTGCCAATGTTTACACAGTTTTCTGTCCCATTCGAATGACTATACATGGTTCCCTGCCAGGCCCTCTGTCCAGCACCACTGACAACAGGAAACCATGTTGGAAATTCCTGATGAACTTTCTCTGCCAACACCCGGATCGAACACAGAACCTCAGGTTAGAGAGCCACGTCTAACTCATTGAGTTACCGTGGCTCTCAAAATTTTATGAACTTACTGTTTTCTTTTCTTGTTCTTCATTATCGCTGTCACTATCTTCTTCTACATAAATATGTAAAAAACAAGATAATTATGTTAGTTACAGAGAAATATATCTACTATCATTTCATATAAACTATCCTTAACACTTCAACCGCAGAGTTTCGGAAATTTCACAATCTCTACAGACCAAGATGTCTGACACCTGTACATAAACAAATTAAGGTGGTGGCTGGAGATCTGGACAATTGTATTTCTGGGAACTACAATTTTGCTGATTTCCAAGATATCACCTTGAAGTGTTGGTCATTCCCACATATGTCTGACTTCTTACGTCTGGAAATAAGTGAGGGTTGTAGCCGGACAACCGGTTGGATCCTACTGTAGTCACTACAACATATGCTTATTAAAGTCCTCTTATCATCTGATATTATGAGGGTAGTCAATATTATAACAACTCTTAAAGAAATATGTCTTTTAACCGGTAACATACCTATTTCTTGCACAGACATATCTAAAGTTTTCGCTGAATGAATGTCTCCTTCTATAGTAACTTTCAAATATTTGTCTGAAAATAAACAACCATTATTACACAATCTCTATTCTATAACAAAATAAATGATGAATTAGCTGTGGTCCTATATCCAATATATTATCAGTGTATTGGGCTTTCACAAGAAGGAAAGATTACAATGGATGTAACATCCACCCATATCTACCCATCAGTAATATCTACAGTAATTAAATAAAAATAGGAAAAAATGTAGCTTAGATGATGTTTACTAATCAGATTGCAGTAGGCTAATTAAATACAATTAGGCATGGATAGCATTGATGATGAAGGTAGATTCCAAGTTTCATCAAAATCCATTCATTAGAAATAAAGATAGTCAGTAAAAAGACCAAATTTACATCAAACTTGTTCTCTTGTGCCTAACGAGCTATACTTGATCAAGACTTCAGATTATTACCAGTACCCTATGAATAATACATAATGTTGAAATAGTAATTAAATATAAAAATCGACTTACCACAAGCATCTTTATAAGCTGAAGATTGCATATATAGAACATAGAGAGGATGAGGTAAATGTAGAGCTGTTTGATGTTGTTCTCTAGTCTCATCATACGGCATGTTCAAATATGATTGTACAGGTTTAGTAGCCTGAAATATTTAAATCACATGGGCTTCAAACTTTTCTGCACAGACTTGGCTAATGGAGACAGGTATACGCCATACAATGTGCTATGAGGGAATTTTCCCAAACGGCAGCACTACAGCCTACACTTATTTTGAATTTCTACTGTTTAGGTGCTTTTATGTGCACGCCAATTTCTACATTAAACCTGTTTTCCGTTCTATCCAAACGACTAGACACTGTCCTTGTCAGGCCTTTGTACTGCATTGTGTAGGGGGAAACCGCGACTGAAAATTCTAAGGAACTTTGCCGGCTAACACCATGAGCGAACATTAGACCTCCTGTTTAGTGAGCCAGTCTCTTACTTACTGTGCCAGAGTGGCCCCCAGTCTGCATTATTCAGTCATTATATATACACATAATCCACATAGTAACTTTATCTTTTGACTATTATTTTATTCACTATCATTAAAAGATAATTTAATTAATTTGTTTGCTAGCCAATGCTCTTTAGTGACAACAGAAGGGAGGAATTACCTCCAGAATTGAGTTAAGTTTTGGTTGTAAACTGTCGAGATATTCTTGCTTTGTGTCAATTTCTTTTAATATTTCATCTTTACTACAGGAAACTTCTTTTAATTTCTTAGATAACCTGAAAGATATGAATTATACTGTGTGTACCCTGTTAAAGAAGGCTATCCTCATTTGCATGTATCCAACAATGCATCTAATTTTCACAATCCAAACTGAATTGTACTCAAATTCACTATTCAACATTTAAAAAAGAAAACAAATCCAAAATATCAGCTTTTAACTTTTATTAAATCTGAGGTATGTTATTTCTAATTATGTAAATCCTGCCATTCTGTGAATCACAAAAAGTATCTGAACGGCTTTTTTCACTGTACTAGCCATATTGAAAGCGTTGTGTCAAAATTTATCTCCTTAAAAAGAAGTGAAAAACGCAATTCGTGGCAGCTATTTTTCATTTCTGTTTACAAATCTGCGATAGGGAATAGTGACTTTTGCGTAAACCAAAAATCTGTCGTGACGGAACAAAACCGATTCCTATCTTTCGACTGAAATTTCATGGCCTGCTATACAATTTGTTTACCATGACAATGGTCACAATTGAAGCCACACATCCAATTCAGTCGGGTGGGGGATGTCCGAATGGTTAGCATGTGCGCGCTGTATCATAAGGTCTGTCATTGAGTCAACTAGCGTGGATTCGATTCCCTGGTTGTACGTGGCAAGGAGTAGGGTCGCCTGTCCAACCTCGTGGGTTCTCTTCGGGTCCTCCGGTTTCCTCCCACTGCTAAAAACCCCTATGCGCAAGCGAATTATTGAAATAAAATTGAGCCATATGTTAGTCCAAAAATGACCTAGTTTTTGTCGAGTGGATGTTATTAAACATCATCTCTCTCTCTTTCAAATTCAGTCACCTAAAAATTTCTTTACAATTGAATATCAGTTAAAACAGCAGTAAAAATGGCCAGTTATTGGCAAATACTGATATGCAACAATAACGCAATTATCAGTCGATTCCGATGTTGTAACCAATGATTGACTCATACCTAAATAAAGGTGATGCATTTTTAAATTTTCTGCAACAAAATATAAAATAAACAGAACAGATGTTTAGATCTGCAATAACAAATATAGCAATAGAACTATACCTCTGTCTTTGTTCTAATTCCCAATCTAATCTTGACAATGTCAACTGGTGATCGTCATTTTCAGTTATTTTCTGAAGAATAAAATAATTCAAATAACAGATTTGATAATGTTCAATTAGGCGAACATAACATAATAAAAGTAAATCTTCAATAAAAGTTGGAAACACAGCTGTGGCATCATCAATCATTATTGGGTAGTGTGTAAGGTCAAGGTATAGATAACATTATTTGGAAACTTACAGGTTTAGAAATGTCTTCAGGAGCTTCTTTGTAAAACTGTTCAACTGGCACTAACTCAATTTCTTCATCTTTAGACCTTAAAAAATGTATTGAAAATTGATAATAAATTGATAAATTGATATACATGTCCTAGTGCAAAATTTCTGTCTCCTTCCCAAGCAAGCAGCCGAAAAACCGAGGTCCCGTATACACATTGGCGTGCACGTAAAAGATCCCTTGGCAGTTGGAATTTGATATAAGAGTAGGCCATAGCGCCGCTGCCCGGGCAAAAATTCCCCTCATAGTACACTGTATGGCGTATGCCCGTCTTCATTAGCCTAGATAGAAGCAGAACAGTAGGACGTTAAACCCCATTTCATTTCATTTCACAAGAAAAGATGAATAACAGTGAGCTATGTAGATAAGCATAACTTACTTAAATTCCAAACATTTATTTATCTCTTTTTGAAGATGCATAGCTTCATATAAAAGATTCTGGAGTTGTAAATGATATTGATCTATTCTTTGTTTAGCCTGAAAAATAACCACAGAACCAAATTAAAGATAAATAGATACTTAATATCTATTATAGTCAATCAGGCCTGGAAATAAACATTTTAACTGTACCTAACAAAGTATCAGGCATTAATAAACTTTGTATCAGACAAGCATTATAGTCATTATAAACATCATTAAAAACATTGCAAATTTAAATGCCAGATAAAATGGGAAGTATCAGAGGGATTGTGTCTGACAAAGACTGTATATTTGTCTGATAATGTATGTGACAAGTGCCTTATTTCCAGGCTTGCATTGAATACTTAATTCAAACATTTATAAAACTACAAGTACCCTGAAGAAAATCACTGATTATGTTGCCACACTAACATGCCCAAATCATGTTTTTCGGGGTTGAATTTAATCTATATTTAATTAGTTTTGAACTCAAAATGATACCTCATTTGTAGCTTCTCTGACTTTACGACATCTAAAATGTGATAATCTATTCATCTTCTTTAATGTAACAAACTGTAGAGTAGCCTGGATTCTTTTTTCGTCTAATACAGCATTATTCTAGAAAATACACATAAAATGAAGTCAACTACCAGCCATAAGCTTGATTCTAATTCAAACTATTATTTATCAATTATGAGGAAAAAAATTGTCACAAAATTAACATGAAGAAAAATATCTTAAGAGAGAGAGAGAAATGGGGTTTAATGCCCACTTGACACAAACTAGGTCATTTCGGGACTAACACATGGTTCAATTTTATTTCAATAATTTGCTTGCACGTAGGGGGCTTTAGCAGAGGGAGGAAACCGGAGGACCCGGAGAAATCCCACGAGGTTGGACAGGCGACCCTACTCCTTGTCATGTACAACGGGGAATCAAAACCATGCCAGTTCCCTCAATGACAGCACATGCTAACCATTTGACCATCCAACCACCCCAATATCTTAAGAAAGTAATAAATTGTTTTAATGGCATTTAGTATAAGACAGTAATACTGAATTTTCATGTTTATAAATTTGTGCTAAATGCAGCTAAAATGCTTTTCCCTTATTGAATTAAGTCAAAAATAAAATTGTGTATCTGAATCCATTTTAGGTGTTAATTTGTTTTATGAGGTGACATTTCATTTCAAATTTTACTTCCGAACAATATGTAAAGTCAACTCAATTCAACACTTTATTCATTTGACATAAATCCAATCTGATTAAAATACAGATCTATATTTCGTTTTGTTTTTTTTATACTTTCGATGACCTTCACTACATGAAGATCTGACCGGTTGTAGTGGGAGGGTGTATCAGGGGCCATTCGAGCAGCCTTTGACCCTATGACTACAGACATTTGATTAACCAATCAGCGTTGATGTTTCTAGTGGGATGCCCACCGTTTTGTGCACCACACACAAAGAACTTGCTGCAACAGATCGTTTCAGTGGCTAATCCCTCACATCAACCAGAACGCAGGTTATATAACGACTCTTCCAGATCCTAGTGTAGTAAAGACAAGTAAAACGAAAAGTTGAAATATAAAAAACTGAAACAGGACCTGTGTTTTAAACAGATTGACATAAATGAAAGAGATTTGGCACTTATATAATATTCACATTCTAGCACCAATTTAACACTATATATTAACCTAAATCAACTAAGACATTTTATAACTCTATGTTATATAACTTCACTTTCAAACATTTTAAACATAGTAATGTTATTTACCATCTTGCCACTGACTCGCATGGCTTGTATGTCTGTAACAGCATTTTTAATAACACTGGATGCTCCTTCAAATAAGTCTAAATCTTTCTGTGGGTCTCGTGTATCAACTTCTGTTTCTTCGGCATAAAATAAAGCTGCCCCATCCTAGCAAGATAAACGCCATGATTATTGTAATAAAGACATAAAAGAACAATGTTTATAATAATACTGTACAATGGATTTTATTTAACCAGAGTTGATTTCAAACACACAGAAAAGTTTATAATAACCAAAGTTAAGTAGTTTGTCCATAATCTTGTAGTGACTGTTGTCCAATATACATGAAAATGTGTTTTGTTTTGTTTAGTTTGCTCATAATCGAAGAAATCTGTTTACAATTTAGGACGGTTCAGACAGTAAGCAAGAAGTTTTTTGTGCAGTTTATGAAACCACTCAGCCACTTTAATACATTAGATGTTACAAGACCAATTGAACTATTGAGAACTTTTTCTAATTAAATCTACAAGAATACTTAATTCGTTTAATCAAATTTGCCTAACCCAAGGAATGTACTTTGTACAGCAATTAAGTTAATAATGGTAAATCTTAAGAATTGTAAACCGTATTTTCAGTTCTTCGTTGAATTAGTTAGTACCGTATTCTAATTCCATTTTTACAGAGCATACATGAATGACCCAGACAGTAGCCTACTCGTCACTAGCCTAGATAACAAATCTTACCTCTCAACCCTCCGTGTTTCAAGATAAGAAATGATGCCATTAACTCCAATGTAGCACATGCGGGAGCGATTCGCACCCGGCATTTGTAAACAAAATTGACAGTATTTTTAATCAAAACAACGATTGATTATTGTTATTTATAATATTTCTGCCACATCCAACTACAATTTAGCATATAATCCTAACTGAAACGGGCAAGCGCTGAAATAAGCGTCCGGACACGGACAATGTCCGGGCGAATTGACCCCTTTTGACAGGCCAAATTGCCTTTCGTCCGGACATAATTGTCCGACCGTGTTTTTGTAAAACATTATGTCAAAAATATTTGAGTCGATCGCTATTTATTATTAGACTCGAAAGTCCAGAACCAAAAATATCAATGACCCGAGTCATAGTGAAAATGTTACTATTTATATCTCGGCCGCGTGCAGATAAAATCTTCAATAATTTTTAGAATCGACTCTTTTACGCTGGTTATATCAACGACCCGAGTCATAGTAAAAATATTACTATTTATACATGTATCTCTCTCGGCCACGTGAAGAAAAAATAATGAATAATATTGAGAATCGGCTCTTTTACACTGGTTATTCGAGTCTCGTAGCTAGCTTTGCGTTACTTTCGTATATGATTAGCTCTAAATCACACCTAACATGACATGTAATTATATAAATTATTAGTAATAAAAGTAATAATATTTTAAAATTAGTTTACAAGAAAATGTCCAAGTTGACTATGGATGTAATTAGGGACAGATTTTTTATACGAAAATATCTCACTTTGTTGGACACTTCCAATGTGAATGTAAATAGAAGAGCCGTGAAAACATGTCGAATAAAATAACTTCTTACTTTTCCCAACCCTCGGACACGGATATCCCGGCTAGTGGGACCGTTCCAGAAAATTCAAAGACTGGTACTGTGTCTTAATCTTATGTCTCTCATAAAGACACTTCTAAACAGGGGGCGTCGCCGTCACCAGTTGGAAAAATACAAAAACGAGCCGTAGAACTAGAAAAGTGGATCAAAAATGACTTGGCAGATTCTGAACCATTTACGACAACTCAAGATGTCTATTCTTTAGTTAAATTTGAATCTTAATCAGAGTTTTTAGGATTTAGTCCCCAGCCCCACCAAAGCGATTAATGACATTATTATATGAACTATAAAGTTGTATTCCATATACATATAAAAACTTAAAACTCCAGGTTGTATGTGAGTCATCAATTTATTTTATTAATAAATGTATGTATAATAATATATATAAACATAGTAAATTTCAACAGTTTTTTGGTTTAATATACTTTATAAAGTATTTGTCAGGCTGAAAATCTGAAATGTCCGGCCGAAAATCAGTTCAGCCTGACATGATGTCAGGCTGAACCTTAGCAGTTATTTCAAGGCTTGGAAACGGGTACAAATCGTCGTTTTTAAAATCGAGGCGTTAAGCCGTTACTAAGACCGCCATCTTTTTAAACGATACGCTGTCATCATGAAGGCGGGGCTAAATATAAGGCTTTTATAACAGCCAATCAAAAGGGCAATCTTAAGCATTTTAACTATGAGTATGAATGGATTTTGATGGCGGTGATTGATTGTCAGACAAAAACAACACTTCATTAATTAAAACGCGAATATTTGGAGTTAGGCGACAGTTGTGCCACTACATTGGCCTCTGTAAGTTTAATTAATCATAATAGCATAAACTCATCTTATTTTAAAGATGTAACATGCATTAATAAAGAAATTGAGTTTGCCACTTGGAACTACCGCATCCAATCGTAGCTAAAAACAAACACATCAGTATATCTCAACGTTTTAGCTACGTTCTCGTAGCTAGTCACTAGCCTAGTTCAGACTAGCCTTGTCCAAAGTAGTTCAGCTCTGAAAGTGACTACAACAAGTACATGTAGTATATGTCAACAATGATTATGAACAAGAAACCAAATCTGTACGTCTGCAGTATCACTATCATGATGAGTATCATGAGTATCGTATGTACCTTCGATGGTTCGACTCTGCTCTTTTTAACATCTGGGGATGAAGATTCTGTTTTGATTATTCTCTTTTTCTTTCTATCTTTATCTCCATCTTTAGTTATTGATGCCATGTTTATCTTTTATCAAATCATTGATTAAAATCTATGGAAAGTTACCGTACCGGTAGATTTTTTTTTTTTTTTTTCAACCGGAAGTAGTGTTAATTTTACATCACAGCTAGAAATGTTTGTTTTCGTATAAAGTAAGCAAAATTCGAAATTTAACCCATTTGAATAGATAATAATGATATGTTAAACTTATATCAAATATATATAAAAGTAAATTCATAAATATCATAGAAAAAATTAATTTAGACAATACTACAGTTACCTCCCATGCATCATCAAATTTACATGCAAAGCCACAGCAATTCCTCCGATAAATTTATGTTTTCTTTAGCATACGCGTGTTGTTGTTTTTTTGTTTTGTTTTGTTTTGTTTTTTTAAGAGAAGAAAAAGACATTATTGATATCGCGTAAATAATGCTAATAAATTGCCGTTGCAACGCCATACAATGATACATTATCCAAGGGCGAATCCAGGATTTTCAGAAAGGGGTGGGGCGTGCTGCCCCAAATTGGGAGTGCGAATCCCGACCCTCTTGGTGGGCGGACTGACGGGCAATCAACCAAATCACCAACCGGAATTTGTTTCAAATTAGGTGTGAACAATTAGGGTAATGAAAGGACAAATGCTATTAATGTTCATCGTTCTGCGACCTTCCGTGACGGAGTTACCCCCCCCCCCCCCCACACACACACATACACACACCCTTTTTAAAAAATCTATTAAAATAATAATTCGGTAAATAATGAAACAGGTATACAATCAACCAATATTCGTTCTGCACCCCACTATAACATGCGTCTAACATACCGATCAACCAATATTCATTTGGCAACCCACTCCAAGAATGTGTCGCTAGTTTATGTTCTCGCATGACTGGCTGCCCCCTGTACCCCAAATGAATAGCCCCCCCCCCCCTACACACAAAAAAACCCCACAAAACTTTGTTATGTACGGTGTATAACTTTCGGCAGAGCACCATAGACTATAGAAGGCTAGTGGGTGACGATGGGTTAAGAAAGATTAAAACAGCCCTACGAACATTTAATACGGATTTTATTCATACGTTTCTTTTAATCTTTATTGATGATTATTTGATTATTCAGTTCCGTCATCATCCATCATCATATCGTCAGGTCTAACTGGACTATTATTTGGATTTGGACCAGCATTCGTCGGATCCTTTACATCAAGATCTTGAAGTTTTCTCTGCATTTTTCTAAATGATTTTTTCTCTGACCATGGAATAGGGCGGTTTTCACGGGGACCCTGATATGAATCTTCCCATACAATAGGAAGCGTTTCAGCACTGTCCAATCCCCTGAGGAGTTCTGCTCTAGATTCAAGAGTGTCGGTCGCATCTGGAAAAGGCTCTTCGTATTTCACACAGGTTTGTGAATCTGGACTATCCAAAGATTTGGAGGAGTGGATGGATTCAGTGTCATCTCCTTTGGTCAATCCATTGGATTTCAAAACAAAGTTAGATGGCCCATGTCTGGCCCCAGAATGACTGTCAGCTAATTGACTAATCTTATCAAAATGTTCTTCAAACTCTTCGTCGCTTCCCAGATCAAGACGCAGTTCACCTGCCAAATCACGAGAATAACGGTATCCAGTGTAAACCCCACATAGGCGTTCATAACTTCGTATATCGGTAGGACATTGGCCCACGTCAGGTTTGCTACGATTTTTGACCTTGGAATAGTTGTTGCGATCTTGATTATCTGAAAATACCTTACCACCGTGACCCTTTAAGCAATTTATATGTTCCAACGACATTTGGGCTACAACCCGGGCTGTTTTGGTGAGTGTTTCAGCAATGTCCTGAACAGCATCTGACTCCATCACTGCTCTCTCGGCTAATGTCACGGCACAATTAGCTCTTATTTCGGCTTCGTGGGCTTGACACCTGGCGTGATGGGCAATTAAACTTATTTCTCTTGAACGGCGAAAAACTTCTTCGACATTGAATTGACCTTGTTCGTCCCGTGTTTCCATGATTAGATCTAGACACGAGATATTAAAATTTCGAACATTTAAAAATTTGCTAAAGCATGACGTAGTTGTTGTTTACGTACAATATGACGTATATCCACGGAATTTTGTTCTATTCTTTTAATTCTTGGAGCTTGATATATAAAATGTAAAAAAACCCGAACTGTTGCATTGTTATTTCTGGTAAGACAACCATCTCAACTACTGAGATAGATAAGAAGAGAATACACAACGTGAAAGGGCCAAGGGGTATTTAACAAGTCAATGAACAATTAAAAATAGGCCTACTAGACGATCACAAGGCTATTAAAATTTGTAGCAGAGAAGAGAGAGTATGTGTCACATGTTGGATGTGGGGAGTTTTCCCGTGTATTTTCCACATCTAACCAGCAACTGCATAGCACTGCAAAGTGCTACAGCTCCGGTATCATCTGAAAGAGCTATGACCCCTGTTCCAAAATTCTTGTGAACCCGACAGATGCTATGATTTTTAACAGATGTTTTTCTTCATTTTGATGGTGGGGGGGGGGGCAACATTTCGTTCTGGAGTTACATTCCCTTTTCTGAAAACGTTTGTGAATGTGAGATAACTATTGGTGTGAAGCATTGAGATCACAAGAGGACAAAACATAAATATTCAGCATTCAGCAATCGTTCGTCTCAAAGTTACGCTCATTTTCTGCCCCCCCCCCCCCAAAAAACCCCCAAAAAACCCGTGAACATGATTTTAATGCATTTGTTTCAAATTAGGTGTGAACAATTAGGGTAATGAAAGGACAAATGTTATAAATGTTCATCGTTCTGCGACCTTCCGCCACGGAGTTACCCCCCCCCCCCCTTCCCCACACACACCCTTTCCGATAGAAGTCCGATTTTTTGAAAGAATCCTAAATTAAACTGTTGTCATGACAAAACTGCTCCGTGGCGTATTTCCGCCCTTTTTGTGGCTATATGTTTATATCAGTACTGTGTGTCTTATCTCACATCAAGATTAAACATCGCGCACATAGATGCATATCATTTGTGCTGAATAAAACAATAAGCCATTGTCATAATGACAATACAAATTTTAAGTTATGGTCAAAGCTTGCCAAGAACAGAAGTAATTTAAGAATATCTAGGCATTTCTCAGGTTAATACAAATTACTTTTCAGGGTTAGCAGTACTTAGCAATTAACTTTGACCATGAAATGTTTAATGGGGATATTGGTCTGATAGCATATATCATCGTCGTGTGACTAATTCTGTACGCGTTAGATTATATAATGTCATTAAGTCAAATGGCGTGACTTTGATTCCCCGTAGGAGTTGAGTCACTTGTCCAACCTCGTGTATTTTCTCCGGGTCCCCCGCCCCCACAGCTAGAGACCCATACGCGCGAAACTTCCTGGATTATGGCCCCTGATTGTACAAAAAAAAAAAACCCGCGAACTTAGCTTGCGGACCCTCATCTAGATGTCGCAATTTTTATCCGACTTTAAAAATCGTTTAAATAATATTAATATATTATATCATCGTTACATCCTGATGATGATTGAGTTCGAATTTCGTAAAAATCGAAACGACACTGAACGACAAAACGGTCGCTTCATATGGTGTAAAAGTGTGGGACCCTCTCTCAAACTCAAGGGGTTACAATATTTGTCTGATTTTGATGGAACTTAAAATATAAGTTTATATCCCAAAGATCTCAGTTCATTTTGATAATCACGCATTTCAGACCATATATTTACTGGATTGTGGCCCGTGATTAGACGAAAAATCGCCCTTTTTTTTAGCTTGTTCTCTATCTATCTCTTGCAAAGGGCGTACTATCTTGCATGGCAACAAACGCTGTTTTTTGTTGTTGTTGTTTTTAAGTGTTTAATTAAGCAGTAATTAAGTAGGTCTACAATAATCCTAACATGAGTACTATTAACAATACGACAAAGTGCTTTTCATAATCGGTTAAGTCCGGATTTAATCACTCTTGGTATTCATTTACATAGAACTTTGGTACGGTAACGATTTTCGTGTCCAATGAAATCACGATAAATTTACACACCCCCATTGACGTAAATCGTGTTTTCTCGAATGGAAATAAATATTAGATAAGGTCCTGGTCGCAAATATAGATCAGTTGTAGTCCTGGTACGTTATTTATTATCAGACTAACAGTGCAAATACTTGAGGTTATTTTTAGCTTGTTTTTCAACAATTTTATGAATATTATTATTTTATTTTTGTTTAGATTTTAGTTATCTCCCTTTTCACCACGCTGGATTGGTCACACAATACATCATAGTATAGGGAAATGGCGCTTACTCGAGTACATGGGATGAGAACTTACTATTATTTATCTGTAGCAAGAAAATCACTACGCTCATGTAGCTTTCAACAGAAGTTATTCAAGTCCTCAGCAGCCTCTCCAAATGTACATGTGAGTTCAAGTATCGAGGAACCAGGCAAACATGCCAGAGAATCACCGCCACCGGCTACGACTAAGAGACATCCGAACATTGATTTGTCTTTCACGAATGCCAGAGAAGCCTACAGAAGTAAACGCACGTCGGAATTAATTCGCTCCCTCGTAGTCTTCAATTTATGTTCGATAAATGCCCTTGTAGACCACCAGGCTTTGGTAAGTACACCTTTTTGTGTATTATTTTCATTTCGAGCGATTTGACATTTTATTTTGGCAATGTTCCAAAAATACCTATCTATTCCATTGATGAAAATAATAATACACAAGGTCACGAAGAACACGAGTCAAACTCAAATACATAGTATTTATAGCTACAACAGGGCAATTAATAATTTAATTTTATTTGATATTTATTTGCTATCCAAAAGTGTGTACTATTAATCAAAAATAACAACTACGAACTAGGCTAGTTGTATTACTGACCTAGCCAGTTGCGCAGATTAAAAATAGAGAAATGAATAGGCCTAATAGTAATAGTAATATGCTCCATTTTTAAGTTTATAGTGACGTGAGTCTTGAGTTATTATTTACGTTTCAGTTTAACTACAGTCGTCGTGATAGACAGAATTTATTACGAACCTTTGGCTTCACATAAAATTTTTTGATGGATTAGGCCTAAAAAAAAAACCCAGAAAATAAACAAATCGAAAGTAGATACATATATGCACCGATGATGCAATAGCATTTGACAAGTGCAGTAGGAACTGAAAGGTCTGTGAAAGAAAACCAACCGTATCTCATTGAACTTATTTAAGGAAGGGTTATTTTTCAGTTTATGTTTCATGTATATCTAATAAAGTATCTCTCTCTGAAAAAAAAAGAAGAAAGCTGAATCTTATAATTTATAAAATCTGTTGCATCTCACTAAGAAAGTAAACAAAATTAATTTTGAATGATGTTATCATATTCACTATAACCTTAGACTAATAGAAATTTTCATTCATTGGACCTACTTATGAGTAAGGTAATGGAAATCCCTTTGACTTCGTAAAAGGAAGTTTTAGTGAAATGAAATGGGGTTTAACGTCCTACTTTTCTGCTCCTAACCTGGGCTAATGAAGACGGACATACGCCATACAGTGTGCTATGAGGGAAATTTTGCCCGGACAGCGGCACTACGGCCTACTCTTATATCGAATTCCAACTGCCAAGGGATCTTTTACGTGCACGCCAATGTGTACACGGGACCTCGGTTTTTCGTCCCATCCGAACGACTAGACAGCTTTCCTTGTCAGCCCCTCCGTCCTGCATCACTGACAAGGGAGAACCACGCCGGAAAATCTGGATGAACTTTCTCGGCCAATGCAGGGATCGAACACCCGACCTCCAGGCTAGCGAGCTAGCGTCTTACCCACTTAGCCACGTGATCCTCAAGTTTTAGTGAACATGATTAGTGAACATAAATGGTCTCTTAAGTCTGCATACATGTACAATCTAATTTGAACATGCCCAAATTAATCTGTTTATCAGCCCTTAAATGTAGAATAGCTATTCTGTAATTAATGTGGGTTGTTTTGTTTGGGTTGTTTTTGTTAAAGAAATGGAAATTAAATGGAGTAATAATATAACCATTCTGTTAAATTCACAAAACATTTGATTGTTAGACATGTTTCCTTTAACTAATCATGACTTTCTAGTTTCAAACACCATATCATCTAACTTTGATGCTAATTCCATGTTTTCAAATACCATATCCAAACTTGAAGCTAATTCAATGCTTTTAAACATCAAGCTAATTCATGCTTTCAAACACCACATATTAACTTGAAGCAAATTCCATGTTTAATATCAAAAACCTTCCGCAGGATACACTTGGTTGTTTGAAATAATTTTGAAAAATTGATTTTAATAGGATTGTTATGGTGTAAGGAAGAACAAGAACCTTATGAAATTTCAAAATTTTTTGATCCATAATTTTTAGTTCTTATTTTGACTTTTAAAGCATGTAACTCAATACAGGACAAGTTGTCGATAGAAATTGACAGCATTATCCCCCAGGTCTCAGACTACATTAAAATTTATAGAATCTTGTGAATGTGATACACATAAATTTTTAAAAGTTGTTGAGATTGTTTACCTGTTTAGTTGGGTATAAGGAAGAACCCTGTCAAATTTCAAAACATTCTGATCAAGGTCAGATTTACCTTGGGGGGTGGGGGGGTCAGGACATGCCATTGAGGTGAGGTTGGGTGTTGATTTAAGAAAAGAGTCTAGGTCCAGTAAAGGAATCCAACTCAAGATGAAGAATAGTCAAACTCACAAAATATCAAAACTGTACAGATTTGGAAAATTCCAAAGATTCCAAAGAGTGTAACAAGAAAAAAGATTTCAGAGGAAAAATTATCTGTATTAATGTTTGAATGATCTCACATAGCCTATGCAATAGCCAGGAGTTAAAATGGGCGCCCCCGGTTGTGGACCCAGAGAACGACCATCATATTTTGAGATCTAAATTAGAATCTCTTGGTCAACCAATTTTGCGATGGAATTTTTTTTAAGAAAATGGTGAGATTGTTGATTTGATCATCAGTTAGAATGCGATTAAAATTACAAAAATTATAATTATTTTGTTCGTATTTTTGACTTTTAACATTTTGTGAATGTGATACTGGACAGACAATATTATTCTCTATGGTATTCTTTAAAACTTCCTAAACAGGATTTGTTGACAATGATTTAGAAGGTAGCACGGATGACATTGACAGGCCTCTGACTGTCAGTCAGTTTTATAATATAATATAATTATTACGATAAAGTATTTTGACTGCCTTTGATATGAGTAACTGGGGCATTATAATAGGCTATATATATAGTAATAGGAGCTACTGTGCATAAGTGTTCTTTATGGGGCATTGTGTTGTTATAACTTAAAAGTAATGCTTCACTAATTTATTACAAATATTGTGGTTATGTTTTAAATAAAGGTCATATTGATGCAGTATTGGTTGAACACTTTAGTTTTTGCCCCATGCAGCTATTGTACTCTGTGTATTCATCACTAAACTTTCAAACTGCAAACAGCCAAATTATAGGCATGCATCTTGAGTACATATTGTGACATCTTCTAAATTTGTAGAAAAATGATTAGCAAATTTCAATTACCGATACCTCAGAAGATGAAAACAGATATGAAATGGAACTTTTAATGCGCAAAATATCGACTTTGTGCCCGTTTGGTGCCAAATGCGCTTTGCCCAATTCATGGTGTAAACACAGCTAATTAGACTAAAGGCGTTTTTACGAGAAAACAAATCGGTTTCGATCACCTATCTCGTTTTGTACAATGGCATAGGTCTCGAGTTGGTATTCGAATCGGTTCTCGTAAACGCGATGAATTGCCTCGCAAGATGGCTGAAGACTGAAGAATTGAGGAAAAATGTTTAAAAAAATCACTTTTCTTTATTATGTTCTTGGCGACACCGCCCAAAAATAAAAACGAAAAGTTGTACCAGTTGACTGTCCCCAAATGCCCCGTATTTTTATTAGGAATGTCCATAATATTCATATTTTAACGTGAAATTCAAAAGATTTGCATAATCGATTTGGCAAATCGTCGTGGTAAATACGACAATTAGGTGAAACCGATTAGGCTAATTTTTGCCGTAAATGTGTTTGGAAAGGAAATGCAAATCGATTAGCCCTAATCGGTTTCTCGTAAAAACGCCTTAAATTTAAAGGACCAAGATTGTTTTTTGTCCTCTAATAAGAGAGTATATTTATACTTCTTAATACATGAAAATCACCCTCACCAAGAAACTAAAATGTATTTAACATATTTAAAACCACTGTATACAAATTACTGAAAAGTATGCGATTTTGAATTAATCTCCTTGGTAACCATTAAAATATTGTAAGTTAGGCAATGGTAGACTTTAGAATCTGTTTACCAGTCAGTCTACAAGCCATACAGCTAACATCTGTCATCTGGGTTATCTCAGGGTATAGGATTAAAATAAATATCTATAACAGATTCAAATTTCACCCTCAAGTTTGTCACAGATTTTGCAAAGAATCTATTCTAAACATTCCCAATGTAGACTATAGTTAAAGGAGCTAAATCGCTAACATTTGGGACCTAGAAATTGACAACAGTGGGTCGCAACGCATATAATACTGTAATATGAATGTATATAAACTGATTTACATTCAATTGTTTCCGTTTTAACTCCAATATCAAATCAGTTATGTTCGGCGAAATAACCCAGCAGTATCAAGAGAGTGCAAATTTCTAACGTCAGGTTATTCTAGTCTACATACGCCGTTTGATTTGGTGCAATGTGTCTAGCCTCGTCCCTCGAGTCTCTTGATACAACTGGGGCTGAAGCGCATTATGGTACACGATTCGTGTACCAATGGTAAAATGTTTATTTTGTCTTAAATATTGGATATCAAAAGCCCATCTTTTCCCGGTAAGATCACAACATGAATGTTGATTTAATTTGACAAATAAATCATGTTTTCAATGTTGAAGATTTTGGATGATATTGAGTTAGAGACTTAGCTACTTTAACTCACATCAATCGAAAATACTTATTTTACCAATTTGCGAAGAAATCCTCTTTATGTTTGTTTTTTGAAAGTTATGTAATAGGCTACATGTATATCATTTAGATACTATTGCAGGATTAAATATTACTTTGTAATAAAAATGATTACAATTTGATCTTACCTTTTTATCATTTTGGTATTATTTTACTCTCCTTCAGCTATTAAAATGGTCAAGGAAAATCTTGGGGAAGAATTTATTCCGGACATTCATGAAAGGGACATTTTATGGGCATTTTGTTGCAGGAGAGGATCATGAAACTATTAAACCAATGATTGGTAGAAATCGACAATTTGGTGTCAAAGCTATACTGGATTACAGTGTGGAAGAAGACATGTCTTCAGAAGATGCAAAAAAAGCAGAAATGATGTAAGTTTAAAGGGACAGTTCCCCAAATTTCACTTTTGTTGAAATTTACTAATATTAAACAGGCATTATAGGTTTATCCCCATTTTTCACACTGTCTTGTCCCCAACAGCATTTCCAGCAGGCTTCTATGACTTCACAATAGCTAAATATTTTTGTTATATTTCTTGTTATTAATATTATTGTACAGTTATGTTTTTAAATATTTGTAGGAGTTGTATATCTGAAGACCAGCCTGACGACCTCCCAGGTAATTAAATAATAACATAAGATATATCAAACACTAAGCTTTCACGTACTACATGTATACCTACTGGATTTCATGTTCTTACATAAACCGGACACATCAGGAACCCACATTGTCTTATAATGTAAGACAAGAAATTAATATGAGTAAGAAATTAATGTGTTAAATATTCGTATTAACAACAAAAAAGAGTATTGAGCACTGACCAGTTACCTTAATAATTCACTTGTGAGTTCAGAGGTTAAAGGCACAACAATAAGCGGGTGGTCAAATGGCTTAACATGTACGCTTTAGATCTGGTTGGGTGACTGAATGGCTTAATGAGTGCACTTCAGGTTTGTCGATTGAGTTCAGAGGAGTGGTTTCCATTCCTCACTTGTATGTGACAGGGTCGTCTGTCCTACCTATGTTTTCTTCAGTCTGCCCAGTTGCACCTATGTGCAAGCATATTATTTAAATAAAATTGAACCATGTGTTAATTCAAAAATGACCTAGTTTGTGTCGAGTGGATGTTAAATTCCATTTCTCAATCTCTCTCATGAACCAGTAAAATCTCTCCTTTATTTTCTTTTCTTTGTGTAGAAACTGGTGCTGGATCAAAATTTCGAGCACATGAAGAGTTTGGAGATCGTCGTGAAAAGGTGACGTCTGCCAGAACTTATTTTTATGAAGATGAAGCTAACTGTGATAAAAATTGTGATGTTTTTCTTGGTGCCATAGATGCTGTTTCAGGTAGGTAATTTGATGCTTATTGTTTCTAGCAATTTTGTACCTGTAATACTCTTGAAATAATATCAAGTTGCTTCTTAGAGTAAAAAACCATCAAGAACGATTATCCTTACATGTCTTTATTTAGCTTTATTTTTTTCATTGATCCATTTTAGATGCTACAAACAAATCTGGATTAGCTGCCATTAAACTGACTGCTTTGGGTCGACCCCAATTGTTGGTAAGTTTAAAAAAATTTTTCAGTAATTAATTTATTGTAGTCGAATGCTATCATATCAGATATTATATTATAGAGTCAAATTCAAAAGATTATGTTTTATTGAAAAAAGAAAATGCCATGTGCATGTCTACCACTGCAACTTACAGCTCAATCTGGTCTGAGTGATATTTCTGGCTTGGATTTTTAAAGCAGAAGATGTTTGTCACTAGCTTTCGCCGTTGTCTAAATAAGCAAACTGCTGGCTCACAAACTAGGAGGTCCCATTATAGAGACCTCTGTTGGTCAAAAAGGTGCCACCAGATTTTACAATCTGGTTTCCCCTTGGCTGTGGTGCAAGGAAGGGGGACCTGTAAGGAAAATCTAAATGTCCGAGGCACAGTGTATATTATTATGCCCACATTTAAGATCCAAATTAGAAATCAAAATAGTAGGACATAAAACACCATTTGATTTTCATTTCATTTGTTACTAGGTGCTATCTACACCAAGAAACGGGCAAAGATATGTTTTAAACTCTTTTCCAATCACATATAGTATCAGGTAATATGAAAAGCAAAATTTCATATTTGAAATTATTAAAATGGATTCATATGTCTGTCCGATACACATTTTGGACCACAATAACTCTGCTTCTAATTGAAGAGAAATGTTCAAACTTGGTGTAGATTAGGGTTTTTTCCCAGGTGCGTCATTTTACAATACTAACAAGCAGATCTATAATCAGGAGTGCTTGGTTTGTAAAAATGCTATAAGAAGTTTTGGCCCTGAACTAATACAGAATCATCGTTTATCTTCCTGATACACTTCATTGTGGTAGTTGGTTCAAACTTTTTTTGTGCACTATCCATGCAGTCTTTGTTTGTTCTTGAGGCTTAACGTCTTATTCAAAGAATGGTGATATCGCTGACAATTGTTTACTAGAAAACTTACAAGATGAGCCAGTAGTAAATGAGAGGCTAGTCTAGCATATTGGAGATAAAAGAGGAGCAATCATGCTTACTGAGATACAGGGTCCAGTGGTGCTCATAGGAATCATTTATAAATCATTACAAAGGCATTGCTCCTGGGTACAAATAGGTTAAATAAAGCCTAATCAGGACCACTGGGGTGATGGCATACAGGTGCACCCTAGCTCCGATCTGTAGAGGGCTGATTCATATTAAGGTTATACCGACTGGCAGTAGGGGCCCTGTCTATCTTCATAGCTTGATTCACATATCAATTTGCAGTTCTTTTCTCTAGCCAGTTAGAATTGCGCATTCACAATCATGTGACATACCTCGTCCAGCAGACGACAATGAGGATACAAAGTTTCAGCGAATCAAATTTCGGGAATTCTGGATGGATATTTTCTGCAGAGGCTTAGCATAGATGAACAGTTTGGAACATGTTAACTCAGCTTCTAATTGAGTGAGGGTAGTGATACTATGTGGGATATCAGCCTCACTGTTGGCTTGTTTAAATTTCAGCTTCAGCTATCAGAAGTTCTATGTTCAATTCGTAATTTCTTTGAGTTATATGGATCAAAAGAAGGAGATGCCATTTTACAAAAGTTTCGTGAAGAAGATTTAACTAAAACTCTTAATTCTATGGGTATTTCCCGACAACAAGCTGAATGGCAGAAATGGTTCCGTGTATTAGACACATCTTGTGACGGGTAAGAATTTAAATTATTTATTTTGTTTGTAGTTCTACTAAAATCAACATTTTGGGGAAAATATTGGAAAGTGTAAGGCTGGAGATTGGCTACTTGAATTATTTTGACATTCAATAAAAAAACCTCCAGTTATTGTGTAAGATTTAAGGTCGGTTCCCTTTAAAACATTTTTGGATTCAGCGGATTTTGACAGATTATTTGTGCCTTTAATAATAATCTCACCTATCATGTTAACGGGACAAACAAAAATATAACCATATTAAATACATCTAAATATGATAATTGTTCATTTAATCTTTAAATCAGCATAAACAATCTCTATTTTTATCTTCCAGTTTTTCAATTTTGGTTGTTATCTTATAAATATTTAAAAAATGCTGATCATATCTGTTTTAGGGAAGTAGATTTATTAGACTGGGATAATTTATTGGAAATCAACATGAGTTTATCAAAATTATTTGTTGTTCCTAATCTGAAAGTAAGTTTTCCATACTTATAATATACAGTTACTCATGTAGCACTCTTCAAATTCAAGGTCAGTTTCCACCAGATGCAACACATGCAATGTCAATTTCAATACTTGAAAACGAAACCATAGTTTTACCATCAAGGTGAATAACAGTTTGGTCAATCTGTTCTATTGATTCTTGGCCAACCAAAATATCCAAATTGTAAATCTTTAACAATACTCAGAATTGCTATGCCTTGCAAGATTACCAGGGAATCATTATTCATATTGATTATTTATAGACTTGTAAAATAGAACCGTTAACAACAGCTTTAAGTTCAACAGAAGAGGACCAGATGAAGAATATGTTAGGAAGAATTAACAAAATTGCTAGTGTAAGTATACTTATCTTCTTGTTGAGGCTTCTTTCTTGTTCGTGCAGGAGCCGGGTTGGTTCAGTGAGTAAGACACTGACTTACTAACCCGGACGTCTCAGGTTTGCTACCTGAGTCGGGATTTTCCGGTGCTGTTTCCCTTTGTCAGTGGTGAAGGACGGAGGGTCTGACAAAGAAAGTGTCTAGTCGTTTGGATGGGATGTAAAACTGAGATCCTGTGTGCACATTGACTTGCACGTAACAGAACCCTTGACAGTTGGAATTCAAAATAGAGAGTAGACCGAAGCAAAATATCCTTCCCTCATAGCAGACTGAATGGTATAATCATGTCTTTATTAGCCCAGTCGGTGCAGAAAAGTAGGATGTTAAACCCCATTTCATTTCTTGTTTGTACCTTAGATATATATGAAATAACAACCAGGCCTAAATATTTTACAGTAATGTCTGAACCCAATTCTGACAATATCCTACCATGTAAATCCAGATGAATATCTCCTTACCATGTAAATATAGGTTCAAAATATTGAACTTGACACTAAGCATCAATATACATATAACCTGGATAATCAAGGTACATCAATAGTTACCTCAATTAAACACTGGCCCTGTCACTTGTCAACAAATTGTTATTTGTGAATGGGCTTTGATAGGATGAAAAATGATATACTACACGAGTAGGCCTACCGGTTTTGACAGTTGAGGAACGAACATTATCTATTGGCTTCTGTTTCCTTGGTAAATTGGACATGGTTCCCCCGTGTCAGTGTGCAGGACGGAAGGCCTGACAAGGACAGCTGTCTAGTCATTTGGATGGGACGGAAAACCAAGGTCCTCTGCACACATTGGCGTGCACGTAAAAGATCCCTTGACAGTTCAGTTGGAATTAGATATAAAAGTAGACTGTAGTGCTGCTGTCCAGGAAAACTTTCCTTCATAGCACACAGTATGGTGTATGCCCGTCTTCATTAGCCCATTTTGGAGCAGATCAGTAGGACGTTACATGTTAAACTCCATTTCATTTCATTTCCTTGTTAAATTGTATGGTTTAACACAATTGTGATCTAACAATATTCCTTTAAGCAATTCTATCTGCTTCTTATAGAGCAATTCTATCTATCTGCTTCTTATAGAGCAATTCTATCTACTTCTTATAGAGTTGGTCATCTGCAGATTAAATTAATGTCTATTTCTAATATCTCATTTTTTTAAATATTATTTGTCCATTAGTATGCTAAGACGAAAGGATGTCGAATTATGATTGATGCTGAACAGACATATTTTCAACCTGCTATTTGTCGTTTGACAATGGAAATGATGAGAAAGTTTAATCGTGAAAGTGCTGTTGTATTTAATACATATCAGTGTTATCTCAAGGTAAAAATTCATTTTTTGATGGCACAATATACCAGACTTACGGTAATAAAGGCAAATATTGATTTTAAGAAGAAACACAATAAAAAGTTGTTTAACTAAACAGCATACTGGTCCAAATATCATTACAATTGATCATTCCTCTAATTTTACTCTGCCATTTTCATTAGAATTGTATGTTAATACCTGAAGGATAATTGATTGCTGTCCATGAACATCTAATCAATTTCCAGTGGCTTGAAACAAAATTTTGTTAGCTTTAGGATAATACATCTAAAATGAAGAAGTTCAATATTGCAGCCATTCAACTACTTACCGGTAATAGCTGTTGGCAGATACAAGAGAAAAATTAGATAAGCACAAGAGAAAACGAATGGGATGAGCAGTTGAGCACAATGAAAAACATTTATTTTTTAATATTTTCCATTTATTACAGCAAGCATTTAAGAATATAGCATTGGATATGGCGGTTGCTAAACGAGAGGATTTTTATTTTGGTGCTAAACTTGTACGTGGTGCTTATATGGAACAGGTAAATACATCTTTGTGTGTTTAAAACTATATTTATATATTTTTAATGTGAATTTTGGTCAAATTGCGTCTAACAAACATCTTATTTATAGCGAATTTATTATTGCATGTATTTTAAAATGATATAAGCGTTAGTAACTTCAATGTAATTTGTGCCCAGGTTTGAAAATATCATTTTTTTTAAGAACAAATCTTTTTTCCTCGAAACGTTGAAATGAAACAATCAACCTCCAATAGGTCACAAAATCCTACTTTAATACAATTTTACACACAATAAAAAAGATAATATAATCAAATAATATTTTTGTATAATGCTAGGTTCCCAGTGTCTTGCGATGTGTTATGATAGGATTTTCCCTCTTAGTCCACTACCCGATATCTGCAGATACATTTTGATATGGTCAACACAATTGCTACGACTGACCTCAGTATATGATAAGACCTGATTCGATCACCACGGTTACTCTACGATTTCAATCATAGCGCGAATCTTGATAGTTGGAACGTAGCATAACTCAGCCAATGGATCCCCAAAAAGTAGGGTTAAGCATGATAAATTATTTTTTACCTTATGTATCAGGAACGTGAAAGAGCAGCTGCTTTAAAATATGAAGATCCTATAAATGTTAGTTACGAGGCTACAACTGCCATGTATCATGATATACTAGAGGAAGTGATGAAACAAATCAATAAACGAGAACGAGGGAAGATTTCGCTCATGGTGGCAACTCATAATGAAGATACAGTACGCTATACTGTTGAATTGTAAGTTACACAATGTTATTTTAATACATTTATAATGAAGTTTAATTGCATTTACAGTTTTAGTTATATTTCAATTTAGGTTTGATTAAAGTCGGTAATGTTTAAGTCATCCACCAAATCACACTAGTATTTCAAGTTAATCCTCCTATTCTTGTAGTAGTAGGCTGGTAACATATTTTTAAGTTCCAGTGAATGTGTTATATATTATAATTTATTACAAGCATTACAACTGTCATCGATTAGTTGTCTGCGACAAGATCATTGTGGAAGCAGGTTTTAAACTACAGCAAGCCCTAGCATGTTATCCATTGAACAGCAGACCTTGCCATAAACTCCAGCAAGCGTGAGCAAGCATGTTATCCATTGAATAGCAAGTGACCTTGCCTTAAGAAAATATGAGAAAAGATACTGGCAGAGTCATTGTAGAAACATAACCCAGTTGAAAATTTTGTAATTATCTTCCCTATAAACAGGGGCACATTATGGTCAAATTGTCCATGACATCACCTTGATCTGACAAACAGATGAACTACATGCAATAATTTTTTTTTTGTTAAATTACACATTAAAGATGTGTTCCTTCAATAAATGAAATTATAGATCACGTTACTTTAAACAAGTTAACAACTAGAGAGCCTAGTAGTCTCATAAGTATAATACACAATTGGAGCCGTTAAAATTTATAGATGCATAAATTGTCTTGTAGTTTGGATATGTTTTCCAATCAATGGTACATATAGAGTATCTCCTACGAGTCTTTTTTGATATCAAAAAATATCAACACAAGTCGATTAAGTAAAAAAAAAAAGGAGGCTCTTTTTAATAAGAAATAAGTTATTTTTAATAAAAAATGAACAGTTCTTTGAAAGTAAAAAAAGTAGTTCCTTTTTGATTGACCAATCAAATTCATGTAAAGCGATATCTTAGTAGGTTATGAAATTTATCACACAAGCGATATCTACTGTAGAATGTATGATTGGGTGATAAAGTAACATACCGGTATTTAGGATACATGTAATTATAAACATGGTTAATGGTTATTTTCTTATAGGATGAAAAAATATGGAATAAGTCCAGAAGATCGATTAATATGTTTTGGTCAGTTACTTGGTATGTGTGATCAAATTAGCTTTCCTTTAGGTGAGTAGAATGTTATGATTTGAATGTCCTCATCCAATTTGTTCCTTTATGGTTACTTGTAAGGCAACAATACATGTCACAATTTTTATTTTTGATTTTAAAACCTGTTCAAATGTATCACTGTTACATGCTTATGATTGTTGAGATCAAATTTTGGATCTTAACTTTCTGGATTGTGACCCCTGGTTGTATGAAAAATTTGCGTTTTTAGCTTATGGACCCTCTAGAGGTGTAAATTTGTATGTGATTTTAAAAAATGTTCATATAGATCACCAATGTACTATAATTACGGTTTAGTTTGAATTTCATGAAAATCCTGCCAAAATGGCTGCTCCCTATATGCAAATAGTGTAAAAGGATGTAATACCAAGGCTGTAGACCTTCCAGAGGTCACAATTTTTATCAGTTTTTGATGAAATTTTAAATATATGTACATATCCCAAAGTTAACGGTTCCTTTCGATTTTAGTACATATTGGATCAGAACTTCCTGGATTATGGTCTCTGATTGTACAGCTTACTTTCTATCCATCTATTACAAAAAGTGGGCGTATCTTACATGGCAACTGCTTGTTTTATATTTGCTGATAACTAATTATGGGTAGTCTGTTAAAACCTTATTATGTGAAAACCATAGTGAATTATATCGTTTAAACTAACTTTAACTTGCATACCGAGAAATTCCAGTAGTTCACTGTTATTTTTTGTAACAATAATTGAATATCAGCACTGGACATTGTACAACTTTGTAAATGTCTACTTTTATCTTGCCATTCCTTCTGCTATAACCATATTCTAGGGGGCACTATCACTAGAAGAAATGTTAGTCTGCCTGACATTAATGTGTATTAAAATTTATGTGACCTATCATATTCTTTAACATATAAGTAAGACACCATTTTCCAAGTAATGTTATCAGCGACACTACACTGATTAGCCTACAATCCAAATTAATATCATCATTTATCGTTTTGAAGCGGAGACCCAGTTCACATTCACCCCTTGCGATACCGTTCTTTCCCAGTCTGGAGTTCATCTCCAATTCCTCTCTTGGCTAATATTCGTCTCCATAGTTCATACTCCTCGCAGTGTTTCGTTCGATTAGAGCTAATCCCACTAAATACTGCTTTAATGAAAGCAAATTTCTGTTCCAAATTATGATTGGTTAATAGTCCGATTAACAACCAACAGCTAAATGCGTAACAATATCGTTACATTTTAAACAAAGCTCCAAATTGGACCAAATATGTTTACTTAACGTTCTGTCATGACTCACGATTTTATTATGCCCAATTAACAAGTCCATAGCAGAATATTGCAGAAAAACTAATGGTGTGACAAACCAGGCTATCAACACGAATACAATGTAAACAATACTGTATGGAGACAAAGAATACTTTCACCGTTTTTAATACCTTAAATCACTGTCCAAAGTTTTAGGGAAGACCCCAGATTAAACGAAGGGCTGTCATGTTGTTGTACTTGGGATAGATTTGATTGAATGGGAAGAATACACACACTCCCTCAAAAGCTCAAGTATCAGAAGCCAATCCAGCAATGGGCAGAGAGGGATTTTTTTGGATCATTGCTTCAGGAATATGCCATAGTTATGAAATTCCTCCCTTGAGAACCAAGTGCCTTGCATGTGAGAATTAGTTTTAAATGGTGTTTTACATTTGGTGATTCACTTATGGAGTAAACGCACATATTTTATCTTACAGAAAATGTATATCGAAACTTACCTGACTGGTCACAAGTAAGACACATGTTTCTGGTTTAATAGTTGTCACTGATTGAAGTCTAAGTAACTATATATTTTAATTACAGGGCAAGCAGGTTATTCTGTATATAAATATGTACCATACGGTCCTGTAGAAGAGGTGTTACCATACCTGTCTAGAAGAGCCATGGAAAATCGTGGAGTGATGAAGAAAGTCAAGAAAGAAAAACATCTTCTTTGGACTGAAATTAAACGAAGAATAAAATCTGGAGAAATAAGATATAAACCTGATAATAACTTACCTTCTTCTGTAATGTTATAGGTAGATAATATATACAAATACTTGCGGGAAGCACTCCTACTAAAATAATTAACAACTAATTCCTCAAGATAGACATGGATATGTGATTTCTTGAAAAAAAACCTAACTAGATAACATTTGAAGGCAACAGAAGTGACTCAAATTTTAGCTAGGAAAGACTCTGGGAAGAACCTCTTCAGTTAACCTTTTTACTGCCCAAAAAGATTGATTACCCTATATGTGTTTAATGTTTTATAATGCAAGATTATAAGTTGACTTATCCAAATATAAAAGAGAAATTTATTTGTTAATACTCTAACCTTCAAAAATATTTACATTTATTTGTCCATAATTCTCAACATATATTATAATACAGGTTTAGAAATTGTCTCAAATAGAAAAAAAACTAAATGTTTAATGTTCACGTCTATAGTTATAGTTATTGTTAACATTAAGTTGTTGCTTGTCCGCTATATTTAATACAAGTTGTAAAGTTTAGTGTTAACATTGTTATTGTTAACATTTAAGTTGTTGCTTGTCTGCTATATTTAATACAAGTTGTAAAGTTTAGTGAGATCCTCGCCAACTTAAAATATTTAGAATCAAATTTTTTGGACCAGTAACTAGGCCCAAAGTGCTGCTCATCTTGTTGTCAATATTCTTCTTGGGGTGGCGCTCTATGAAAAAAAAACACAAGAAGCCGCTGATTCAAGTACGATCAACATGAAACTTGGCAAGTTTGTTCCTTGGACCAATGCACATCAATTGCCCGTTGGTTCCTGATTAAATGAGATTATACATTGTATTATTTTTTGTTTTTGTTTTTTTTTTAATACATTTATCACTTGTATAACTTGTTTGAGAAGTTTAATGTGCCATATAGAATTTCAATTTTCATATACATGTACCATACTTTGCTGGCTTGGAAAGGAAAATGGCATCATTATTTTCCCCCGGTTACATTTCATTGTAGAATCTCATTTTATGTGATATTTTTTGTTTTATTTGTATACAACAGTAAAGAGTGGGTTTTTATTGACATTCTTACTATATTGGTGGATTTTGGAAATCGTTAATATATTGGTTGTGGATGGTTGTGTTGCCTGGCAACCCACATAGTTATTATATATTACGAAAAGAGATTATTTCTATTTTATAGTTATATTAATTTGTTTTGCATTAATACTATTATTTTATTTTTGTAATTAAACTATTGTTATTATCAATCTGATTAAAACACAGGTCATATTTTGTTCCGTTTTTTTTTTTTTTTTTTTTGTTCAAAATTCTTTTTACTTGTCTTTACTACACTACGACTGGATAACCAGTGTTCTGGTTGATGTGAGGGATTAGCCAATGAAATGATCTGTTGTGGCGAGCTCTTGGCGTACGGTGCACGGAACCTTGGGTATCCCACTAAAAACATCAACGCTTATTGGTTAATCAAATATCTGATGTCATAGGGTCAAAAGTCACTCATATGACCCCTAACGCCACCTCTCACTTCAACCAGTCAGATCTTCTTGTAATGGGGGCCATCAAAAGTATATAAAAAAAAATGAAACGAAATATTGATCTATCTGTATTTTAATCAGATTGTGTTTTGTACAATAGCTAAAAGAGAACATTGCGCTTGGTTGAAGTTATTTTTACGTTGGTTTTATTTTTAGGATCTAGTTGTATGTATACTATTAATTTGTACAAACTTTATGTTAAATAAAATAAAACATCAGAAACTTTATTGAGCATTATTCCATTTATATAGATATTGAGCTATCTGTAAGTAAGGCATACACAATTTTGATTTTCTGCAGAACTTCTGAAGTGAGAGAAGGTACAATCAACACAAACTAGGTTATTTCAGGACTAATATTTGGGATCATTTTATTTCAATAATTCGCTTAGGCACTCTCTTTAATCCTTCTGACTACCCAGTTCAAAACCACCAGTCGAGCAAGCAAATTTTATATTTAGGCATTATAGGAGGTAGGCATTTTGATTTCTTTTAATGAAGAATTTTCCTATCTATTCAGATATATTCATTTTGGACAGGTTCTGACTAATAGAAAGGGGAATGGGGAAACACTGGTTTTAAGAGAAATATGCATTTGAGTATTATTAGTATTTTAATGAGGTAGTAACAGTGTTGTGCTGATTGTGTCTTACATGTAGTTGCAGTTGGCAAAATAATAATACATTATTTTATATTGATTATTTAAAATTTACTAAGTTGTAAGCATTAATATTCTTAGAGGAAAATCTGTAAACCGCTAATGGACAGTTAGGTCCTATGCCTTGTTTCTCTTATCAATTAATCTCAATCTAAAAAAAAAAAATACCATCATTTCTTGGTATTTGTTAATTCCAATTATTTTAGGATAAAAATTCCAAGTCAAAGAGACGATGAAACCCCCACACTCGAAAAAGTAGGAGGGCGGAAGATTCCCCTGTAACAATTCCTGTCCGGTTTGGATCTCAGTGAAGAATAGATTAGTAAAGATAATCCCCCAGGAACAAACTAGATCAACACTGTGTGATTTTAAATCAGTATAATCTTCACCAAAACGCGTTTCGGGCTAATAGCCCTTCATCAGTTGGCAATTTGAACAATATTAAAAAATAATCCCAGATTAGTGGTATATATACAAAACGCGTTTTGGTGAAGATTATACTGATTTAAAATCACACAGTGTTGATCTAGTTTGTTCCTGGGGGATTATCTTTACTAATCTATTTTAGGATAAATTAGTTGTTTGCCTTGAAATCTATGAGCAGAGAGAATATCAATTTTAGTGCAATCATAGATAAATATTACAAATATATATTTACTGCTACAAGCTTGTTCACAATCATATCTAGGACAAGATAATATTTTTTATTGGCATAACTGATTGCCTTAAATCTAGAAAATATGCATTTTAGTACAAATATAGATATACATTACAAGTTTTATGCATAACTGCAGCTCATTTTACATATCACCAAAATACAGATCTTATAGTGCTCTATTTACCGGTTAAATGTTATTACAAAATTTTATTTTTATGATGGCTTTCAGTTTAAATGTGGATCTTCTGAAAACCAAAGTGATTCTCATACTCTATGTACTATAGTGATATAATTTTGTTTCAGGTTGTTTGTTTTAATAGCAATTAGAAATATATTTTACAGTAATTATTATATAGATATTATTTACATTATACTGTACATGTTATGTATATAGGCACTCAATAAACTTAATACGCTGCACTGTCTTATATTATTATTAGCCTAAAATAAAATTAATTATGTCTTGAACTCTCTTCCCATAGTAGGTTAATTCTACAAATGTTTTGAGGTAGAACTTATTACCAGAAGCTATTTTGACTGTATAGTCAACTCTGTGTTTGAATTTATAACATTAATATCCTACCTCCTGTAAAATGGCCCAAATAATCGATTGGAAATTTGTCTATACATGAATGCAAATTATAATATACCAGGAGCATCTTACTATAAATATTTTTGAATTAGTGGGATCTAAATTCTCTGAGAAGAAATCAGTTGCGAAACCCAACATTTATTTTACTTGGAGTGTATACTATACTTTTATGAACAAAAATGTCTTTAGTCAGGAATAATAATTCAAGAAAAATCAAAAATAACCTTTACTACACATTTAATCACAAATGTATCGAAAAACGATTAACAATTTAACTGTAGCCTAGAGTGTGCGTATATAAATATCTACTGTCTGTTCCTCGCCAAGTATATATTATGTTTTTAATTTAAATGGCCAAAACTTGGTGACGTATACCTGAAATTGTCACCCCTGTTGTTCTCTTTGTCGAGCTTTAACACCTAGCAGTTTGATAAAATCCACTATTCTCTTGTAAATTTGGAGGGGTTGGATGGCCGAATGGTTAGCGTGTGTGCGTTGTATCATAAGGTCTGTCATTGAGTCAACTGGCGTGGCAGGCGTGGTTTCGATTCCTCGGTTGTATGTGACAAGGAGTAGGGTCAGTTTTCCTTCCACTGCTAAAGACCCCTACGCGCAAGCGAATTATTGAAATATAACTAAACCATGTGTTGGTCCCCAAATGACCTGATTTGTGTTGAGTGGACCTTAAGCCCCATCATAATGATTCAACAGCTTAGTGATATCCATCCAAAAACCTGGGGACAGACATCAAGATCATCAAATTTGAGTCAATGGCTATGGACTTGCGGTCATTTGGAGGTGTTGGCGGCCATTTTTGACATAATAGGCCAACATCTTAATGTGTTCTTTGCCCCCAAATACCTAGGGAAAGACACCAAAATCATCAAATTTGAGTTGATAGTTACATAGTTCTGATCATTAAGACGTTTCGGTGGCCATCTTAAAAACAAAAAAACAAAAAAACACTTTTCCGTGGGCCCTCTTAGGTAAACGTTTAGTATGTTATACAGTACATTAAACCCTACCGGAATCAGTCGAGAAACCTTTTGTAGCAATTTTGGAGGGGGGGGGGGGTATTTTCCATATATCGACCTGGCTAAAAAGGGTAGACAAGCATCTCCAAATCGGGTAGGCCTACATTCGTTTAGAAACATTTAGTGAAGGAAAATTCGCACGCTTGTTTTGCAGCATTAATACGTGTTAGGGTTTCACACTTTATTAGTTTTCTAAACAACATGGGTTCTCGTCAGCTGTAAATAAATATTAAAAATATATTTATCTAAATTTTCTCCATTTGGCGATACAGTTTGTAGCATATAAACTAAATAATACTTATCCGAATCAACGACATACTATACACAATGGCACTAGCTATAATAATTATTGATTATATTATTTTATCTCAGTTTTGTTGATATATATCTGGATAGCCCTCGTAAATAAACAGAGCAAGGTGGGGACCGATTGTCATACTCCGTTAATCCGCATATGTTATTTAACTTTTTCATTTTTTTAATATTTGTATTCTAAACATTTATATAGGGGAAGGCCTACACGTAGAGTTGATATATAAGATCAACCGAAAATCTATGAATCATTTTGAATCTTTGCCATTTCCGAGAAATAGGCAATTTTGTGGGAGTCACTTTTCAAAAGAATAAAATATTGTTCTATTTTCATGACATTTGCACCATTTGATGCCTACTGTGACTGTTCATTATTGTAACCTTCTGGTCATTTTGGCAAAACTTGTATTTTTAACCATTATTAAACCCAGTTTTATTTAAAATGTACCCGTTTCTTTGTATTTAAATTTTAAATCTTTAATTCCACTCATCCAAAAGTACAACTCAATGCAAACGCATAGATATCAAAAGATAGTTTATAACTTGATGCAGTTGTTCAAAAGTACCCTTTTACGTTCTTTTGCCCAACACATCTATAGTAATTTTGAAAAAAAAAACCAACCTTAAAGCAACACAGTAGGTTTTTTTTCTAAAGAGAGTTATTCGATACCCTTTAATATAGGCCTACTGTTAACTAATTTCCTTTAAGTAATATTGTGTAGATATATGATCAAGCACGTCATGATATCACAAAATATTTTTTTACTTCAACCATTGCTAAGTAATGGCCGACTTCGCATTGGTCACTTTATAAGGGTTCCACGCGTTAACATGCTTTCATAAATGGCCATTTCGCGTAAAAGTGACGCCGGCCTTCACGTAAAAGGGGCGCGATCGCTCTCGCTCGACTGGACGCTCCTGGATGTCAGTCGAGGTGCACTTTTTATAGCTCGCCTTAATGTCTAAATTGGCTACGCTCAAAGGAAATAATCAGGAAAAAATATACCGGTAACGAAAAATACTGTCAATATTGACAATCAACTGGCTTGTCGGCTACAATAACAGTCATACCTTAGTGATAATCGGCCATCTGGTTCATAATCCGAGTAATTAGCACATTTAATTAGCTTGCTGGTTATTCCTAACTTGTCCAGTAATTTTCCTTTGTAATATGAAATGAAATGAAATGGTGCTCCTAACCTGGGCTAATGGAGACGGGCATACGGACAGCGGCACTACGGCCTTCTCTTATATCGAATTCCAACTGCCAAGGGATCTTTTACGTGCACGCCAATGTGTACGACTAGACAGCTTTCCTTGTCAGCCCCTCCGTCCTGCATCACTGACAAGGGAGAACCACGCCGGAAAATCTGGATGAACTTTCTCGGCCAATGCAGGGATCGAACACCCGACCTCCAGGCTAGCGAGCTAGCGTCTTACCCACTTAGCCACGTGATCCCCTCCTTTGTAATAATAAGCCACGTGGCGAATGAAGCTATCTCGCTCGGCATGGATTGTGAATCTCGGGATTCGCACCCTGTTTCGACGCTCGATCTGTACGAATTCCAGGTAGATATTAAAATTATAATTGGATAATAATGTACATTTTATGGTTTCACTGACCTGTTGTTAGTTAAATTTAAATAGTCATTGAATAATTCCCGATAGAACACCGGACATCCCGAGAAACAGACATTAATAATATATTTTTCCGTCAGAAATAATGCTTTACCGATTCCCGATAACACGTGACATGCATCGGTTGGAATTAGGTCAATAAATCAGCATTGCCAGATTTAGTTTTAAATAGCGTTTTTATTCATTTTTATTTTATACACATGCTGACAGGGAGTTTTTTTTTTTAAAAAAACATTGTCCTTATTATTTAAGGCTATGGCATAGTCATGTGGAATTTTATTTTATATAAAGCAATTTCAATTATGGTTGTCACGTGATCATTGTGCCGCTTGTCTATCATCAACGAATGAATAAAAACTTTGTAAGTTACGTGATAGACGAAAACAATAATTTGTGTTTAAATATGAAGAAATGCCATAGTGTGGTATCAGCTTATTTTGGCTACCGCATTTCTGATAGGCTACTGGCCGTAGTTGAAAAATCTGTCTGACACCCGCCATGACTGCATCGCATTTATAGCTTTCTATAATATTCTGAGCTTTTCTAAACCCTTTATTGCAAAATAAATGCCGATATTTTAATATCCCTCACAGTTTATTGGATCAGGGATGTTCATAATTAGCTTTCATTAATTTTTATTTTTGTCAGCGCATCTTTAAATATAAGTTCAGCTTATTGTTCACTTGATTGATTACGGGCACGTTCTTTGTGATTGTACCGACTACCATATTTAATATAAATAATATTTATTTTTTTTTTATAAATTCGGTGGAGATTCCTCGCGCATTTTGCCACCCTCGCCACATGTTTGAATATATAGCGTTTATTATCGTTTTTAAATCTCGCGGGTGTTCTAATCCATTTACATTCTGGTCATCCGAAGATCTAGAGAGTTTATTATAGACTTGTCATGTTAGTTATTCTAACTAATAGTTTATATAACATTTGAAGCCAAGATAAAAACCTGCAATAGTCAGATAATAAGTGTATTCTTCTTTCTTTCTTTTTTTCTCCGTACAAACTGATGCCCACTACTAATTCTAGATTAAATTTCGCAGGTGTTCTAATCCATTTATATCCTGGCCATCCGATGTTCTAGAGAGCTTATTATAGGCTTGTCATGTTAATAGTCATTCTATTTCTAAATAATAGTTTATATAACATTTGAAGCCAAAATAAAGACCTGCAATAGTCAGATAATAAGTGTATTCTACTTTCGTTTTTTTCCCGTAAACTTGCCGCTCACTACTATTTCGAGATTAAAAAAGAGACTGAGCTCTAGAACAATCACACGAAATATACTGCTATACCGTAACAATTGAATATCACATGATATGGAAGTATTCGAATCCAGAGGCGGTGTGAATCCATCGCAGGATTCTACTTTCAGTTTTGTAACGTGAACCCGGTCACCTTTTTTGTTTTAAAATAAAAGTCCGCATTAGTAAATAGATCAATCAAAGACGATAAATATACAGGTGTGTGATATTACTATTACCATTTTGACAAGTGCAGCAGTAGCGCATTTGACTTATTCAGTTTTAAAGCTGCCAATTATAAAATCAAATAGCACGCAACCTGTAGCACGACCTTTGGGTTCTTACGCGAAGGTCAACACATGGTAGTTCTTTCCCTTGGATCGCCATTGCTGAATATTTCGTCAATAGGCTAACGCAAAATGTCTTTATCAAGTTTAGCAAACACAGCCTATCAAAAAGTATTTCGAAAAACATCGTCATTTGCCTTTGGTATTTTACTTGGGGCCTTTATATTTGAGATTGGGTTTGATCGAGCAAGCAATTATGCCTTTGATTATCTCAATAGAGGGGTAAGTTCAGAAGT